AAATTCAGTAATATCTATACATTTTGTCAGCACACATATGCATCTAACTTATGGTTAATGGTTGTGGGTTGAGAAATGTCCATATTAAGAGGGTCTTATCACATTGGAGCCAATGGGAGACTGAATTATCAAGAAATGAAAAAAAATTACAATTTGAAATTTTCATCTTTAAAATGTTCAATGAAGGGCACAGGTTTTACTGTATTAAAATGGGTTGTGTTGAATGAATAAACATTATACATTGATGGATTACTCAATCCATTTTTATGACAGAATATTGTTATTATTATACAGGCGAGGGACGTTATTATTATTCTTCTACAGTATATTTGTCGTACACTTCGGACATATTTGTCGGACATATGTGTTACACTTGGGATATAGCAGCATATACTTTAATGATATGATAAAACAAGAAAAATGAATGAAATATTTTGAATCCTCTAGTGAATCACTACTCAGTGCCTCTCCCAAGATTAATACTTGCCCCTAATGGTCTTATTATTAATGGTCTATAGGGGGTTTGTCTTAGAAGGACAGTGCAATTTAAACTCTCTTGATGTCACTTTTCACTTAAGAAGAGAATCTCTTCTATGAGTTTCTACATCCGTAACAACTTTGTTCAAAAAGTGATTCTAATCAAGTGGTCCAGACTTAACTTATTTTTATTTTTCCATCAATCAACTTAAAGCTAATAGAATGGCTTAATTGGTTTGACACTGGTGTTGATTATTAATATGTCAGAAAATGGATATATATTGTTATCGTCTTCATTTTTATGGACGGTGTTTGGTATTCAGCGATCAGCATTTGGTGGTTGGCATTTGGCAGTCAGTGTCTGTAACAAATGGCAGGTGGTGACATTTTGCATGTTAATGCCTTATTTGTTCTGAGATGCGTAATGGAATTAATTCAAATGGGAGCCGACATATTAGTTCAGATCAATTAACTTACAGTTTACCCTGACATACGGTTAACAAAGTGCTATCACATTTGCCTGTTTAACAAGGCCTTCACTTTGGACTGATCGGATGAATCCCCCAAGTGATCACTTAAAATGTTAAGAGTCAGTGCTATTTACCTCTTTTCTAGCTATCAAGGGTTTTAGTTAATCATGTTCGATCAATGATTAGTGTAAGGATGAATAGCGACAGGAATATTTCTTGCTTTTATCAGTCAATGACGTGGATATGCGCATTATACAGGTTTATGTTTCACACGTCTGTGATTTGATTCGTCAGTTTCATAACATTTGACGCAAGTTCTGATTTACCACAAGAGGAAATAATAAATCTGGAAAGTAAGGGACATTAATGTTCAAGCAGGATGTCAATTTATAAAAGTCATCTTAATCGAGGCATTCAGCCTATTAACACTTCCGAATGGTTGTTTGGATCCTAAATTTTCACTTTACAGAAATTGTGATTTCTCAGTTTTTAAATTTTGCATTTTATGTCACCACTTTTTGGTGACGGCAGTTGGTGGTTGTTGATTAGCGGTTAGCAGTTAGCTATTGGCAGTTGGTGGTTGGCGATCGGCGGTTGGCATCTGTAACAAATTCTTAAAACGTCCAATAACTTAACAAATACTGTTTAGACTGACTTCAGTTGTTTTCAAAATCATCTACAAGTTTTCAGAATTTCAAATCTGACTTCATATTTAAGATTTAACTTTCAGTGACCTTTTCAAAATAAAAAGAATTTCAAAAATGTATTTTTTCAACTTGTAATTTTTTTCCAAAATCATCTACAAGTTATCAGAAGTTCAAATCTGACTGTTGATCTGAGGTTTGACCTTCATTGACCTTCTCAAGGTAAAAAAAAGGTAAAAAATGTCTTCAACTTGCTTCATATAATATTCACTATTTGTTGCTCATATAATATAATATTATGAGCAACTAGGTAGTGACATTTTGTCATGTCAATGTCTTCTTTCATTTCAGTCATATTATAAACACAAAATGGACATTTTGATTCATATATTCCAGATATTTTTTTATTTCAGAATTCCTTTAATTTTTAACCCAAAAAGGTATTTTCACTTCCTGAACAAAAGTTTAGTTTAAATTTTTTACTCTGAAGTATCATTTATTTTTGTCATGTTTAAAGAGCAGTTTTACTTAATTATTTTGAGCTTAAAAGCTCCTAATCCCTCTTCTTTTGCCAGAGTGTTGAGATTTCTTGTCACAAACGAATTAATGTGAGACCAGCTAGAACGACAAGATAATCTATCCAAGAATATTTCAAACTGTTCTAACTTTGACAAATATAATCCAATCTAATACATCATGTATTAGGTAATCATGTACGATGTTATGTAAAATCTTTCAGTGAAATAAACCTATTGTTTAAAAAAATGTTTAAAAATGTGTACAAAGATCAAATGCTTACTAAATACCAAATTATACATGTATGTTGTACATATCTAGTACATATCTTAATAAATGACAAAAAATGGTAAATGAAAAATGCTTTGTTTTCAAACCCATTTATGAGGCAGGAATTGTATAGGTTAATACACAATGGTATAGATGAAGGTAAAGAGAGAAGTGTATGTAGGTATCAGGTGTTACATACCTTCAGGTACTATATTCATACACCTTTTACAGGTTATAACCTAACTCACAACAGTATATTATTTAACGAGGATCAGCTCGCTATAAGCTGAATATAAGGTATCTCTCAAAATCAACTGCTTCATTTTTAAAAGTGGCAATAGGTCTTTTATTTGATTGAAATTCTCTTAAAATTGGAGGTTCTTGCAATTGCCTTATTGACACCTCGCTGAATTTTCATAACCATCACTATCGTTACATTTTTCAAGACTGAAAGGAAAAGAGTTGGCATTATAACTATTACAGAATGATGTCTTGTATTACTTTTTCAAAAACATTATCAGATAAAAAAAGGAAATATTTTTTGCTGAGAGCAATCTTTGTCTTTGCAAAAGAACTAATGAAAATGATTTGAATTGAGGGGTTCATTTAATAACTTCTCAGTTTTCATATTAATGTTTCCTCTAAAAACTGCAATTTCAATCAAGTGTGATTTATTCATGGACAGTATTCTCTCTATTAAATGCACTTTGCAGTTTCCAAATTGAAATTTAAAAGTTTAAGATAGTGAGAGATTCCTAAATAAGCGCACATTCAATCAATTTAAAAGAATATCGCCAATTATCTTTTTATTATTATTATTAGTTGTTATCACTAAGGTTGATATACTCTACAGCTCCTGTATTTCTTTTTCTGTATTTTTAAATATAGTCATCAATCAATATCTTCTTATGTATATGATCGAAACTTATGCATTCAATTTTGTGTTTCCTTGAGGCCATATTCAACATAAAATACATGTGCTCAATGTTACTGTGCACTTATTAGAAAGAACACTGTAACTTCTTTCCTCTAGGAGCTAATTTCAAAACCAGCTTTCCAGTTTTATGTTTCTTATTAAACTTTCATTTGGAATGATTTGATTTAATATTTTGCAATGATTAACTTGTGTTATTTGACGATGGAATTCAGATTCTGTCAAAAGTAATTGTCTTTATGATCTGCGTAATTGTATTTTATCTTGTATATCCTCTGTTAAGTGTGTGATATACTAGTAAATCAGAAAATGCAATTAAGACCTTACATGCAAACCTTCCCAGCCCTTTAATCTTAGACTGATACGATGTTACTGGCAAATGTCTAATTAAATTCACTTTACTTTGTTCTTGAACTAGTAAGTACCTGAGAGCACTAAAAATTAATTAAGTACAATGTATATAGCAGGCCCATTATTTACTGCAAGGCCTCTTACTTTCTTTCAATATAAGATAAAATGGATTTTTAATGATTTTGTGTATGATTTAAAGGAGTGCTACACCCAAATGACTTCTTCATTGGCAATTCATAAATGCCCCGTTGATTTCTGATTTCACTCATTGTCTCACATTTTTGGTTTGTTAAAATAGTTTTAGAAATAATATAAAAAAATACTGGAGGCTGCCATTTTGAATTTAATTTCCAAGATGGCTGTTACAGTAACCTTACTATTGTCAACGAGCACATAAAGGTGATTCAAAAGTCATTGATTCTTTGATCTCATGTCTGCACTATTTTATAAGGATGTATTCAATGGCAAAAATCTATTTGAAAGGGTATATATTATGTAGCTTATCTGTCTACTTTTGGACACCATCCTTTAATCCCACTTACAGAATATTTATAATAGCTACATACAAGAGATGATGTCAGTGCATTGAGGTTGATTTTTTATAATGAAATTTATTCAATAAATATATAACTACATGTATATTTCATAATGTCATTATACCAAGGTTGAATTGACAATTCTATATCTATCATTTTTACATTGTGACCTATTTTAACTTATATTGTAACTACTTCAACAGGGCCAATAATGCTTCGGCGTAGGCCCTGTATCTGTTTGTATGATGTATTATGAAATAATGGTGATATAAAAATTTAAAAAAAAAAAATTGACAATTTTGTGTTTATTAAGGACAGACAATAGAATGTACTTGTAGCCTTTGAACTTCATATTATTAAGTTCATACACTAGTTGCCAGTTCTTCATGTGCTATTTTTCTGTTTATTTGTTTTGATGAAAACATGTTAATATATACCAGGTTAAGTTGACTCAGTTTTGTTATTTCTCCAATTTAATTTAGTAATACAAATGTTTTTCTAAAGAAGACATGAAAATACTGGTACATTTCAGTAGAAATAGGAAGTTCATGTTACTAATCTTTTTAAGTTTGATTTAAGTTTTGGTTAAATATTTACAAAATCAAATGTTGGTTCAATTGGACAAATGTAGTTTAGCTGACAGGTGAGCAAGTGCTACTGATATAAACGTTGGCAAAAATGTGAAAACAGCACACACGTCAACAATTAACCAAAAAATAACAGTAACATGTAAAGATGAAAATAAAGATATACGCTATTTACAGTTCATAGAAATCAATGCAAATTTCGGTCAATGGATTTCTTGAAAGGAATGGTGAAGGATTATGGTTAATGGACTACATGTGTACAAGTGATATTCAATATTAGAATAAGATGTTGAGGTATATCTCTTAAAGATAACACAGTCTAAAGTTTACTTGAGTCACTTTGAAATTAACTATACGACCCTTGATCTATATAGTAATCAGTTTGTCTAGAATTAGCACAAGAGTTGAGGTGTTACGATGTCAAAGCTAGATTTACAGTTACTAGAGTCATAAAGTGGGATTTGTCCTCCCAATGAGTTGATTACAGCTCTTGTCATTTCACAATGGAGCAGTTAAAACATAAATTATTTGAAGCAATTTCGATTGGGGAACTGGCAAAGGTCAAGCAGATCTTAACTGGTTGTTCGGATTGTCATTTAGCACAGTTATTGCGGTGTAGATTGGATGATACATTGTGTGTGCGTCGCCCGAGTAATGGACGTGAGTTTTATGTGCAACACCCAACCGCACTAATGGTGGCCACTATTAGCTGGTATACTGACATAACGGATTATCTGCTTACATTTAAAACTGGCGTCAATGATGGACATACTGTTGAGGATTCAACCAATCAGCCGGCAGTGTTTGACGGAGTAACCCCATTGTGGCTTGCTGCGATGAGTGGGAAGTATCAGATGTTGAAGAGCATGCTTGAAAATGAAGCTGATGTCAACCAAACCACCTCTTTAGGTAAGTATAAAGTGGAGACCATACCATCTTTTCTAAACATGAACATTCTTTCACTAACATATACAGAGAGTAGTTTACTACTCTTTGTCGGCTTAATTGACAGCTACATGTATGTCTATAATGCTTTAAAAGGATTTATGTTGTTTTGTGTTTTTTCTCATGTTGCCTTTAATATAAGTTTGGAATGGAAGAAGGCTACAAAACTATATTAATGAATTCAGTCTAGAACATTCTTACATCTTAGCAGTTTTATAGTTAAGGCCTTGCTTATGCCAGTCCCAAGTGTGGTTGGATTTGTCTCATTGTCTTATAATGAACAAAGTGGCTAAAATAATATGAATACAACTCCTCAATAATTCTTAACTAGGCAAAAGTAATAACTCTTACATGTTTATGTCGTTATTAGTGTAATAACAGCATTTTCCATATCCTCATATTACCTGTACATCTTTTACAAATGGAATTTTACAAAGCCTAAAGGGCAAGTCAGATATCACCTTGTGAATGTGCCACAGGTATTCACTGAAACTAGAATCTTGTATCACCTATATTTGAAGAGTAGATTTTTTGAGCATGGCCAGGGAATGTCCCCTCATCTGTCATTTCATTTCAACCAGGGTGTGATTAATAAATATTAACTTTGAATTGCTTTAATTGGATGGCCATTTTATTTTGGCTGTTCTGACAGATTGATAAAAACCGCCAAATTAAGTCTCCACCAATTTTTGGAAAAAATCCCTTGGACCTTTGGTCAAAACCATTTTTTATATTTCAGCTCATATAGTACTATGAAGGTAGAACCTCCATGTGTCACCCCAAGAGTAACCTATGTGATTTCTAAGCCTTCCATATCCATATTTATTTGATGAGTCAATCCTCTGATTAAATAGCAGCGGAAATTCCAAAATTTGCCCAAATTAAATAGTGCCAAAATTACATCAATTTACATTACTTATGCTCATATCCATTTTATGACACCCATACTGGTAATTTACATCATTGGTCCTGATTTTTTTTATAGTGTTTCCAATTTATATAATTTATGTTGATTGGACTATGATAATAATTCCTGAAACATGGGGCTGGGGGATGGTAGGCATCATATCCATTTGTTTTAGATCATAGTTTGAGGTATTGGGGATTTTCTTTCCTTGTGAGTGATTATACTGTATTGTATTTCCCCTTTTGACACTTCTGCTTATCTATAGATGCATAATATCCCTTGAAATCTCACATCAATAGTGAAATAACTTTTATTTCGTTTATAACTGCATTCAATTGAACCTGTAACTTATATGGCTTTGATAAGTTCTGCATATTAAAAAGCTAATGGTTTATAAATATGTTATCACTAAATTCAATGCACAATCCATCATATTATTTGCTTGTTCCCCTTAAAGCTTTGAGCATTTCTCAATTGCAAAGTTCTTTCGCTCTTAATAATTAATGAATCATCCTTAAAAATCCATCCATTAAACAAAATTGATTATGTGTAGAATATAGTGTGAAACATGAGATGGCGCCTAAAAACACACAGTATCTCATGCTGTTATATTCAGCTCTATTGACTGAGATATGACACGCAACTCATAATTAATATAATAAACATTATATTCTAGTAATGTAGGATAAGCCACAATAATTTGCATCTAGATATCATAGAAAAATAGTGAAGCTGAAAGTTCCACACACTAGACCTTATTTGTAAGAATATAGGCCATATTTGTAAATGTGGGCCTAAAAATAGGCCTTGAAAATGCGTCTTTGAAAAACAATATTCCCATTTTTTTTAAATCTCCAAAAATTACAGGAAAAATATTCAAAATTATGTGGTCCCCATTGTGAATTATCAGGCCCACCCTTTTATTACCTAATCTCTATAGAACATGCTTTCCATCTGATGGCAATGAAAGGGCAGTGTACCTTCAAACATTGGCTGATATTGTATGTCAGTATATTCCCCACATATCTATGGGATTTAGTTGCAAGTTTCATTAGTTAAAACGATTGTCTACATAATCAGTAGCCCACATAAACAACCATCACTGTCACAAATGCTTAGTGGAAAATTGCACAATCTATCTTTACTTAATACTTCAAGAATTTTAAAAGCCACTCTGTATTTATGTCAGTGTATATCTGTATAATGTCATAATTCTTAAGACTAAGGTTGGCATAATAATATTAATTGTAATGCACCCATGGTATCGAGATCTATTGAAGGTCATTGTAATTTGTTATATGAATTTCACATTATTGAGACCTTATATACTATGCCTTTTCTCAATTGAAGAAGAATGTTTTGGATTATTATGGCACCATTGAATATCAATATGAGAATATGCCTGTTGTGTTTTGGGGTATATAATGCCTGTTGTTTTTGGGGTATATAATGCCTGTTGTTTTTGGGTATATATCTGTTTTATAACAAAATCGCATAAAGAGACATATAAAAATACAACAGCCATAAGGAAACAAATCCTTAACAGCCACTATGAACTAATAAATGTTGCAAGTGACTCCCCCCCCCCCAGTTTATCTCCATTACAAAAATACTACCAACCATAGAACTCTATCATACTGGATTCATTAAGATACATGTTGATGAATAATTTAATAGAAGAGACTGTATCAAATGTAACTGTCAATACTAGCCTAAACTAATCTCAGTTGATAGATAAATCTAGAAGCAAAATCTAATCAGTGTCAAAACTCAAAGGTCAATAGATCAACAGATTAAAATGCAAAAACAAATGTACTGTAGTGGCTAACTTCTGATTTGAGCAAAAACATAATTGTTTCTAATATTAATATTAAGGAATGAAGACCGAGATTCTATGATTTATGGCGCAATCTATGACTTATGATTTTTCTGATTGAGCGATTGAGGTCTTTGGCAATGGGCAGAATAAAATCTAAGGTTATATATTTGCCATAAATCATAGAATCAAGGTCTTTGTTATGATTCTATGATGAACATAACCAGAAAAAACATGTATGTACATTGAGGAAAAGTGGTCATATATATTCCATCCATAGAACAGTAAATCAATGATTAAACAAGTACAGTGAACATCTATAATCTACTTGTATAATGATGTATTTTCAGGTGAAAGTCCACTGTTTGAAAGCTGTTTTGAAGGTCATCTGAATATCGCTAAACACCTTGTCGAGAAGGGTGCAGATGTCAATGCAGTTAACAGCCGCAATATATCCTGCTTGATGATTGCTGGATACGCTGATTCGTATGATATTGCCAAATTCCTTGTTGACAATGACGCTGACATTCACATGCTTGATGACGAGAACAGAAATGTCCTATTCTACACTGTATCAGGTGGTCACCTACGTATGCTCAAGTATTTTGTATCTTTGGGAGTTCAGCCTACATTGGATAGACAACAACGAGATATATTAATGGAGGCTGTGCAAAATGGATTTCAGCATATTGTTGAATACATCATTACTGCAATGACTGAAAGTGTAAATATTAATCAACGTGACAAGAATGGACGTAACGTCTTATTCTATGCAGTTGAAAGTGGAGTGCTCCCTATACTTGAGATGCTTTTAAGAAAGGTTGCACTTATTGAAACTGCGGATGATGGACGTTCGTTAACAATGGTTAGTGCATTAAAAGGGCATGGCCATATTGCTCGCTATCTTCTCATCAACCACCACAACCTTGGCATAGATGTCAATGAAAAAGATACTAAGGGGCGCAACGTATTATTCTATTGTGTCACTGGAGGGGACCTGAACTTATTTACAACCTTCTTAAGACATGGGGTCAGAGTAGAGAGCAGCACTGATGGTATCACAATTCTCATGCAGGCTGTTGCAAAGGGCCAAATGGAATTCACTCTGTATATTCTGAACAACATTTCCCGTATCGGACTTGACATAAACCAGCAAGATAAGGATGGTTGGAACGCCTTATTTTATGGCATTGCAGGTAATTATGGATGGTAATGTTCAGATAAATGTATTTTGATGGATTATTTTTTGTAAGAGAAAACCTTTATGACAAATTAAGCATAACTAATAACTGCTGTAGTATTCCTATGAAAGAAATATGATATTGCCTTTTATGGTAGATTAGGCTTATTATACTCAATGAACGAATCATTAATCATCTTTAATTGTTTTAGAAATGTATTTTGTCTGGTGACATTTCAATTATCACTTTAATTATATTTTTAGGAGGTCATCTAGAGCTTTTCAAGACTGTTGAAGCCCATGGTGCTGTTGTTACTTCTTCCAAAGATGGCCGGTCCATCTTGATGCAAGCTGCATTGAAAGGCCATATGGAGATGGTTCAATACTTGGTGGAACATACAAGTCAATTTGGTCTTTCTGTTAATCAAGTAGACACTGATGGTTGGAATGTCCTTTTCTATGCAATACAGAGTGGTAATTTGGATGTCTTCAAATATCTCCTTAGTCATGGTGCAACACCACTGCCAGCCAAAAATGGTGTTACTTGTCTCATTGAAAGTATTGATAAAAGCAAGGATGACTTCGTAGATTACATCATCGATAACTCAGAGAAGTTGGGAATTGACTTACATGAATCTGATGATCAAGGTGCTCACTGTCTCTTTTATGCTGCTGCTACTGGACACATTGACTTAGCAAAAGTGCTTATCTCAAGAGGACTAAAGGCTAATGATGATAAACAAAAACGTTCTGTATTGATGCAGTCAGCCTTAAGCGGTCACATGGACTTAGTCAATCATTTTCTGCTTACTGACATGCATCTTGGACTTGACATCCATCAGTGTGATGTCCATAATAAAAATGCAGTATATTTTGCAGTTGAAGGTGGCAAAGTTGCTATTGTGAAAAGACTGGTTAGTGAAGGGATTAAATGCATCCCTGATGACATGGGAAAGACATGCTTGATGATAGCTGCTGGGAAACATGACAAACAAATGGTGAATTACCTCCTTACAAATGCACAAACTCTAGAATTAGAAATCAATGCAAAAGATAATAATGGGGAAAATGCGCTTTTCTATGCAATGAATTCTGGTAGTATTGACATTTTGGCAAATCTTTTGACAGCAGGAGTGGAACTTACTTCTAATAATAGCGGCATTAATGTGTTTGCCCAGTGTATGCGACAGAATAATCATGACATGATCAAAAGTATTATAGCCAGTAATATTGACCTGAAGGATGCTGCAAATGGAAAGGACAGTAAAGGATGCACCACACTTTACAACTGTGTCAGCCAAAGTGATATTGATTTGCTGTTATTGCTAGGTAAGGATTGTCTAGACTTAATAGCACATGTCTAGAGCAAGGCAAACAAACCCTTTCATTACCACAATAAATGTTCTTTTAATCATATAAATCACAGTTGCAAACTTGTCTTTTTAGGCCAATACTATGATGAAACCACTGACTTTGATTCTGAAGGGAAAACAATACTGATGAAGGCCTGTCAGCAAACAAATGTACAAATTGTGCAATATCTGCTTGAGGATATGTTGGTGGATGCAGAGAGAACTGACAGAGATGGTTGTAATGCTTTATTCTATGCTGTACAAGCTGGTAACATGGAAGCAATGAGGTTTCTGTTTGGCTTTGGTGCAAGTTGTGTCAGTGACAATCAGGGACGTACACTATTAATGGCTGCTGCTGAATCTGGAAATTTAATGATCACTGAACATCTCTTGAAGTATATATTCAAGAAGGGAAAGATGGAAATGTTGGATAATGATGGAAGAAATGCTGTTCACTATGCTGCCAAACAGGCAGACCCCTTTGTTGTATCTCTCCTTCAAAAGTATGGGTGCTCAATAGACCTCAGAGACAATTCTGGGGTAAGACCAATCATGATTGCTTGTCAGTATGGTAATGTGAGAGTGTTTGATGAGTTTGTTCTGCTCAAATGTGATACTGTACAATGTGATGATAAAAATAGGGGTCTTCTCCATCATTCCCTGACATCTTCAACTCCAAGCAAGATTTTACTTGATTCCATCATCCAATTGCCACATGTAACAATTAACACTCAAGATAACAATGGGACAACACCATTCATGGTTGCCTGCTTAAATTGTGATAGAACCCATGTCCACATTATTGAAGTATTGCTCAAACTTGGTGCCAATCCAGAAACTCAGGACAAGAAGGGTAAAACTGCAATTGATTATTGCACCAAAGATCAATCCTTCATCAAGTCATATCTCAGAAGGTATTCTTCACTTGACAAATCATTAAGAAATATCCTCCGTCTCAATGCAAAGTCCCTTGCCACAGTTATTTCTGTCAGTCAAATTTTACCTTATCTAGTCAGAACCAGATTTTTAACAAAGCACCATGTCTCTGTCTTAACCCAGAAGCAATCTGAAGTTGAAAAATGCAAAAAGCTCATTCAAATATTACAAACTAGAGGAAGCAGATCATTTGCAGTATTTTGCAATGCACTTGAGTATGGGGGCTATAATATAATAGCTTACAGGCTAAAAAGATTAGCTTATCAGAAAACTGTAGAGATAGTAGTTTAAATGTTAGAACATTCCAACAAGAAACTTGATACTAAATCAATGCACTATGTCGGTCTTTATTGTTATTTCTGATTAGTTTCTCTCATGTGACTTCACGATGGCTTTGTTATTTTGATAATCTTCAATTTGAATTCAGTGCCATGCTCACTTCGATTCGTGTATATCATGATTTATTCCATGCCTGCCATTGTATTGTATGTCATGTAAGTTTATAACATTTATAATAAATGTGCATTAATTTTACTTAATGTCTCAAAATGTGTGTTGAGTTTTGAATCGTAGTTTAAAATGTATAGCATAATGCAGCCAAGCATGTGCCTTACTATTTTCTAGTTGTCTTTTCTGGTAATTATAAAGTATTCCATTGGCAATTTACGAAATGTATAAGCATCCAGTAGTAGTATATAGAAGTCTAACATTCAGTTTAGTAATGATAAATCACAACAATGAAAATTAGTCATAAATCATATACCTTTCTTATATGCTTAAAATATCGATGAACTGATACAAAACATCATTAAATCATTCTAGACAATAATGATGGTGTTGGATAACATGTACGTATATTTGTATTTCAAGCAATCTAACTTCATCTATAAACTTTTTTTTGTTTTGTATTTAAGCATCCTGATTTATTAGACATTGGGCTTAGACATACAGACAGCATTTAATTGCATGTCTAGCATGTTAAATCAGGTAAATTTATTCATTATTTCTCCACTTGGCTCAACATAGAATTGATGAGGACTTAACACCTGCCACAATGTACTTAAGGTATGTACAAAGGACATAAAACAAACGATTTGTTAACAATAAGATCAGTATCTAAATTTCTTAGTAATGTACATGAAAAAGTTATTGATTATTTAAGAATTCAGTTCTAAATATATTATTAGGTCTCAGGCCTTTAAATCTTTGGAGATCTTTCCATTTCCACAGCCTTGGAGACATAACATTATGATTTCCATTATGTTGCAATTAGATATTTAGAGATCTTTTCTTTTCCACAGCCATTTGGTTTTAACTCTCTATTCAAACAACACACTTTTGTAAAAATTAGCCTAAAATGATTTCCTTCAGAAGGTCTTGAAGTATTGTCCCCCTCCTAAAACATCTTATGATTGGTTACTTACTTAACATATGTACAGGGTGTTTCATCTGTATGCACCCCCCCCCTCTCTAAAATCAGTTCATCCTGTATATGCTTCCCTCACCATACCTTGAGTTAGGTACACATTCTTTGATTTCTAAAATGTTGCATAATTTTGGATATTTGAGCATCCATGATATTGTAGAAACAATTAACGAGTCAATGTAATATTCTGAGTTGATGAGAGCCCTGGATAGGCTAATAGCTAACTTAAACAATGTTTCAAATAAAAGGTGGTAAACTATCATGTGATAGAATTGATTGTGTTAGATAATTACCATACTTAATTATATATTTGCGCCTTTCTAATTTTTCCCGATTTTTTCATCATAGGCCTTTATATGGAGGTAGAGCTGTTGATTAAAGCTCATGACTGTCACACAATGGCATGTAATATGGAGGGGGTCTCCAATGTGCTACAGCAAGCAAGACAGTGCAATATAAGACTCACTGCAGCAGAGGAATACTCCCTCATGGTATGTTCTTTGTTATTGTATTAAAGGGACTTGTCTCTCTAAAACTGATTAAATCTATTTAAAAGTGGTTTCTAGTAGCACTGGTCAGTATCAAGCGATGGTAACGGCCGTAACCTTCGCATTTAAGATGGTGGATGGTAATTCAGTAATTGTCAATTTTAGTTTTAATTGAATTAAACTACTTTATAGTTGATGTTATGCTTTGATATCTGGACCAAATCAGGCTATATGACATGGGAACTCTGGAATATGATAATTTGTTCATATATCATGTGTCTGCCTCAAGGATATCTTAAGGGACGGTAACTGTACATGTATGATACGGTTAATTTTCAATACGCGGCAACTGGACATCTTAGCTTCCATTATAAACTCTCATAACATTATGGTTTCACTGCATATCAGTTATCTTGTCATCTGTAAAAGCAAAATCCCAGTTACCTTCCCTTAAGCAGTGGAAGATATCGGGAACTGTGGTGCTTACACATGGTATATGAAGAAACGATCATACTCCAGTTTCCATGTCATGTATGCCTGATATAATTCAAATATCAAAGCATTATGCCAACTATAACGTCGTTTAATTCGATGAAAACTAAAAATATTGAAATCGCCACTCACCATCTGCCATCTTTGATCTGAAGGTTATGGCCATTTCCTTCGCTTGATACTGACCAGTGAGTAGGGTACACATAGCTTGCCATGTAAATAAATTCATTTGTTCACTTGGAATTGAAATGCAATATTTCTCTCCACTTGTGAATTGTTTACATACTAAACATGAAATACAAGTTATTTTACTTAACATACAATCTGAATATTTAACTGCCATTCCAGATAAGACTTCTGACTGGATTGGGAAGATATGGAGAGATGGTCTACATATTTGACACTTTGAAGGAGTCGCATCAGTTTGAGCTTCTATTCAGGAAAGGTATTGAAAAGGTAAGTTTTCCAGTTTGGTTATAAAGTCATGTTTGTTGAAAATATGTTGCAATACCCAAAGCAGCCAAGTTTGAGCTTAAGGAAGCTTGAGAACAAAAACAAAAACTCATGTATTGAGATTTCGTCTTTCAAGTGACCTTGACTTATGTAAAGGTGATCATGGACTCTCTTGATCCTAACACTAATTGTGTACTACGTGTACTGAGTTTTATTAAAATACATTGTCCTATAAACGTTGAAGTAGATGGCCATCTGGCATTGAATCATACTTCAAAGATGACACTCAAATAAATATTGCATTCAGAAGATTCAGATGGACTTACAATGTCATATTAATTAATTTAATTAATTAAGATTTTGCTTTTGTTATGACACCATCAGGAAGTGATATCCCATGTCACTATCAAGAAGTGGCAACATTTTGTTATTGCAACCATTTCTGTGACTGGGATTTGTAACAAATGGTTACACTAAATATAACCAGGTGGCAACAATTTTAAATTGGAATGCCTGTTCTACTTGCTTGTTATCTCCAAAATATGAACTTTACATTACAGTACATTTGTTTCAGAATGATGGTTTGAAACTTGCTATTCTGGACTACTTAAAGCGCTTCCACCCTGATGACACTGAAACATTTACGATGGTGTCTCTTCACTTCACCATGTATAGAGAGATAGCCAGCATGTTAGAGACCACTGCTCTTGCACAACTCAACTCCCTCAAACACAAAACACTAGGTGAGTATTCGTAAGGTCAAGGTCACGCAAGGTGACATTTACATCACTATGCCTGGTATCTATGCAGATAAAATGACTTTCTTAGAATTATCTCCACCTTCAAATCACAATATTATAGTTGGACATTAGTTCTGTAATATGTGTGAAATTAAAGTTGTCCTACTTGTAGGAGGGATAGAGAACCCCCACAATTGTTTCTGTATAACATGTGACACAGGTAGGGCAGCTTTAGACAATTGTGTACATGGAAGGCCTGGTATTCCCAACCTTGGACCCTGGGCTTTGAGCTTACAAAGTCCACCAATAGGATGACTTGTCCTTATGTTGCTTTATCAACATCAGACTTAATCTTCCTCAGCTTAAATATCACTGTAAAGCCCAAGAGAAATCCTTCCACCCTTGTTCAGTTGTTACATGATTAAATCCAACAAACATTGCACTGGAGAGTCCCTTAGAAAGAATTCTACTTTTGTCCTTGTTCAATTGTCGCATGATTTGGTACCCTTGATTTGATCAGATACTCTTTACTCACTATGAAAACCTGAAAACCTTTGCACGCAGAAAGCCAACACATTTTGATTGCATAATGAACCAATCAATGGCTTTCTCCATGGCCAAACGGAACCCTTGAACTGAGAAATCACACTTCTACCCTTTTGCTTGATACTCTAAAAATCATTTAGTATTGTTGTCAATCGGAGAAGTAATTGCTGGCAGTCTTGTCTCAGAGGGAATATGTTTCCCCCTCTATATATACGAGCACATATAAGCTTAGATGGGGGATAACATACGTCCCATACCTTGCCTGACGCTTATCTGATGTTCAGTGGATATGCATTTACATTGCTGTTTTTTTATTGATATTAGTATGATATATGATGATGCATTTTATATTATTTCAGAAAATGACACTGAGATCCACAACACACTCAGTAATTGTGTCCAGTACTTCTCTGATGCTGCAGAAAGCTACTATAAGGTAACGTACAGGGTGTCCAAAAACAGGACCGTAGAAAAGTTAATTAACTCGGTCAAACCTGCATATTTTGCCTTGAAATTTCAGAATTGTTTAGTTTATTCAATGAGAATTTTGTTGTGAAAGTTTATATTCAGGTGCGACTTAGTTTACCATGTACTTTTTTAATGACTTTGCAGGAAAAGTGTCTACGTCATGCCCAGCACTGTGTGAAACAGGCCAAGTTGGTTGCGTTACAGATCTCATTACTGTCCTCAGGAATCCGAGTGATTTTACTTGAGCATGCAGAGATCCAAAACTTTCTTGTCACACACAATAAGTTCTATGAGGTAAGATTCAGAATACATGCACAATACATGTGGACATTATAAATTATGTAATATGTACATGTATGTAGGCAAGAGGAGCTGATCAAATCAGACCCGAACTCACACCTGCCATGCAGACATAAATCATATAGGGGAGAATATCAGGACCTACGAAACTTTCTCCCTCACAAAATCAGAGCAATTATAGCATCTTATATTTTTTTCTAAACACACATTTAAAGCTGGGGTCAATGCTATTCATTAATTTATAAGAGACATAATTATTATTCTTTGTTTGGAAGAACATTTCTTGCTTTGTTATTGCCAAGAGTAGATGTTTTTAAAGGTGCCATATAAAGTTTAAACCACTCTGGCTTATATTTAATAGTCCTACCAAATGTTATCAAAATGTGCTAAAATTCAATTTACGCTTTGTATTTCCATAAAGTTGATCTTGAAGGTATTTTTATCAAAAAATGTGAATTTATTTCAAATAAAATTTTAAATGCTGTTAAAAATTTTCTTTCAGGCATTAATTGTGGCAGAGGCTTACAACTACAAATCAGGATGGGCAACAGCCCTCTATCATCATGTGGTACTTGGTGGAGATTTCAAGTACTTGCAAGACTTCAAAGCCTATGTTGCCCTCAACCCTAGCCTTGTCTATGAGGTTGCTAATAGGTAGGACATATTAGACATTTCTAGTTCTCCAAATGAGTCCGTTTCTCACTTTAGTGAAAATATAACTGATATTGTACCAAAGTAAAAGATCAGGAATTTATCTTGTCATGTTAAATAAAAAGTCAAAGTTAAATTTAAAAGTGAATATAGAAAATTCACCTCAACATCGCCTCAGTTAGGACAAAAATGTAAAAAATGTACGAATAATGAAGTATGAAGTTTCAGGATTTCTGAAAAAAATAGGATAAGAATGTTTTGGAAAGTTGCTCTATCTTTGCTTCTACCTCTGTCATATGACAAAAATGAGTCACCTTCAACTCCTCAACTTCATTCAGTTACAGCTAATTTGCCAAATCTAAATTACGATGTGACTTGATAGGACTAGACACATGGGACTACTAGAGATTCAACGAGACTCCATGTGACACATGGTAGTTAAAAAGTCAATAAAAAGTGTACATTGGGCTCATGTTCCCATAATCATGTACATATGAGATATGACAACAATTCCTCTCTGTATTTCAGCTACAGAAAAGAGACTAACAAACCTAACAATAGTGGAGTGCACATGAAGAAACTGCTGGCCCACTGTACTGATGTGCGAACCATGTATAAAATCGCAATGGACCTGGGATACACTGAAATACACATGGAACTCATGAAGGCTGAGACGGGTGCTTATTTGAAGGATACTCTTCAACGATAATCATTCCATACACTGATTATTGAATAATAACAATTTCTGTGTTTTCAAACATTGAAGTGTATTACTATTTCATAAAACTATTTTTTGTATTGATAAAAACCTAAATGATGAACATTTCATAATACATCTATTTTTATATTGGACTTATCTTGTTGTTAATAAAGTACCAATTGGAGACACTCTAAATCTTGTTTGTTAAGGAACATTATAAAACTAGAAATGGGCAACTCCACAGAGTAGCAAATCCCGACAAAATATTCATGGATCTGTATGTCATGTCATTATAATGTTATATTTACCATCTACTCTACCCATGATTTGCAAATAATAAAGACAGACATTGGACTTGGAGATGTATCAAAAGGGGACATGCCATTAAGAGGCCATTCTCTGACTTAGTCATTTTTTCAAAAGTGTGAAAATAAAAATATTCATGAAAAGTTCTTAAAATATTCTGAATAACAAGTTGAATATATATACTTAAATGATGGCACAAGCAAAAGTCTGAAAATTAACATGAAATGAAGGGTTTTGACAGATGCAAAAGATTTGTGATGAAGAAATAGAGGTTTTTGCAGTAACAACACAATTACCTCGAATTTTTCGGTTATGAGAGACTGAGGACTAAACTTGACATAATTTTCAATCTCAGATTATCAGTAGTATCTTACTTAAGCCGGACAGCCACTCAAAATGTATATGGAGCCCATAAGATTCATTTTTTCTCAATTGAAGTCACTATTTCTGTTTTTAGCTTCAGAGGATAGGAGGTACATGAACATGCTAAGTTTACCTAGATCACAAGCCTTACCACAAATATAAAGTATATAAGAATAGAGTTGATATGTGTGAAAACCTTAAACTTCCCATTTTATTGGGGATGGAACTTGTGGACCTTGTGTATTTCTAACTTCTTCACATGTGCATGGATCCAAAATTGTGGCAGCCATCTTGGATTTGTCATATTATGTGGACATGGTTTTGGTTGTGCTGAATTTGTTCAAAATAACATTTCTTGTATACCTTCGATAAGTGAGATAAGCATTTGAAATTAAAAACAGATAGTATACTTGACATTTAATGCAGTAAACAGTAATACAATTCATTCTTACATAATAAGTGAGTCCAGACAAAAAGTTATTATTGTGTTAGTTTAACTGGGCATAAATTACACTCATTGGCCTTGGTTTTCTTAATTGGCTTGGATAAAATGTTGTTCTGTTTATTCAGAAAAGGAGTATAGTTCAATATACAAGTTCACATTCGTTCCATCCTCTTGTAGAAATGAATCTCATTTTATTTCATCTCAAATATGTAGAACACAAAAATATATTTCTATCTATTAATTGCAAAAGTTAGCTTCTATGTCATGACTGAGTTTGGGTTTCGCTTCTAGGGAAAAAATATCCATCTGGAAATATCGTATTGACCATTGCTATACACTCCATATTTAATCCTCCCAGTAAATAACATTGATATACAGTATACAAGTATATATGACATCGAGGATCTGGGTTATGTGAGACATGAGACCACTTGTCTTTTTGAATCTCATATTCAATATTCTTTCTTTAAACCCTCATATTTAATATTTTTGGAGTGGTAATTCAATTATGTATCTATTTTTTATTCTTTATCCCATAGTTGAACTCTGTTCCGCTCTGTTAGGTAACATGAAAACATATTTATGATATTTTGCAAATGCGTGGAAAAAGTGATATCTGTGGAATACGGAAAATATTTCACAGATATCACCTTTTGGCAGGGATTTGAAAACTACCACCAATATGATGTGTTTTGTTACATAGTGATTTCATGACATCACAGGGATGAATGAATGAATGGATGTTGTTTTGATATGCTTTGTTTAGTTTTAGAGGTGAACTATGGGAAAAATAAAACATCCTGTGAATTTTCGTGATATTGTGTTAATCTAACTCATTGATATCAATATCTGCGCTAATTCGCTATGCTAACTTGGCAAGATATTGATATCAACTCGGAGATAAAGATAAAATCATTTAAAATCATATGATATCCTATACATATCCTTTACTGTGCCACAACTTTCTCATATGTTATATATCTTGGCACAGGCCATCATTTATTTTCCGTGAATTCATGCTTTTGTTCCTCTTTTAGAAATGAGAGGAAATCTTTGATTTTTCTTGTATTTAAGTTGCTTAAATGTTGCCCTGTGATGTCATAAAAGTCAATAGTAATCCATTACAGTCACAGTTGAAATGTACCCATTGCTAGCCCAGAACCTACCAAAATAGCATTTGCATTTTGTCAATATTGCCCTATGTGCTTTTCCATGAAAATAATTTTAATCGTATATTTTCTTCAGTATTTCATATATTACATTTTAATATATTTAAATTGGTTGATATTTATGTACTATTTACTTAGACAACAATAAATAAAGAATTTTTTGTAAAAACACCAAAAATGGTATATAATCTTTAAATGACTGTTGTGTATGTTGTGTGACCATCAAAGGTCAAAATTCCCTGAAATTGTATTTTTATAAAGCACAAATGATTTTTCTTCAATATGATATGCATTATTATCAGATATCTTTGGGGGCTAAAAAGGGCCCTTAATGACACCCGTCCTTTCCACCAATTTCAGCATTTTTGTGACTATTTAGGAGTTTCAAAGGTGCAAATCATAGCCTAAAGATAACAATATAATATTTGGGATCTAATATAGTACAGGGTGGTAAAAAATGGCAACCCTGCATTTTCTTCATATCTTTGTCATTTTAGAAAATTACTCCCCAATATTTAATACACATTTGTAAATTATTCATTTTCATATCAGCCTACCATATTTCATGACAATCAGACAGGTAGCCACAATGTTACAGCACTTCGAACAACATGCTCCAGGTGTGGCCATCATTGCGCTGAAGGCAAACCTGTGCACGTTGTCAAAGACCCGACCGCATTCCTCAGCAGGCATATCCCCAGAGGTAGAAGTCAGGTAGGGACATTTTGGAAGACGCAAGCAGGTTTGGCTATAGCTGTGTATAGTGCAATAGTGGCCACTGGAGCATGTTGTTTAAAGTGCTGTAACATTGTGACTATCAGTTTGATGGTTATGAAATATACAATGGTAGGTAATTGAATGCTGTACAAATGTGCCAAATATCAGGGAGTAATTTATTAAGATAACAAAGATACGAGAAAAATAAAGGCAGAGATGCCATTTTTTATACCACCCTGTACAATGTATACTAGAAATATAACCATACTTTGAAGAGATATCTAAATTATAGCAAATTCCCCCTTTAGACAGCCATTTTGAAATTTCTGAGGCACGAATCAGAAATGAGAAAAGTAATACTACAATTGTGATCTCTGAACTTCCTTCAATTTGAGTATAATAAAGCCTTAGTTTGAAGAAATCGGGACATTATTGCAGAATCCCACATTGGGTGGCCATTTTGAATTATCTGAGGCCCAAATCAGAAAAATATTGCAATATTTGCAATCTACACGAAATTAGCTTTACTTCATAAGATCTCAAAATTAACGATATTTTTTGTTTACCTGACGCCCCATACATAGCCCCTGGGTGTCAGGCTTAAGAACATTGGCCACCTTCTCAAAATAAATACCAAGAAATTTAGTGAATTCTCAGGAATTGCTCAAATACAATGGGGAAAAGGGAGCCATTCTTAAAATTGCTTCATTGCTTGTATCTATGATATAAGGTGTATGCACATTGCACATATAAATGATTTATGGATAAAATATTTGAAGGAACATGTATTTTGAAAGGAAATGTCTTGTATACATTTTAAATTCATTCTTAGTCTCTGTCTTATGGTTATCAAACAAATAATAGATTCCGATTACACTCTAGTCAAATGTAACATTTCTTGTAATTTATGGAAATTATGAAATAATTTGATTTATGAACTGAATGAAGTTTAAAGCATTGAAAAGGAGTTTGAAATTGGTGCCGTAAAGCTAAAGCTTGTACTTTAAAAATTAGCTAGGCTAATTTTGTGGAGGCCCATTAAAGAAGTCATTTGAGGTCAATAAAAGGTCAAATCTGAAATACTGACACAAACTTTTCTGTTTTATCTTTTTTGTTTCATTTAATATTAAGAAAACTGACATTTTTACAATTAAATATATGTTCAACTTGTGTAACATCAGAATTAGCAGACGTTTCATTCTTTTTACGTCACTATTCCACTTCATTTACTGTATCCAAAAGTTGAGACCATACATGTATGTGTTAGGCTAACCACATATTTATGTATGGTAGGCTAACCTATGTATGTTCGGCTCTCTGAAAGTTCACATTTTCTGCATCACCCATTTACATGTACATGTCATATGAGAAAGTCTATATCTAATATATGCAACACATGTGAGATTCTGTGTATGGTGTCACACATTTATGTGCCATATGTGAAATTCCAGGTAGCCTATCAGATTTATGCACCAAATGTAACCTGTCACACATTCACTTGCCATATGAGAAATTTCATGTCGCCTGTCATACATTTGTGTGCCATATGTGAAAATTCATGGTGTCACACATTTATGTGCCTTATGTGAAAGTTCACCACATATTCAGCATTAGTTCTCTGAACAGAGATTGCAAAGGGTTCAAATGGATGGAATGTGAATGCTACAAGACGTCTAGCAGATGCACTGGGGTTGCGACTTGCCATACCAGCATGGATCTTAAACTTCAGTAGCCCAGAATCCCTGGCATAGAACCTGAAAATTAAATTAAACACTGATTATTGTAGTAGCCTCAAACATATTGCTTTGATGATAGCTCATGATATGCAACATTATTACAACTAACCAAACAGCTATTTTAGGGACCACGTGAAACATCAGATAAACATCAAAATTGCATCATCATAAAATCACCCATTGCTTTTAAATTGCTAATAAATTGTTAGTCAATCACCTAAATGTGGCAATGTACTCTCTGTGCCTAATTTACTATTGATTTGGAGTACATATTGTTTCGTGGGCCATAGACTAACAGCCATTAAGCTAATAGATCGTAGGGCAAAGGGGTGTAACGTCGACATGTGTGGTAATATAGACATGAGATATGGGCTTACTTCGATCTTTCTTGTTTAGAAATTAGAATTTCTGTTTCTGAAAAACATGACTTCCCCCTATATGGGAAATTTGAGAAAATAAACAACAAGGTATCAAAGTTACCCCACACGTCGAAGTTACCCCAAATTGAAATGAAATGGTATTGACGTTTTACTTCTTTCTACTTGATAGTTATTAAATATATGCATTTTAGCAATGGAAAAATATTTCATATTTTTATTACCTAATAGGATGGTCACCACATGCCTTAGGTCTTTCAAGTAATGAGAGCCATCTATCATCATAGCTGAATAATGCTAAGTCCAAATATGGACTACTGCTGTAAGACTGGGCACTGATTGGTAGCTGGGCGAGGAGACGACGTACAGCCTCCGTTTCACCTCCAAATTTGGCATTGATTATTGTTTGTTTGGATCGCTGTTGTATCTGTCTTGCGTAAATACTTGAAGATTGTGAGCAGGGGAACTGGGCCTCACAATGTAAGGTTGCATTCCTGAACATATCACAAAACTGTTCAAACACTGATAATAAGTCATAGGATGTATTCTCATAGATGGCCACAACATCTGTGGATTTCATATTGTAAATAACAAAGAATGATGGCTGCGAATTAGGATCAGATATTTTCAGAGTTACAACATCTTCACTTGCGTATTTGATCATGACGTGCGACTCATCTAAGAGTTGCATTTTCCACATGCGTAATGCTCGAAACTGATCAAAATATTGGTAGAACTTTCTGAGAGCTTTCGGTGTTCCTTCAGAAGCTGCCCTCTTGTATAAATGCACTAAAAGTCTGTGTTTTAGAGAGTTTATGCTCGCTTCATGGAACGGTTTTACGAGAGTGGAAGAGTGATGACCTTTTGTGGCTTGCTGTTGGCGTTGTTGTTGGACGGAAGATACAGCAAGTTCATCATCATCGTAACAAAATCGCCCTGGAAAGGAAATGAGAACAGAGTAAATGTACAACACTAATCTTAAACAGTCAGATCTTGAAAATTTTCTCAGCATCAACCTCCATTCATATTGAGTTGAAACAACTGTTACCATTCTTTTTCATTTTTTTCAAACACAACAGTTTTCAAATATGCGTCAGGCTTACTGATTGCACTCACGATTGTATATGCTCAATGGAAATTGGGTTGATGTTCTAAAGCTTGTTTCCTAAACCAGGTCTGAGTTCCAATCAGCTAAGACATAATCAAGGCATAGTGACAGTATACAAACTGTTAATGAATATAATAGAACTTACCAATTGACCTGACATCTATGAATGAGCCATCCTGTTTTACTTGATAAATATGTATCGTCTGTTGCTGGACTGATAGAACAGCCAATGTGTCTCTGTATAAATACAGCCCTTGATTATGCGACAGGAATATTTTGTCACACTTGAACTCTCGACTATCGCAAAGTTTTCCAGTCCGGAGATCAACTAAATGTAATGTGTAATCCTCCAGAGGGGATCTTGGATTAGGGGATACTGATTCATTGTTCTTGTACATCTGGAAAAACTGAGGATAGGGATTTTCAGGTACATAGGCAGCAGACCCCACAATTACATAGTGGCCATCGTCAGTGAATAGGCTACATTCCCTGTTTAAATGTTCACCATTTGAGGCTACATTTGTAGTGTGAATCTTCTGGAAAAATTTGTCGAATAATGCAATTTGGATTGCCTGGAATTGTCTATCCCCACCATTTGGAATGTAATCCGCAGTTACATCCTGAAGCAATTCCTCAGCTGCTGACGCACCTTGGAACTCAAAAATCTCAAGGGATGTTTGGTCAGAAGAGAATGCGACAAAAAAGCGTCCATCTGGTGAAAACTTCCTCATGAAGCAAGGTGGTTTCTCTACATTCACCACAGTAAAATTTGGAAACACATTAGTGTGAAATTTTCTAGCTACATGGTAGTGTGTACATCTTTTCGCGTTGTGGATCTCACGATCCCGCAATCGCAAAACAACATTCTGATTTGGAATCTTTCTTGGAATTATACCATCTTCACTATCAGTTTCATCATTGACAAATTCATCAGACTGGAAGTCCTGGCTTGTTCCTGGCTGTGGTTCAGAATACTGCATGGTTCCATTAAATCTTTGGGTTATAACTTATCATCATGATTCGTATCATCTGAAAAATACAATAAAATAATTAAGTACCATTGGTACATGAAGTAAGTATTTATTTTGTGCAACAGTTCAGATTTGAAAAATTTGGACAGAATCGTCCAAACATGTATTTGTTACCGAGTTACAAATCATAATACTATATACAAGAAAGGGGCCAAGAAACATTTTAATGGAGACTAGTTCTGAATTCTAAATGACCCATTTGGTCTCTGAAGGATCAATAAATCTTTTTCTTTCAATCTGTGATAATGACTTGACATAATTGACATTAGTCACATACAAAATCAAAGTTAATTTTTACACTAAGATAGGGTCTTGTTACGGATTGAGGTTACTTCCTCAACCTCTCACATATCCTATCTACAGTATTCTCATTAATAAACAAGCTGTAGGTAGAACTATTCCTTCCGGAATGGATTTGCCTCTAGACAACTAAGACTCTTATCTCAAGGATAGAATGTACAAATGAGGCAAAATGTTTGCTATTATAGGCAAGTACATGTATGCCAAATAGACGACTCTTTAATTATTTTTTGTCTGCGCTTTAGCTATCAATTCTAGTATCTTACAAAAATAAAGGACGATTCTCGGTTTGGAGAACGAAGTTCATCAATCTAAATAAGCATTATCCCTGCTTCGGACAAATTTGATTATTTTTACATTATATAGATTTGAATGTCTTCTTTTGAATAGTCATAATTTAATTTGGGTAATATTTCTTGATTTTTCACAAAAAAATATCAGCGCAGTACACTGATGAACTTCTTTCCCCAAATCGAGACTTGTATTTTATTGAATCGGTCTAATTGAGCGTTATCCCTGCTTCAGACCAATTTGTTATTTTTACATCTTGTAGATTTAAATGTCCTCTTTTGAATATTCATAATTTAATTTGGGTAATATTTCTATATTTTTAATGAAAAAAATTATTAGCCCAGGAGACTGTTCTCCAAACCGAGAATCGTCCTTTGTACCACCAAACAATGAAAAACATTGAGTCCGAACCACAGATGCCAACAAGTAGCAGAAGCCCCCAATGTTATATATAGGTATAGCCCATTTCACTGTTTTATTGCGTCAGTAAAACCTAATAAATAAGAAATCAAAAGATCATTATGCAATAATATATGGAAAAATATATTCCTATTGTACAGAAATTACATTTGTTTATCTTGGATTGCTTCTAGTTTGGCTAATAAAATGTGTGGCCTCTTACATTTTGATGCCGCTTGTCTGCCATATAGTATTTTCAAAAAGATTAACATGGCTGGAATTCTTAAATTACAAGAGGGCACAGGCTTATTGCACAAACAATAAATAATCTGAAATATACAAACCCGGGGATATAAATGTCATTCATGTACAATATAAATACACTTTTCCATATATTATTGCACAATGGTCTCCTGATTTCTTATTTTTGGGGTTCTACAGTACTGACTCAATAAAACAGTGAAGTGGGCTTTATCCGTGTAGGATAGGCTAAATAAATAATGAATATTATCGTTGAGGAACTGATATTAGTTCAAACACCTGCCCTGTCAACCCTTACTCATTAGGCATGATTGTCATGCATTTGCTGGAAATAATAAAATCACGCATCAATTTTGCGTGTATGATAAAATTAAAATGTCACACAAATCATGCATTATGTTGATAATTAAAATAAATTTGCTTTTTATAAAATGCCGATATGATAAAAAAAAAGTGAACATAACAAAGCATACGTCTCCTGTTCGAACGTTTCACACAAATTCTGTATATGTCATGCATTTTGTTCGAAATATGTGTACATGTATATGTCACGCATTGCTTCCAAATATTTTGTAACACGATCGTGTCAGAATATGTGGTCCGAACTTTATTTATTCCAACTGTTCTTCTAGGTTGGCCAATAGATGTCAGGTGTGTTGACAATGTAGGCCTAGGTTTACTCGAGTCTCTAGCTTACAGCTAGACGAAACTTCATTGATTTCGTATGTAATGTGCTACACGCACCTACACGCACCTAGAACTCATTTTTAATAAATTTTATAAATATTTTTAAGAATATTAATCATATTTAGGATGAAGCGTTGCTTGTCTGGATTTAGATATTTCAAAATTTCATTTCGGAGTTTTGACACATGGTGAAATTTTCTCGCTGTAGCTAAAAATGGCTTCCGGTTCTGGACGTGAATAACATTTGAAATTATTCTCGCTTAAAGAAATCAAATATAACAATAGATTCAGACGGGGATGTGAGCTGATGTTCTTCAAATCTATACATAAAGGTATATTTCATATTATTATGCCATATTTACTGTGCGTGTGACACAATGATTTACAATATTTATAATACTAAGGCAGCTCAATCTTCCTCCTCAAAGCCGGAATATAGAGAAGGCTTTGGACCGAAGTCAGCCTAGGTCTACAAGTTGAATGTTTCGCCTTACTGGAACTGCAATGACATGGTGAAATATCTGAAATGACAGCTGACAAATTTTGACTCCAACATACCCAATTAATATTAATATCATCTTCAAATGAATGTAAATAGGATCAATCCGTCATTAAACATGAGAATGCACAAATAAAAAAAATCATTCTTTTTTCAGAAAACAACTTCCGGTTTATAATTTTACCTTTTCCTTATTTTTGATTAGTCCGTCAGTCCTTGATTAGAAATTCTAGAACAGATATCACTATTTGGAATAAAAAGTATTGCATAAATATGGTATTTTTATAGAACATTTTTAATTTTTGTGTTTTAGAGTATATCAGCAAAGGGTGAAAATAAAAGAAAGGCGTTATTCCGAACTGTCAGGGAAAGGGTAATCAAGCGGCGGCCATTTTTAGATCCGAAATTCTTTGTCGGCTTTCACTTTCTCCAATTTGCAACGATATAGAAGATACAGACATTACTTCTGATTGGTAAGAAACAGGCTATAACACTATCATTTACTTTCGCAAAGTCGATATTATCAAGAACTCGCCTAGTTGCTCACAAAATTAATAATTAAAGAAATATAAGGAGATTTTTTCCCGGAACTTTTTTTATAAAACCATGAAAATACCTTACTATATTTGCACATAGCCATATTTAGCTAGATTGATGGCTATTGAAAACTTGATATTCCCAGTCCTTTATAAAGGTCTTTTGTACAAATGTATGAAATCTTGGAAACACTTGCGCTACTTCAATCGATGCATACCATTCTAAAGTATTGTTTTCTAATTATATCGGGCTATCCAGAGTGGAAGAGGAAAAATGTTGAAGAGTTGATAATTTTCAAGATGGCTTTTTACGAAGTTGGTCAATGTGCCTCCATGCCATGAGATTTCTGCTTCCGGTTACACGCATGTGCATTGGCAAGACTTCCTGGTTAGAAAACATGGAAAATAACAAGTTCCAAATACATTTTTCGTCAATTACATTGTCTCCCGACTCCAGATCGCGTGATATGGTCAGGAAAACGATATCTGGCACTCAACTTTGTATTGTATGTATACTTTGTTATATATTTTTTTGCATTGCTTGTGGTTTGGGAGGCTCCAATATTTTGCGCTCTGTATTTTGATGCTACTGTGACATATTACTTTTAAAAAAGATTATTGCAACTAAGAGTCCATTATTATTATTTTTAGATTTGATACTCTTACATTTTCACTCATTGTTTTATTTTTATCGCATCCTCAGGTTATCTAGTACCAATGCCATATCTACGTTTTGGTCTTGCACATATATACTAGAACCACACATGTTCCAAAAGGCAAAACATATTAGCTCTAGCTCTACACATATTTTTTTTACCTCAGTCGTCCCTTAAACACCAGCCAATTCTCTCAAAGCAAAAAAAGTTGCAATTGTCTTGATTTACGTCATTAAATATTCAAAATTCAGTCAAAGTGTGTCATATTTGAAATCTGCATGTAAAAGTACATCTAGAAATATGGTTTTGAACATTGTCTAAGACATAACTAAATAATCTGTAATATACAAATGTCATTCATATACAATTTAAATACAATTTTCCATTTATCATGGAGGTGCATGCGCATTATTATAACTATTAGTGTATTAGTTTTGGGGCATTTTACAAAACATTTAAGGCAGTCATTAAGACTTCTGTTTCGAAAACTTGTCTGTTAAGTTCTATCTCCTTATTTCCAGTCATACTTTTCAGGAATACTTCTACAGCCCATTTCACTGTTTATTTCGTCAGCAGAACCCCAAAATTAAGAAATCAGGAGACCATTGTACAATAATATATGGAAAAATATATTCATGCTGTACATGAATCACATTTGTATATTTCAGATTATATAGTTTTTTGTGCAATGAGCTTATGCCCTCTTGTAATTTAAATAATTTTAGCCATGCTAATCTATTTGAAAATACTATGGTAGAGAAGCATCAAAATATAAGAGGCCACATACGTTATTAGCCAAACTAGAAGCAATCCAAGATATACCAATGTCATTATGTACAATAGGAATATATTTTTCCATATATTATTGCACAATGATCTTTTTATTATTTTTTAGGTTTTACTGACGAAATAAAACAATGAAATGGGCTGTACATGGATGTTTTGCGTATATTCCAGCCTTTCATAATATATATAGCCACTAAATGTATTCATTTTTTTATAATTATGCCTTTGCATGTTTACTATTATTAACAAAATTATGAAACACCTTTGTATATTTCTTTCCAGAATGTGAGCTCATATTACTATCTGCATTGTTATTCATTGTTTTGTTGTGGTTTTTGTCAACTCAAAAAGAAGACCTTATTATCTGATATAAGGAGATACAGTTCCATCTTCTTCAGTATATATATTTTTTAAAGATGACAAAACTAATGGTACATTTGACTTACTCATTGTGATCTTAAAAATTATATTGCCTTTAGACCTCAGGTTAATAAAATATTTTTTATTTTTTCACTCTCTTTTGTCCAATAGATAGCATCTATATCATTCACAAATACTACCTGATTCATCGCTCGCCAATCAATATCACTAATTTTCAGCATTAAGGCTATTAGCCATTAGATGGAGCCTGCATTCAATTTCATTTAACATTTCCTTTAGTACAATTAGTTCATATTTACACCGCTAGGTAGCTTGATTAAAGAGCAGGTGTGTCAAATTAATTAATGTAGTTAATTTATGAGTCACCAGGGGGCCTCAGTTCCCATGAGGTATGATAGATTTCCAATGCTGAACAAAGAATAATCTTATATTGACGATGATATTGGAAACCATTACCAAATACAATGGCAGCTTCATGTGTCGATTGCCAATGCTGTGAAAGTGCCACATTGTGTGTAACTACAATACCCTTTCATGCAAAATGAAATATAATGAAAATCATGCATTATCAAATGTTGAAAAAAGCTCTGTATATTTTATTGAAAGCAATTTATTTTAGACTTAAGGATTTTGTGTTGGTTTTTCATACTATTTTGGCACTGAAAATTATTAATTTTTACATTTGAAATAGGAAGGTTTAAGGCAAAAAATATGATAATCAGATATATAAGGCGGTTACATCACACTGTCAGTATTGTCTTTGTATTGTTCCCGCGGTATTTATCTAATAGTTCCAAGGTTGCTGGCTAGTATATTCATTGTTTCATCATTGATCTTTGGCATAAGAAAGAATAAATTCAGATAACATAATATTTAATCATATTTTGTTTCACTTTATGTTGATGTTACGGGGGTTGTATTAGCAGGAAGCTTAAGCATCTTTAGAGGCTTTTGATTTCTTGTTGTTTTGTCAAAAATCTCTTGTTTGGATCTTGCTTGTTACGATTTGTCAAGATGTGCTTTCGCGTCACTTGTTTTGAGAGGTTTCCATCTTGACTTGGAAGTAGGGGGTATGAGTTCTGAAGGCCTGTGTTCGGAGGATGAAACTTAGTTGAAACACCCCTATTCTATAGAAAGTGCTTATGTTACATATTTTTTTTCCCAAGTTTGTCAACTGGAAGATGAATTCAGTAGTTCAAATTATACATTATTGAGTTTAAAAACATGTCATGTATATTTTTATCTATGTGTTTTGAGTTTTTTTTTTTTTATTACTTCCAGTGATGTCACTACATGTATATAATAGCATTAATTCATTTTTGTTATTACTAATTGGCATCTAGATTCATATTATTCAAATTTATAGTCTATAAGCTGTCATCTCAACGTTAATATAGACAGTCATGCTTAATTCAGCATATTTTAGTCAGTAGATATTGACATTCAGAAAACAGTAATATGAAAATCCGTACCCAGGTGTGGAATATGTTTAATAATATATAAGTAATACTGTACAGTAAAGTCTGCTTCCTGTCAGTCTGATCGAGTATAAATGCTTGCATACACGAAGCCTAAAAACATAGCATCAGTATTCAGGGATTTCATGTCAATTTTTTTTACCTGAACTGCCCATTTTTGAGGACTGATTTTTGTTTCGAGTTTAATGGTAATTTTTAATAATTTTGCATGTTGTTTTTTTCTTCGTTGTTACCTTCAGTCAAATTCTAATGAACTTACCAGACAATTATGTTCAGTTTGTAAGAATGGAGTAAGTCATTATTTGGAATTGTAAAATATGCCACAAAGATGAATAAATAAGACTTGCAAAATTATAATAAACATTCAAATTAACCACTGAGTAATCCTTACTACAAAAAATGATTGTATAAAATTTACTTATTACTCTGCATCCTGTAAAACAGCTCAATGGTCATTTTATTAAACAATGTTGCCTTTCAGAAATTCTGAAGACTGAGTAAGGGGTTCATGTGAATGCTCCAAGGACTGAAAAGGTGCATGTTTAGCTGTTATAAATATCCACATGATTTTTAGATCTAGTTTATTATGATTTATTGCAGGATGTGTAAATAAGTGATTATCTATCACTTCATAATGGATCTGGAATGATTAGACTCCTGCTACATGATAAAAATATTAGTTTGATAAACTGATGTCTGAATATAAATTTGTATGGCTTCTCATAGTACTTGCCACTCTGATTTTTTATAAACTGAGCTGAAATATATGTTCATAATAGAATCACAAATTATAGTCGCCTAATGATTTTTCAGTCTTATAGAAGAGATACACAATATATATGTTTTAAATGTATATACCAGATATTATGAAAGCATAAGAGTCAGTGAATGCTACTTTTGATATGTTGATCGGCTAATGATCGACTGACCATATCATAGCCTGAATAGGTAATGCTAGGTCAATAGATTAACTCGAAGCTAGAGAGTAAATAAAGCTAAATCAAATTCTTGGAAAAGGTACACAGTATGTCAAAATCTAACCAGAATTACATGTAGTTCCCTGTTGCAAGTTATCTTTTATAACCTGAACCCTCCATCAATAATTTACTCTCTAACCCGTCAATTCAACCATATTCTTCAAGTATTTAAATTCACATCTAGTGAGGTCTTCATCAGTTGATATTTAATTGAAATTACCAGATTATATTTTCCCTCGACAAAATAGATAAATAAGCTAATCACAGGTCCAGGTTACTCCATGATCTATGTGTTAACTTGTTAATTCCGATGTCTCATGAGCTGATAATGTACTTGTCTGGTCCTACAAGTTATTGATAGCTATATCCTAATGCAATTGTCTAGTTATATTAATCATGGATAATCTATAACATAACACCAGTCATTCAAACCTCTCTAATTAGTGATATTCTTGGTGACTTTTTTCAGTGTACCTATTTCGATGCAACAATCACTCCACTTCGTTTTCTGCATGTTGACATCATGGATTCTGTAGGGTAAATTTATGGATTCTGCAAGGGAAAAGTGCAACACTGCGGGAACAACAAAACAAATTTATTTTACTTTTGGATTATATGTGGGTGATTTCTTTTGACTGCAGAAAGTATAAAATTATTAATGTGTGGGCTCTTTGGAATTTCTGACAATGGCTGAAACAAATGAATTACAATTGTAAACTTCTTCAAAACAAGTGCTTTAATGTAAACACAACCATAATAAAGTTGCTTGTGTTGTAGAATCCCTGAAGCTAAACTAAAGGAATTTATGAATGAACATCCAAAATCAATCAGTAAATTTAAACCAAATAAATGGTAAAAAGGTTTGATAACTTGAACATACAAGATACCATTTGCTTTTGGAGTATGTACTAGTTTTTGAAAAATACTATGTGTTTATCAAAAGTGGGATACCTCTATTATTGCTAAAAGCTTTTGCAAATAACAGTTTGGAAGTGTCATCAATTATGATTGTCTGTTAGCTTGATTTGGTTCATGATTTCCATGGTCCCATGCATTATTTAGTGTATTGAACTCCATAGAATAATAGCTACCATATTGAGTATCAATATAATAAACAGTTTCATTGTTAGGAATATTCAATATTTGCTCTCTCTCTCTCTCCCTTATCTACTTATATGTATATATATAACATTCATTTAGAAAAAATCTCTATTCTAACCAAAGTTTTATATCAAATTTACCATTGCTTATGGTAGTTTTAAGTTATTTACCCTTTTAAACATTCTTCTTCAAAGGACTTCATTTAGGCTTAAATTGGAAAGAAGTGAAATACCCTTGGACCAAGGATGCTTTTAAAGTTCCCACCAGTTCTATTGATCTCTTGATCAATGTTTTTGCTCGAAGTAGAATTAAGTTTTATTTTGAATAAAGGCCAGCTTATAACACTCCAAACATTGTTATCTTTCTCTGATCAATCCTAAATATGTATCAGTTTAGAATTATGTTTCTTGTCCAGATGTTCACAAACAGAGTGGTCAAAATCATTATTATTGAACACTGTAGCATATTTATTCAGTATACCTCATGTTTCATCTCTGTTTGCCTCAGAATGCCGACAGTAAGGTATCATTTTCAGTCCATCAATATACCTATAACAATGTGGTATTGATCTAAGGGACAGGACAGATCAAAGTTGACAAATGGATTAAAACATACACAATTTTACCAAGGTCTTTCGCTCATGAGCGGTCAATCGTGACTTAAAAGTAGTCACACTTACAAAAATAGCTTACTTCGTGGTCACACTTTCAAAAATAGCTTACTTCGTGGTCACACTTACAAAAATATTTTACTTCGTGGTCACACTTACAAAAATAGCTTACTTCGTGGTCACACTTACAAAAATAGCTTACTTCGTGGTCACACTTACAGAAATAGCTTACTTCGTGGTCAAACTTACAAAAATAGCTTACTTCAGTAAACATGTTATTTTATTGCTTTGTAACCATGTTGACTGATGCTCCCTTTGGAGCGTTTTACTACATTGGGTTGCCAGCTTAGGCCCAAAAGCATCATTGATTCAGTTAGTTGCAAGTTACCTGTTAACCAGTATGAGCTATGTCTAGTTGCATGCTGCCATGTATTATTGATATTGTATTGTCCCTAGTACATTATCCAAATGGTGAATAAGTACTCTCATATTCAAGTTTTTGCTCTGGTAAATAGATAAAACCTGAAAATGACATGGATTTTAATCAACTGATAGGATTCAGGTGCTTATTTGTTTGTTTGAGTTAAGTAAGTTTACTATAATTTTCTATGTACTGAAGTACTTCTGTTACCATTTCCGTAGATCAAACAGAATATGTGTATTTTGTGTAATCCAACTAATATATTAACTATCAAGTTAATTTATTCTTTTGAATACATGTACTATACTTGATATAAAAGAAGCTACAAGGTTTCACTGGTTGTTTTCACAAAATCGCCTGTTGTTTTTTAGGGACTTTTCAACTTTTCCATGTTAAAATTTATGATTTCCATTAATTTTGCCTGTTGTTTTCATTTATTTAACCTGTTGTGAGAAATTCTAGTAAAACCCTTGATATTGGTGACAGTTCATATTGATAATTTACATTATTAGTTCAATCTCTTATTTTTGCCAGAGATTTTGGCAGATATCAGGTGCAATGTGTGAAACCTACTGGCGAAAGAAAAATCCAAAGACTCCAAAGATTTGAGGGATCTTCATATCTGCATGATATGGTTCTCAGGGACTGAAAAGTCCAAAAGATTTAGAGCTACAGAGCTACATGTTATTAAACCTGGTATGAGAAATTGGTTACTTAAAGTTTTTTTTATCAAACCTAAGTTTAAGTTTTCTAAATCAAATCTTTGTATGATATAAACTAGATGTGTGGTTATTTACAAGCTAATACAGATGAAGCTCTCTTTTAAGAAGTGAAGTCGAACAAATGTGAATAGAATAATACATGCCATTTGACTGGGAATGGAAATGATAACTAGAGTATAGGAATGTCAGATACGTCAACGTCAAGGAACATTGATTACTTTATACCTGAACAATGAATATTATTCACTAGTTTCAAAAACATCTCTGCCTAATTACCATGCATTAAATAATGACCTCTCAAACAAAGGCACCATTGTCTGTCCATATCAGTTGCTTGTTCCTTACTCATATTTATGGCTGTGTTTGGGATGATATGTCACAGTTAAAAAGGGAGATCCTACATTATCCGATCCTTTCCTTTAGGAACATTTATTGGTAGTCAATACTGGTATAGTGATGGTGCCATACGAAATCAATAAGGTAACTTTATGTGTAGTATATCATAAAACATGTTGTTTTTGTGTGGATATTGAACAGCCCTGAAGGATCATTAATTACCCTTTCAATGGTTTGATTTCACTTCTTAAAAGAGGTGTTCATCTGTACTCGTTGATCTAGGCTTACCTAATAAGATTATGTTGATCAAAACTGCGTTACCCAATCAGAATAGCTTGTATTTATTCATATGCAAACTCCCATGAAAATATTATATCAGTAACAAAACTTTAAAATTTAGGCTTCAGGATGACTATTCCATGTATGGATTTTGTACAAATAAGCGGTTTTGCCATGAAAATGAATAAGGCTGCATCAACATATTTCGATTACAAAATCTGAATGTCTCGGTGAGTTCAGGGATTTATTGTAAATTGAAAGAGTGAAGACGAAGCTCTCTTTTAAGAAACAAAGTCAAAAGAATGCAAATGGTGTCATTCGGTCATTTGTTTTTTACACTGTCATTTGTATTTAAGCTAAACTGAGGGTATGTAAAGGAGTGAAATATCTTGAGATCAAGGACGTCAATTAGGCCTTTCTTTATGATAAGTTACCTTTTCTAGTTACATCTACAGTCTTTCAGATTGAGACACCCATTCCTTTAGTTTTTATGTCACCACTTAAGAGTTGGGTGGTATTATATTATTGACAATATTATGATAGCATTTGGTCATTGACATTGCCATTTGGTAACATATTGTTACGTTTTTGTAATTGTGACCAGGGGGTGCCATTTTGTATTTAATGGTTAACAGATTTTTGCTACTTGTCTCAAAATGAGGCTTACAGTAACAATTCCCGAACAGCCATTAGGGAATGTTTGACAAGCATCTTTTGACTTACATGGGTGAACTATTTTAGGGATTGCTTCTTGGTATAAAACTGAACTTCCCATCCTTAAATCTGGTCTGTAAAGATGCATTTCCATGCAAACTGAAAATTTACATTGATTACTGTATGTTTTCTTCTGAGACAGGTTCTATTACTGAAAGGTTCAAAAATATTGCATATTCTAGAACATGCTCGAAAGGGTTTAACTGTACAGGTGAATATCTTCCTTTGAAACTTGATGCAATTCTATCCCCTTTGCTGTCATCTGAAGAGCTCTGCCCTACCCATCCCAGGCAATATATGAATATTCATGAAATGTTGGAGTAGGTCTACCAGCGCTGTACTATCTAATGCATATATAATCACGCCACTATTGATCCTGCAGATATACATGTAAGTGGCCAGGTAGAAAATCAATGTAGTACCTGAGAGGTGTATTGATGTTCTCTCATTTTAATATCCATATTCCAGGCCTGGCTGAATCTTGATTGGCCCTGGAGCATGTGCAGCCACCTAAGTGCTAATTGCAATACCTGTAATACATCTGGTATTAATGAATTATAGCGTCATACCTGCTTATCATTCAGTAAGAATGAAGAACCTGCCACTTGCTTATTGGTTGCTTATCTCTACATTTCCAGATTGCTGTATATATAGTATCATCAACCAGTAGACTCGAATACATATATCCGCGGGACGCTACGACGACTGGCTGCAGTGACTACAACGTGATACAGATTACGATACGAAGAACAGACAAGCGATTCAAGAATGTCAGACGGTGGTAAGCATACATTGATTTATAATATCAGATTGAGCAAGGCTCAAGCAAGCCATATAAATTATTTAAATACATTTTCTCAGTTATTTTTGATATGAAGAGAATATCTTTAGTATCCTTTTCGATCTCATATTGGAGCAAACTCGAAACGTTATATTTCACTTATAACTTTTCAACGTTCATGTTATTCTTATGTCAGCACCAAAAAGTGCTACTGCATTGCTGTCACCTCAAAATTTGTGATCATTTGTAACAATTGTTACATTTTTGTAACCCATGACATTAAGTTGACAATAACTTAACTGTGTTAACACTGCCAGATTAGGGGGGGGCTTATATATTGTAATCTTTTATTCAATTTTTGTTATGAAACTTGTACAAGTTGTTTCAATCAAACTAAGTGCCCCTTTGGGATCAGTTTACAGACTATTGTCAATTTGTCAGGTTGCTTTAACTTAACTAATTAATGTTCCATAACAATTCTTTTTCCGTTTGCCTATAATAAAACATCATTTTACCTTTATTTTCCCCAGGCAAGTACGTGTATTGTCACTAATTTTTATGATCTGGGAAATACGATGAAATCCTCACTTATGTCAATACTAAATGCTTTCTTAGTAGATTTCAGTGAGCAGTTGGACACTTTCTGATGAACTGCACATTTAGTATTACCATTTTTAAATCAAGATTCAAAAGGTTTTCACTCTTTTATCCCAGTTGAGCCAATTGCCATTTATATTCGATATATATTTGGTTTAATAACCACCATTCTAGTGTAATAACCTTCATTTTATGTGTGAATACCTTTATTATAGTGTAAATACCTTTATTATAGTGTTATATCATTCATGATATTGTGAAAACATGCATGCCAGTGTAATGACGACCATTATAGTGTCATAACCTCTGTGAAAGTGTTACAACCTCTGTACATGTAATTATACAATAACTTCCGTGATAGTGCAGTGACCCTAAATGTGTAATATCCTTTATGATAGTGCAGTAACTTCCATGATTTGTAATAACATCTTCGATAGTGTAATGACCTCACATTAACACTTATGAAAATGTGCAGTGAAACCTGTAAAAGTAGAACACCTCTAGAAGTAGAACACCTGTGTTAGTACACCAAAGACCAACTGACTTAATGTTAAATGAACCTTTAGAAGTGGAACACCTCCCAAGTAGAACACTTCTTATTAGAGGTACCAAAGGTGTTTTACTTATACAGCTTTTTACTCTACTTATTAGAGACATAGAAGTGACTTTATGGACCAATGACCTATTGATATTTACACATCATTATATATTATATAATTTACCTCTTTAAGTCTTTCACCTTGCTTCTCCACAACATTCCACAAATTAGACATTGTATAATTACTATAAGTAAGAAATCTTACTTTTTAAGACATACATGTACATGCACTCAACCTGTAACTTTGAAAAACAGTTTATTTATTCAATCTATTTTTATGATGCAAGTTGAAGGTTGTTTTTGATATAAGTATATTTTAGGATCAGAGTTAGGCACTGAGACTCTTTCGTATATAATATCACTTAGAAAACCATTAGAAACAATGTATTGTGACAGATATAGTGATCAGAAGACATGACATGTCATGTTCATTTACAAGTGTCTTGTTCAAGAATTAATCTAGTAACCTGATCTTCCTGACGTCATTCTTCAACAGGGCACCTTGCTAGAGAATGACTCAATCTCTAAGTAAGTCACGAGTAAAATAAATTTGAAGCGATCATAAAGCTTACAACTATTGATTGACAATCATAGTAAAAACCCTTTTTTTAGAAAATATCAAAATGTGGAAAATCATTTTTAAGGTAGTAAGTTTGACTACCATCTACTACTTAACAATTATTCCAAACTTCTATATTGGCAGAACAGAAAATTTATGTGAAGGGGTATCTATTTTTTACAGAAAAGAAGGTTTATAACAAATCATTGTTGTAGCAAGTTAGCTACATTTTCTTTTCTATGTCGTGTGGGAAGACGGCTATTTTAGGACCAGAGTTAGAGGTTGAGCCATTTTTTTAATTATTCACTCTATCGAAATATTTATTATTGGATGTGGATGGCATTGTAAAACAGTTTAAAGCAATACAAATAAACGCATATGTTTGTTTGTTTGTTTGTTTGTTTGTCTTGTGCGAAAAGTTAACTTAAGGTTCCTGTCTTGATGACCAAAAGCAATTGAGGATTATAGGACACTACTTTTCTGATTCAAATACAAGAGTTGAATTGTAAAAATTGTAGCATTGTCATGTTCTGTCAATAAGACATTAGGTAACATTAACACAGCTGGGACAAGACTTTGTTTCAAATGTTCATTAGCTAAAATAACAGATGAATTGGTGGTAAATATTATCTGAATCCAAATGAGACCTACCATCTGCACAAATCAGGAAGCGCATCAGGTTTGTTTTGTATTTGTCAATAAGAAATGAACAATTTATTGTTAGTTTGGTTTAATATTACAGCTGTTACATCACTCCCTTTCCCTCCTCATGTCTGCAGCATTCATTCACAAATCTATGATTATTCATTTTGAACAGTAACTTTATGCAATATTTATTCTAAGGACTTAATGCAAGACTTATCCCAAGGACTTAATGCAAAACTTATCCCAAGGACTTTAATGCAAGACTTATCCCAAGGACTTTATACAACTCATCCCAAGGACTTTAATGCAAGACTCATCAAAAGGATTTAATGCAAGACTTATCCCAAGGATTTAATGCAAGACTTATCCCAAGGACTTAATGCAAGACTTATCCTAAGGACTTTATATAAGACTTATCCCAAGGACTTAATGCAAGACCTATCCCAAAGACTTCATGCAAGACTCATCAAAAGGATTTAATGCAAGACTTATATTCACCCTAAGAACTTAATCCAAGACTAATTTCAAGGACTTAATGCGACTAATTACCTACTGTTAGTACCATATTTCAATATGTCCTGTGGGGGCTGAAACCAGTGCAGATGACTCCATCAGTACTATATTAGACAATATGATACACCTTCTAATCAATTAGCAATATTAGACAATAAATTAGCTAAATATTTTATGAGCAGAATTATGGCTTATTGCATGATGTATTAGGGAGTGCTTTTTATCAGCTCCATTTCTGTTTAATACTAATATGCTTTTGAATATTACTTCTGCAGTACCAATATATTATAAGAGCTTGATTAAGGTCCTTTCAAACTGGTCATCAGTCGAAGTATGACTCAGCATCTTGAAATATTATGGTTCGAGTAATATTAAACTACAGTCCCCCCAAAACTCAATAAAACAATTGTGTGAAAATGTATTTATTACTATTAAATCGTTAACTGGGCATTATAACCCCTTGCTTGAGAAAATCATATTATTTAGGATTTCTTGTCTGAATTCAGATATTTTTGTCAAAATAGGTCCCAGTTCAGAAAAAATTATTCTGGGGAAACATATAGAATGTTTTTGATAGGAAAGCTTAGTGCAAAAGAATCAGACTGTAATTATAGACTGCACCAATGACTTCCTCCCTGCTGTCCATATCTTGATATTATCTGCAGAAAAATGACTTGATTCTGTTTGTCAAAAGAATCTCTTTGAGTCAGGTTTCAAGAAAATGTCCACTTTGTAAATATAACTGCTCAGGAAAAGAGCCATGTTCCTGAACTAAACCTCATCTGTCTTGCAGGGTTTTACATCATTTATGAGGCAATGCTCTACATTTTGTAATGAGTTTTTAGGCCTTCATTTGCTTTCATAGAATCTGCAAGTTCTCACCTGCAATATTACGTAACAAAGAAACTATAAGATACAGTGGTCAGCTATCTATAATGTCTACATGTGGCTTTTTAAATTATGGTAAACAGAAAATAATGATTCTGGATCCTGTGCTAACATCAGTATAGGACACATGAGCCAAATTACGCATTTGTTTTTGCTCTGCTTTAAGAATAATCATTTTTGTTCCTTTAATTTTTAATGAAATCATAACATAATATTGAAAAACAAACACAAATAATTAAAGTTGTTTTCCCTCAGGGTATTTCCAATATGGTACTAGAAAACTCTTCAACTTTTTCTATTGGTATTAATATGAATATTAATATAGACGTACTATGGATTCTCAGAAACCTCATAAATGTTTCATACAGTTTCATAATGCACTGCTTGTAAGCTACCTACCATTCTTTAGCTCCATTGATTTTTATTGGTGAAGTTATTCTGGCGCCCTAAAGTGGCATTAGACTTGGAGTTAGTCATAAATCTCGGTGAAACTGGTCTTTTTATTCATTTGAATGCTTGCAACATTAAAATGCATATCGTTTATTGATCCCAGTGACATGAATAGTGTTTTAGGATTCTGTGTATTATATTCAATCGCGATTTGCATGGATTGCCCGTATACTACTATTTTATTAGCCGATAATCGCTAGTCACTCCCGTCCGTTTCCTGTCCCTGAATCACTACATCTCTCAAGAATCAACTTTTAACCTAACACAATCCTCTTATTGCTAATAATCCGCGTAGCTTAACACTTAACACAACTTACCTTTCGTTTTTTTTAATCTGAGGAAATTATACATGATATAGTTTTATTTTTAAATGTCACATTGCGCTCGTTCATTGTTTTTTTACTTCAGTGCTGTTTGTTGCATGTTGAAAATGTACTTTTGTGTTACATTTCTGAATGAATTGTCAAATAATCATTTTGATGTACAATAGTTTATTGGGCTTTCTGATGGAATTATAAAAGTGCTATTTTATGACAATGGTTGCCATTAACTCAGACTCTGTAGATCAATATTTAGATTTTATCAATTCTAGCTTCATAAAGATATTTTCTGAATGATCTGGCTACCCGAATTGTTTGAAATATTTGATCAACTCTACCTAAATATAATGTGCCTTAGATCCTAAGACCTCAAAACCTTTATAAATTGGACTCTAAAATACCTTATATCACCAAACATACATCTACATTATACAGTTGTGTAATTAAAAGAAAAATACAATGAAGTAGAGACTTGTGAAGACACTTGTGGTTTTTGGCTTATTCTAATGAACATCACAAGCAGTGATTAAGTATATTGAGAAGTGATAATTAAGATTCACCCTTGATTGACCTTATAGTTAGGCCTATTGAAGAGTTCTTCAATTTTTTGCTTATTAATTACTAGCTTAGGATTTGCAAGTTTGAGCACATTTCAGAATATTAGATACAGTAAAACCCTATCACTTTGAACACCTATACTCCTCTAGAAATAGTTCATTTGTCATTTTGGGTAGAAAAAATTATATATTTTTTACTTTTTGAATGCAGAATTCTGGAAATTTATGTGTCTCCAATAATGATGAGCCAAATTATGACATCTGAACACTTATGCCCTCAGTCTATGGATAGGTTACAGTATCTTTCATATTTGTAAATCTTCTGTAAATGAATACTTTTTTGAAGTAGCCTATACAGTATGTTATTATCTTTTATTTTGATGGACTTGATGAAATGAGATGAATATTGAAACCTGAACATTTTCTCCATTACGTGGCGTCATGGTCATTAATGGCTTCATTATTTTGTAGCAGTTTAGCCTATATCAAACCTGTATGCTCACTAATATGTCTTGTGCGTTATACAAATTTGTTAACATTGTACTTGATTCTCTCATTGGTCATATCATATGCCAAAATGATGTACGTGTATATGTATTCACCATTATATACCAAGCCTTATTATTTTCCTTCGGGCTACGTGGAATACACCCTCAGAAATATATACATCATTCAATATTTGTATAATATTTTTATCTATTGCAATGCCACAACTCAAATCCCCAAGAAAACATATATTTAGATATTTTTTATTATTTAATTTCTTGTTTTGTTGATATGTTAACATATTATTGTTAATAAAGGTCTGAAGTTTAGAAAAACAAATGGTAAATATGGAGTTGCAAATTCTTTGCACTCAGTCAAAACTCTATTTGATATTGAAAAATCATAAAATATCAGCATACACTATCTTGGGCTATTTACTTGTGAGCATTGCTGATTTAAGCTATGATTTTGATTCAGTTGAGAAAATTCCTGTAGAATCTATAGAAATATCCTCTTCTATTTTACCCCCAAGTGAAACAACATGAATAAAAGAATACTGCACGCAATATCAGGCTAGATTTGTTTTAAAACGTCTGACGGAAAATCTATATTTCCATTCAACATTGATCAGATTTCAGAACTCAATATTGTTCTAGTGCTGAATAATTGTTATGATTCTTGAATTTATATAAATTGCCATATTCCATTGTAAGAATACATTGAAACTACGTGCAACGTTGAAATTACATGCGATATGACTTGATTATAATCCCTATAATTCATTAATAATTAACAAGTTCTCAAATGGTGTTTTATTTATTCTAATCTCATAAATGACGTATTTAGTACATTTCGGGTTCATTTACAAGCTTCGTACTATTAGTGATAAATAATTCAGCGAAAATGGCTGAAATAAAAGTAAATTAATAGCAGATAAGATATGAGTATTGCTTACATTATTAAGTCAACAATACACCAATTAGCAGCCATTTTGTTGTCTATTTTAGACATTTTAAACGAAGTGCTAACAAACTCCAAGGCAACTAAAATTCCTTCCGATATTGTTGAAAGGTATTGGTCTCATAATCAATGTCTGTATATTGGAAACGATGGTCGTCGGTAGCTTTCATATATCGAGTTGTTTGTACAGTGAAATAGTGGGTTCTCTACTTGTTCCACATTTCCCGTTAGGGGCACTTGCGATATTGTAATCCCTGTCAGTCTTTCCATAAGTAATATAACATGTGTAGTTAAGAACATTTAAATTGAAAATAAAAGTGTCTTGCGAACTTCAGCTGATCATAAATGTGAAAATTCACCTTAAGAATATAATTTAAAAGTAACACCCTTTGCATATATTCCTCTTGTCCAAATTAAGTAACGCGTTGTTACATTCCTTACGTTGAACTAACTGAATGAATTCCTGTATAATACCTTCTTTGGGTTGTTTCTTAGTTGTCACACTCTTATCGATTTCAATTACTTGCTCTAGCAAGCTTTTAAATCCCCGAATTCTAAACAACATGGCATCGATATCATTTAAATGACCCCCCATATCAGCGATATCCTCCTGTCGTAACAATAATGTGGTTGGGAAGATAAATGATGAAATCGTTGTTGGAAATACTGGGCGCTTTCTGTTAATATGTGGGTGGAATTGTATATTTGTGCTCACATAGACAATTCTGAATTGAGGGTGTACACTGATTATAACAATGTGAATGCCGTAGAGTCGTTTCTTGTAGCAATATGTTGTAGAGTGGGCTAGGCTCACATAATAAGGCCACTTATATAACTCAAATGGCGTTCCTCCTCTAAGGCTAGAAGGAGCGGTCTGAGTATTAAGAGTTTCATTTCCCTTTTGAGCAATTAGGCATCTTCCTAGATCTGGGCTACATTCTAGGATTATTAAAGGATCGAAATCATAAACAAAATACAAAGTGTCATTGCTTACCAAAGGGCACCAGTTTTTCTCAGTCTTTTTCATTGGAATCATGGTTTTGTTTTCTGAGTACATTCGAAATTTGATGAGTTCTCCTGTAGTATATGAGAGCATATACATGTGAAAGGATTCGTCTCTCCAATTTTGCATGTCAAACACTATATATGGATGTTCCCTAATTCTAAACATTCTAGAATCTCTAGGCCCATTTCGTTCACTTTCTGATGTTATCAAACCTAGAATTGAGCCCATGTTTAAAGGTTTAAACCCTGATGAATATAGCCTTGTTACTAAGACATTAGTTGGGGCTTTGTTTTGTATGCCATCTTGTGGGACATTCCTACTGCGAGATACTAAAATATGAGTTCCGTCATCATTTTCCAAGATGGCAGGTGACATGAAGTACGATCTTACAGCATCCTCCGGATCTGATCTTTTTACGATAGAGCCAAGTTCTGTTGAAAAAGTATGCAAAAATCCAGTCGATATTTGTGATTGGATTTTCTTCATATTTGCCATATGTAGGCCAGATAGTTTGGTTCTATGAGTATAATGTTCCTGCATGTTAACATATGTGTGTTTTTGTATATGTTCAGAGTTGTAGATATCATCCTCTAGTGTAAGTATGTTATCAGGGATGTCTATATTATCAGGGATGTCTATATTATCTGGGTTGTCTATTTCAAGACTGAGTTGTAAGTAGATAGAGAGGAGAAATAGAGGTATGACCATCATTAGACATACCCCAGTCATTATCACTAACTGTCTTCTCTTCAACATCTTTCACAACCTTCTTGGTATTTCTCTTGGTAGTCACTCTGTCGGTCTTTTTGGCAACCATACTGAAGCAGCTTTAAGCCTGGAATTGAGGTTCATGTATATTATATTCTAAGTTCATTTTATTTCAAAAATTTTAACCAAGATTATATGGCAGATGAACTTATATTGGGCATATATGAAATGAAATGAAAACACCCTGGACGAAATAATTATTTTAGTTAATTGAGTAATTTGGCTTAGTTACTTGGACCATTTATACCCGGGCATTTATATCTGTATCTATAGGTAAATATTAAAGCTGTTCCATTTTGCGTACCTAAGAATTTGTTAAACACGAATACTATTGGGATAAGACTATTTCATATTGTATGAGAACAATTTCTGATCTTTTCACTATTTTAGCAATAAATTCAACAAGAATATAAACCTAAAAAAATCAACTTTTTAAATGTTACTAATTGGCATTCTGTATAATGTAGAACAATGGATGTATATGTTAGAACAATATTAAATATAAGCAACTAGAGTCAGTACTATTGATTCGAATATACAAGTATCAAAAACACCAGTCTGTCAAGGAAAATAACTTCACTTTGAGTAGATGTGGTTCTATTGATTAAACATTGAGTAGATCTTGATGAAAAAATATCTTGAGGCAATTAGAAAATTCTATAACCCCAGACCCAAGATCGATATTTCAGGTCAAAAATGTAGTACTATAATTTAAGATTCAAATTAGAATTAATTACAGATATGATAAATTATTCTGTCAAACTTTATTCAAAGAACACAAAACACTTAAATAATGAGCCAAACACTATTCATTGTATATTTTTCTAACCTTGCCATATATTCTGAAAATATTTTTATTTCCTGTAATCTAAGTGTGATAACAATTAAGTTATCCCAAAGCCTTTTCAAATTTATATCCTACGTGTATGTTTTTTGAAAATATTGTGAAATATAATTTGATGTAATCAAGTTGCCTGTGCTCATTTGCTGAAATTTAATATTGAGTCATTTATTTAAAATTAGGAATTGTAATTTACAATGTTTTTGAATACCATACCAAACTTAGTCTTAGATGAGTTACTTATAAAAGGTACCTACTCTCTTGATAACATACTATTTTTCTTCAAATCGTGAATTATGAATGTATCTTCCTCATCGTTTGGTTGCAATGAAATGTAAATTATTTATTGATGCGTTCCACACACATGTAACCTAACAATGCCACCAACAAGAAGGGTATTCATATCCCATCATGCTTTGAGCTATATATTTTGAAAGTTATATAAAATCTGGGCCTATAAAAGTACAGACAAGTCCATAAGTTGTCACTATTTAAGTCTCTGAAAGCACAAGGAACATTGTACATATAAACAGTATATGCTTAAAAGATAAAAGCAATTTACTTTACATAGTCATCTTGGGAACTATTACCTCTTCTGAAAACATAAACCTTTCTGCATTACGCAAAGGAGGTACTTGATCCCACATTTATTCTGTTTGATCTGTTTAACCATTTAATTGGTTGCAAAGTTCAAAAAGGTACCTTGAACAGGTAATTGCTAAATGCCTACAACAACCTCTGGTGTTTTGTATGACAAAATGTTGATGGTTTAGGAGATAACAATGAATAGAAATCAATTTTACATAGAGACACAGATGTTTCTGATGAACTTCCATTAGCATTATGATTCCTTTTACCATTTCACATACACACACAGTGATTAGCGTGATTGCTTTACATACATTGCAAAGGTATATTTTGCAGACATGTTAAAGTTATATTAGAACTATAAACCCCATTCTGATACTCATACTTAATGCATTTTCCTTCTTGCAGTTTAATCATTCTAACAGATATGCAATCTGTCTTGTGATGAAGATATTTATGTATTATCATTATATTCTTTTAGAATGACTGTCATAAATACTGGTATATAGTACTATATTACAGTGCTCTCCCCACATTGAAATCACTGAGGTGCATCACCTTCAAAAATTCTCCTCAATGCAATTAGATGTGCCTCCTAAAATGTTACAATAAAAAATAAAGAAATTTTAAAATGTTGCACAAAAAATTACAAAATTCTAAAATCTTGCACAAAAAGTTACAAAATTCTAAAATCTTGCATTAAAAAAGAAATACACTGGCTATTATTCTTTGCAGAATACTCATGATATGATACTCAACAGGACCTGCTTTTCAATAATTTTCCATCTCCCATTTCTTTAAATAGGATATCACTGTCATATGATATTTGAGATTCTGACAGAATAAGTCATATGTCACATAGGACATCAGGTGTTTATTGGATATGAGGCGTGTTAAAGTATAGGATATGTCAGTTTTGTAAAAAATTGATTCTTGAACTATCTATATAGAGATGTCACATTCGACTCAGTGATTCTACAAGTAGGCCACTTGTCCATGTTCCAAGAATACTTCTCTGGAAAGTATCATTCAGTTATTTAAAACATCATTCTTGTCACTTAGCATGAATGCAGACTCTGCTAGGTATGATATTAGCTCATTCTGTATCTCCCTTGGGTTTAAATTGTACTAGATATGTAGAATTGAATTACAAATATTTTTTAGATATTTATGTCGTATTCTTTTATGACTTCTTTCCTAACTCTCAGATTGATTCAAATCAACTTTATTCTTGACTAAGTACAAATAGATATTCAGTTTGGTAAAAAGTAATTTTCAACTAGGTAAAGCTAAGGAGATCACTCCAGATCTAGATTGCTTTATATTAATTAATGCGAATCATTCATCCTGATTAATGCCATAATTGGCACTAGGCTCGTGTATTTGCCTCCCTTTCAGTCAGTTTTGAAGTTTCTTGATGTTTGTGTCCCGAAAGAACAAGACCTCGCATCCCAAGTTTATATTACACATTACATATATGTAAGATGATACATACAATGCCATGCTACAATATTTCTCATATGTATATCTTAATTAGGTATACAATAAAAAGATCAGCTGGGGTGCCTTTATTAGCCACTGGCCAGAGGTCCATCTCTGTGGTTTGCTCTACATGTTCCACACAATGCTCAGATAATGAAGAAATCCAGATTGCATTCATGGCTCATTAGCACTGGAGATATGCATAGATATTTAATATGTTGCCAGAGAATATTATGAGTTATTAATTTCCTTAGTAATCAATTTGTCATACAGTGGGCTTGGATAGTCCTGTTTCTCCAGTGTGAGGCCAGAGACATTCTGGGTTATGTCACCACTCAGTACAGTAGAAATAATATTCTCATCATTATCATCTGAGCGTTTAATCAGAATTTCTGACAAAAGATGAAATTAATGAAAACAATAAGAAACATATTAGAAATTATTTTGGTATTAGAATTACTACATAATTCCCTAATTACCATATGAATTTGGTTAAAAGAACAGATATTCCCATATTCGCAAACACTTTTTGTCATGGTATGTTATACATGATTTACATTTAATGATGTTATACATGATTTACATTTAATGAAGATCAATTTAAGTGTGGTAATTTGGACTGTAAATGTTTTTATGTGAAAATAATGGTCTATGCTTATAAAGTTTTATCATACCTAAAATAGGTAAAATATTGTGGGGTAGGTGGCAGTGATTTACTTTTCTTGCCTATATATATTTCCAGATAAACTCGTTGAAGGATTGGTTTTCTTGGTATTCAAATCTAGAAGTATATAAGTTTTGGAACAATTGTTACATAAGTTTTACAGCTGCCATTTTTGATTTTAAGCTATGGTATCCAATAACAGGTGTCACATAATATACCCAACAGCTAAAACCAGAACAAATTAACTTGTGTTAGGTAAAAGTTAATAAATATCTTATTTTATTTTAAAAATAGGAAAATAAGTAGGTTTATAAGTATAATATATATCCTCGAGTCTTCATATGCCTTAGCTGACACATCGTGTGATTCCTACATCCATCCAGGGGTGCATATATTGAACTGCAATCTGAGCAGAATTCTACTTTGAGAGGCACACCCTTTACTGCCACTGCCATAGGGACTGTATATCACAAGTTATATTATTAACTAACTATACATGAAGCACTTTGCCACCTGAGCTAGGACTAGTTATGTTGAATGTTCATATTATATATGGTGCTATCCTTTGAATGTAGTGATTGTCACTGTTAAACATCTGATGCTACAATAATGGTGAACCAGGTTGTCATCAGGGTTTCACCAATCGTGTATTATTCTGATTCTATGCGCATGTCCCTAACCAATCACATATTATTCTGATTCTATGTAAAAGTCCCTAACCAATCAAGTGTTATTCTGATTCTATGTAAAAGTCCCTAACCAATCAAGTGTTATTCTGATTCTCTGTGCAACTCCCTAACCAATCAAGTGTTATTCTGATTCTATGCAACTCCCTAACCAATCGCGTATTATTCTGATTCTATGTGCATGTCCCTAACCAATCGCGTATTATTCTGATTCTATGTAAAAGGCCCTAACCAATCGCGTATTATTCTGATTCTATGTAAAAGTCCCTAACCAATCAAGTGTTATTCTGATTCTATGTGCAACTCCCTAACCAGTCAAGTGTTATTCTGATTCTATGCAAGGCTCTAACCAATCAAGTGTTATTCTATTTTATGTGCAAGGCTCTAACCAATCAAGTGTTATTCTGATTCTATGTAAAAGGCCCTAACCAATCGCGTATTATTCTGATTCTATGTAAAAGTCCCTAACCAATCAAGTGTTATTCTGATTCTATGTGCAACTCCCTAACCAATCAAGTGTTATTCTGATTCTATGCAAGGCTCTAACCAATCAAGTGTTATTCTATTCTATGTGCAAGGCTCTAACCAATCAAGTGTTATTCTGATTCTTTGCAAGGCCCTAACCAATCAAGTGTTATTCTATTCTATGTGCAAGTCACTAACCAATCAAGTGTTATTCTGATTCTATGCAAGGCCCTAACCAATCAAGTGTTATTCTATTCTATGTGCAAGTCACTAACCAATCAAGTATTATTCTGATTCTATGTGCAACTCCCTAACCAATCAAGTGTTATTCTGATTCTATGCAAGGCCCTAACCAATCAAGTGTTATTCTATTCTATGTGCAAGTCACTAACCAATCAAGTATTATTCTGATTCTATGTGCAACTCCCTAACCAATCAAGTGTTATTCTATTCTATGTGCAAGTCCCTAACCAATCAAGTATTATTCTGATTCTACGTACAACTCCCTAACCCCCCTATCACACCAAACTAGTTCTTACCCGTTCTAGCCAGTCCTACGAAAATGTCGTAAAACGGGCTCAATCTGGCTGCGGTCGGGGTATATGTCTAAAATAATTAGCTACCTCGTTCATAAACAGTCCTCAATACGTCCATCTCATTCGCAGTTCGTTCAGGTCGCACCACGTCTGTGTGCAACGTAGTATAAACCGTCCCTTAGTCTAGAAGGTCATCATGACCTGATTACAGAACGGTATGGTCGCCATCGAATTTTGAATCGATTCAAAATTCTAAATCACATACCCCGTCCGGGAAAGTCCATGAAGTTCGTAAACAGACCGTAGAACGTTGTAGCTACGTTCATTCAGTCCGCACACAGTTTGAAACCGATTCGGCAACGTTTTGACGATCACCAGAATTTTTTTTAGCATGCTCTAAGTGCTGGAGGACCTACTCGTTCTAGTAGTTTCATGAAGTTTGTAAACAGATCCCAAACGGTTCTTAGTGGGTTCTTAGTAAGTCAAATCCGTTCGTGCACAGTTTAAGCCCGTTTTCGAGAACGTAGTGAGAACTAGTTTGGTGTGATAGTAGGGTAACCAATCAAGTTTTATTCTGATTCTATGCAAGGCCCTAACCAATCAAGTGTTATTCTATTCTATGTGCAAGTCCCTAACCAATCAAGTATTTTTCTGATTCTCTGTGCAAGTCCCTAACCAATCAAGTTTTATTCTGATTCTCTGTGCATGTCCCTAACCAATCAAGTGTTATTCTATTCTATGTGCAAGTCTTAAATATCATATGTATATGAGCAACATTGCTTTCATGTTTGAATTAATATAGTTTAGTAAGTTTGGATATTTTTGTAGTTTTCATATTTTGCCTCAATTTTTCTTGTTAGCGCTGTAGATTGACTGGTATCCAAAAACACATAAATATCAATTCTCTGTGAATTTTATGTCTATTAATCTGATGTTGATGAATACGGTGTAATGAGACACTGCAAATACCTACACTGTGACTTGTATATGGTTTCAGTTGCCATAGCAACACCTAAAAACACCATGCGATAATGCAGAGATGTTGTGCTCATATTTTCCTCAAACACTTTAATAATGTAACATTTATAGTTTATAGGTTTGTTCATAATATATCGGAGCTGACTAATAAAGTCTTAGTCGAGCTAATATAATCGCATCTTTTTATATGGTGGAGTAGATATTGAATGATCCTTGGCTAGATAGGAATAATTAACTACAATCATCTTCATCATTTTCTAGCATTATTCAGTGACTAGCAGTGACAACATCTTTTATAATTTCTACACAATGGCTGTATGAGCCTCTGGTATAGCCTACGTATGATGATGTCACTCCTAAACCTCGGTTTTAACTTATTAGGTGCCTTGCTTCAATTATATTAATGACGAAAAAAGAAAAATGAGAAAATATGTAATCATCTTTTGATTCAATCTAAATGTATCAACAAATAAGCATGAGCTTGTCATTGTAATATTTTTGGACGCCACCAGGACTGATTTTTTATTTAGTTTTGCAATGAATGACATCTAAAATCCATTGGTAATCAAAATAATATTGCTATTTAGTCATATGTGGTGGAATTATTATGGAAAAACATACAAATTCTTACATCCATAGACTTTATTGGTTCGCTGTGATGAAACATTGACATGAAATATATCACTTTGTTGATTAAAGTTAATCGCAAATATGTCAGTTGTAATTATATTTTTGTGAACTTTGCAGATGTATTCATCAGGCTTCTGAAAAACATAGACCTGTGATCATGATTTTTTCATCTTTGTCACATCTTTGTACAGGAACTAATATTTTTTGATATCATGCGGAAAAACTGATTTCCCTGAATCAGTTGAAAAATTATATCCGAGAATCAAATGTTAGTAAAGAGGAAGAAAGAACGCAATGATTGAAATACTCGGAGATTGATAATAATGCTTAATTTTATAGTAATCTTAAGTTAAATTTGTTAGTTATCAGGGTCTGGATTATTCAGGAAGTTCAGACAATGACTGTCATCAGCAATACCGAATGACAATCAGAATTCAATATCTGGTTTATATAATCGATTCAGTGATCTCCCCAGCATTAATGCAAGTGGGCACAGCACCCAATGAGATTTTAAAAACGGGCTTGCACCCACCAATATTAAACACTTTGTTTCTTATGTGTTGCAGGAATGAAGCGCAGTGCAGATGATGATGGTATGGGTGGAAACAAACGTCCCCGTGGAGATGGCATGAAAGCAGAGCTGAGATTCCTTATCCACAGTCATGTATGTACATTGAAATAGCCAGCTTAGTATGTCAAACGCAAATTGGTGGCTTTAGTTTGTTGACTTATTGTAGATATATACAAAGAATTCAGAATACCCAAAATATTGTTACTATGACATCCTGATTTTTAGTATCTGACACATCTTTGTAATAATCACAAGTAATCTTCCTCATTATATCTCCACCATTTAAAATCATATTAAATTGCATTTTAATATGCAACACTTTCAGTCTATTATTTCTATCATACTCAAACTCTCATAAAATGCCTTGAACAATGTTAGATCATTTAACCCCAGACCTTAGATGAAATATTATCATCAATATTTTGTTACATTTATGAAAACAACACCCATTGTTGTCTAGTTTATATTATAGTTACATGGAGATACTGTCCATATTGACCATGGGTATTATTTAGTACTGATCAAAGTACTTGTTATTCCAAATATCTACCTGATTGTAAACAAAAATAAAAATAGGCCTAAACAGGGCCTATACATATAATCCTTCAGATTCTGTCCTGTTATTGGTTATATACATATATGTATAGGCACCTTTACTGTGTTTCGTTCATTTATATGTACTTAAAGCCATATTGCATTTATAATGACAGTTCTCTTGTGTGTTTTCAGAATGCTGGTGGCATCATTGGAAAAGGAGGCACCAACATTAAGAGGCTTAGATCTGAGGTATGTCTATACCTAGAAATAGCTCTATAAGTAGAGAGAAAATATCATATTAATTTAATTTTTTTCATCCTGCCCTCTTGGCCTTATCTCCACTCCAACGAGACCAAAGTCTAAGTACAAATCTATAATCTGCCGTTCTGCCACAATTTCTTATCTTTTATTTATTTACTCAACCATGAGTAGTCTTGAGCAGCAGATGCCATCTTATGCTAACCTGATATATTCTTTAATGAAGAGCTTGGCTCAGTTTACTGTACATTAATTATCCACCATAGTAATTCCTGAAATCGAGCCAATTTACCAGTAGAGTCTGTCATTAGGTACATTTGCTAGGATTGAATATTAGCATGTTTATTCCGATGACATTACATGCAATGAATACCATGCCTTGAAACTTGAATTAAATATTATGCCTGCTTTATTATATGATGATTTAATCTCCCTTCTCTCTCCACATCTCAGGTTCAAAACATTGGGAAATTCACCCGAAAGCCCAGAAGTCCTTGAGCAGATTTTTGAATATCCTATGTTTTAAATAATGACATTGTTCCTCTAGAATCTTGTAGAAACGGACCATATAAGGTCTGATCCACAGTTCTCGACCAACTGCATTAGTATTGCTAAGAATATTTATCCAATTTTCTTCTCCAGTCCAAGCCAGCTATTTGCCTTTCAAGATATTGATAGCAACTAGTCTCTATCATGCTTCTTGATAGATAAATTCCAAAATCCTTGACCGTGCGATCATGGCAAGTAACAGTCTGTGAACTATGATTCACACATGGACATAGTGTGTATTGGTAAACAATTTAAACCTGATATGCCTTGTTATGACTCTAAACAGACCTCATACATCATTTTTTTCCACCAAGGTAATCCTGGTTCCACAGCCTAGCCCACCAAGAAGAACGTGTATAAGAACGTTACCCTGGCCCAAGATTAAGGGACCCAAGATGCAATCCAGCCCAAGGGATTTGTTTTATAACCTTGTACATTTATTCCTCCATATAGGTCATTTATAGAGCTTTTAGCTCAATATTTATTCCCATACAGGTTTCCTATGGATTTTAAGCTCACCAGCAACATGTGATAAATATATTCAATATTCAGTATAATAATGCTTTGCATTACTTGAATTTTCTCTCCTGACCTGATTTTGGGCCCACCCCGTATCGAATTGTGCCCCTCCCGCCCGATCTGATCCAACCCATGTGTCTCCATTGGATATGCCGAGCAGTACAAGGCCAATGTAAACGTACCAGACTCAGAAACCCCAGAACGGTAAATCACCCTCCTTTATCTGAGTACAGTCCAGGTTGACGTGGGAGAGAGTGAGACTGAGAGTGAGATAGATAGAGAGGAAGAGAGTGTGAAAGAGCGTGTGAGAGAGAGAGTGCATGTGCTTTGTGGTGTTCGAGAAAGGGATAGACATTGTAGCCACGGGTCATGCAATATCTAAGACTTGTTTTTACCTCACAATTTGAATCATAATCATCATTCACATTTCATCTTATTTTGCCAACATTAATCACAAACTGTAGAGTTATAATTGTTATCTCTGCGTTGTTAGTCCTTTTCAACATTTTACCACAATCTTTTTAATGAGAACTTTGGGAATGTTAATTGAAAGTTTTGAGAATGTTAATTGAAAGTTAGGCCATGTATGATTTGAAAAAGCACAATACTGGGATCCACATTTTGTTGGCAAAATTAGATGTTACCTGCTTATAACTTTGCCTATGTTACCCTAGTCAGTTCAATTTAGATATTAGCTGGGGCTCTAATGCATGGGATATCAGGGTATATATTATACGCATAGACTAATGATCTACTTTATCACCAACGCTCATTCATTTATTCCACAATTTGATGCGTAATACTTCATAAATGTGCTTTATATTTCTGTACAAGTTGATGCATTTTTATATTGTCAAGGGATTCTGATGGTTGTAATATGAAAGGAAAGTTCCAATGGTTTGGCCCATGAGTGATTTAAAACCTACCACAGTTATGTTATTCCTTAAAACATGCACCGAGTTGACTTTATTAATTGATTAGTTCAACTCCCGGCTTCTGTTTAACCTTTCATGCCCAAATATTTTGATCCCAAATGTATATTTGTTTTCCTTTCACCCCTTATCGTACCAACATAGCCTTTACTTCGATTCTTGGAATAGTCCATAGCTAATGATTAAGGGGTGGAAGGATGAAAGTATTGTATTGATAAAGGCTGCAGTCTATTGTATGCTATTGAACTGTAAAGCATTCATTCCCAGGCTGTTCAATAAAATATGGTGATGAATATTGATGTGCTACTGGTTCAAGCCTTAAACAATTCTCCTCATAGATATCTCCCTATTTATCTTACCATTACAGTAGATTTCACCTTCAACAAGCATTTAAAGATTCTTCTAGGCATACAGTGCATATAAACGCTGAAACTCCCTATATATGTTGATTTTTTATGTCACACTGTCAGTTTTTTATCATAATTCTTTTATTATTTTTTGGTTAATCATTTCCCAAAATACAAATGACACACAATTCCTGAATTATAAATTTTCATAATTTCAATAGTTTATTTGAAGTGTTGTTAATCATATTTTTCTTGGTATATGGGGGCTGGGTGACTTGTATTTATGAATGATCCTAACCCCAAGATTACCTTTACCTATCAATCATAGCAACTGTTGCTATAGCAACTCCTTTATGATGTCACTATGGTAATCTTTGGATATGGATTGTTCTGTAGACTGAGCCCTGATTGTGGATGTTGTTTTGTAGGGTCCTAACTGTGGGTGCCCCTATTGATACCATCATGAAGATAATGACAGAAATCATACCACTTCTGGAGACTGTAAGTATGATGTGAATTAGTTTTGTTTTATCACTGGTCACAATGATCCCACCAGCATTGAAGCAAGTGGGTGGTGTATATACTAGAGATTTTGAAAATAGGCTTGCACCCATTTTCCCAAAGTTCAGAATGACAAAAATCATGAAAAATTGAATATTTTGACCAACTGAATTGTCCTAAATACTTGGTTATCACATAATTTGTTGCCCTTTATATCTAGGCATTCAAGTTCTGGTGGTGACATGTTTTTATAGTCAACTTTTTGTGAATGGTGTTCAGCTGTCTGCATTCAGGGTTTGACGTCTGTAACACATTTTTATAACTTCCAATAACTGGTGGTGACATTTTGCCATGTTAATGCCTTGTATTCTTTTTTAACTGCTATTATATATTATAACATGCACAAGTTATATGATCCCCACAAGTTCAATGACACCTATTATTAAATGAAATCTAAGTTGAGATGCCTTGTATTCTTTTTTCACTGCTATTATATATTATAACATGCACAAGTTATATGATCCCCACAAGTTCAATGACACCTATTATTAAATGAAATCTAAGTTGAGATGCCTTGTATTCTTTTTTCACTGCTATTATATATTATAACATGCACAAGTTATATGATCCCCACAAGTTCAATGACACCTATTATTAAATGAAATCTAAGTTGAGATGAAAAATCTCAAAAACAATGAATCTGGATCTTTTCCGGATCTTACCGATGTTACCATGACATCTCTTGGCTTAGAAGAATTGAGATGTCATAAAGTCAATTATGTTTTTATGTTACCACCACAAGAAGTGACATATCGTATAGTCCCAAACTATTTGCAGACAATGTTTGGTGTTCGGCATCTGTAACAAATGACAGGTGGTGACATTTTGCATGTAAATGCCTCGTTTTCTCTAAATGATGATATTTTAAGAATTTAGTCTTATATACAACCCTATTATATTATAGTGTTAGTATATATTAGAGCCCTATATATAAATGGAGGGATGGTAGCTCAGAGGAAATCACAGGAGAAGCATTTCCTCAGATATGATTATACTAAATAACACTTTTAATCAAGGAATATTGGTATGAAGTAATTGGAATTGAAACTAATCTTGCAATATAATCATCAAGTCTCCCCAGTTTTACTAGGGAGGTGAGGGGTGAATTATATATCTACAAAGGGGTGGTCTCAATCTTGTTTAGGGTCTATGTTTGGCATCTTAGGAAGCATCTTAAAACTGCTTGTCTTATACCATCTCTATAATCTTTTAGATATTTTTTTCATCGTTACTTTATTAAATACATCAAATCTTCCCCGTCCTCTTCAATTTATCATGTATGAATCTCAAATTCATGGTGTTATTTATCTGGGTATATTACCGAAGAAAATGAATGAATGAATGAACTCAAACTATACTCAGAAGAATAAGTTTTTTACTGTAACGGTTATAAATACACAAAAAATTCTCAAAATTTAGTTGAAAGCATTTTATATATGCTAGCTTTATTTTTTATGGTATATGGTCCCCGAGATATTTAATTTGGCCTCATTTTCGGTTATATATGAATCCAGGTGTAAGAAAGAGGAGACAGTTAATTATCTCACCTTACACACCTGACAGGTGTCAATTCACAGCTGATTATTTCCCCAGCTCTCTCTCTACCAGCAAATAAGCATGGAACAATAGGCACAAGCTGCTTATTGGTTTTCTCCATAGGCTTTTACACATAACAGCATGTCTCTATTGATTAGACAAATTATTTAGTGGCCTATTGTTGATTTCCATTGTTCTTGATGTTTTCCTGCATTTTCATTGGTTTACAGTTGTCATGGAATCTTATATTAATGATTTTCTGCGTTTTGATTGGTTTAAATGGTCATGTGACCTATTGTAAATTGTTTGCTATAAAGGTATATTGTATTATATTAGTATTTTGCACCTCCAGAGTTAGTAATATATTTATAATACCTGGTAGCATATGCATCAACTGGACTAACTCTTCTTTCTTTAATTCTATCACATGGATTAAGAGATACTAATTCAGTCTAAAGATTTCTTATATTACGGATATAATATAGATGACTCATATAGATGTCATGCTAGGCATTGTTCAGTGGCAAATGGAGGTTTTTAGGTAAGAAGACAATGTTCAAAATGTTAGGAGGAAAATGTAGGAAGTTGTTGAAGCAGAAATTATTTGGAAGGTGTAACAACGAATGATTGATAATTTCTATTTTAAAATTATATTCGATCGAGTCAGTAGAATGAGTCTCTTATATTTGGGCTATAGGAAAACTATTCGTAGCTATAAACTACATTTATTTTTATCTTCTTTTGTTTGGAGGTGTATTACCTGGTTAAACATAAACATAACATAATGAAAAAAGGATTAAAAGTGGTCAGCATTGGTACTGGGTATGAAATGCTTATTTGTAAGATTTATGAAATATGGTACTCATTTTATGGAGTATTTGTTCTTATTGATTTATGGACCAATTAAGACTGAATTGAATCTTAAGTTCTTATACTGAATATTCACCGAGCTAATCCCTACTTGGTAGCACATATTCTGAATGAAATTGATGTTGAACCAGATTTATATAAAGTAATGCCAGTTTGATTGAAAATGAAATATTCACTTTGCAATATACCAGCTATATACATTTATTTTGTTGTGTGTTTTGTTATGTCACCACTACAACGTCTCCAACATTTTTGTAGATGGGTAACAAATGGCAGGTGGTGGCACTTTGCATGTCAATGCCTCGTTAACTTGTTATTATTTTGTGTTCATAAGCCCTGTCATTGTCTAATATTTCTCATATGTATTGTAGCATTCTAACAAAGGTGACCAACATGGCCAATTTGAAGGAGATATTAACATGCTGGTCCACACTAGCCAAGCTGGGTGTATCATTGGACGTGGAGGCAACCAGATCAAACAACTTAGAGAGGTAAGAACACAATCACTCTTCCTTCCTATTCCCTCTTATGCTATAAAAGTCCTGGTTAAACCATAAGCACCTTTTTCAGAAAAGTCACAACTCTTTGGAAATTGAAAAAAATAAAATAACTGTGAACATCAAAGTTCTTTGAATATGAGCCCAGCAACCCTGCTGGATTTCAAAACTATATAGCGAATGATTAATTCCACCCCAACATCCAGTCATCTGTATATAACAATCATTAATTATTACAAAGTAAATAATTTGTGTATACATTTCTCTACTTGTTTGTATTATAGCAAACTGGTACCCACATCAAGGTGTTCCAAGACACATGCCCAGGATCGACAGACCGTGTCGTTTCTATTCAAGGGACCATTGAGAAAGTTGTTTCTGTAATCGGTGAAATATACAACCTGATTGAAAAAGTAAGTACAAAATTCTGAAGATTTTATAAGCAGTGTCAGAATTAGAATAATTAGCAGTTTATAAGAACAGACAAAATTGCTCCAAGGAACTGGTGATTTGGGGTAGAAACAACTTGAGAAAATCGCCTGTTACCCACTGCTCATGTCAGCTCTGAAATTGAAGACTCATGTTCATGCTGAAGTCATTGTTACAAAGATGTTTGCGATTACAACTCCTTACAAAATATGTTATAAGAAATTCTACCCCTGACACATATTTACACAACATTTTTAGCCTGAACTGCTTATGAATGAGTCTTATTGAGTGGATTTGTGATATAGACTGGAAAAAAGCTACTGAGATTAATGAAGTTGTTATACACTTCTGGAAAGTAGTACAAGCATGACTCTATAGACCTCAAATAAAATCAAATAATATGTGATTATACTTTATTAGTTTGATTTGAAATCCTTCAACATATCCTGATTCTTACATTGTAGACTCCCATCAAAGGCATCAAAAACCCATATGACCCAAATTACAACATGCAGAGTGACCTTTACCCAGAGCAGTACGGTGGTTTTAGCTATTCTGATGGTCGCCACGGGGGACGAGGAGGTGGCCGAGGAGGGGGTATGGGTAGAGGTGGTCGCGGTGGTGGCGACAACAGAATGGGACGGTAAGTTACCTCATTACTAGTTCCAGAGTTTAAAATACTTTCAATAGAGATACCAATGTTCCACGAGGATCTCGAATTGGATGCCTGATGATTGTGAAAAAGGGGTTTTGATGTTCATGTCACATATTCGCTTTTGATGTTAGTAATACTGTAATGGTGATTTTACGCTAAATTGAGAACGAAATTTCCTATAGTGAATGAAATAATTTTTTTCCTGTTTCAGTGGGGGTCGAGGTGGAAGTGGAGGAAGAGGGGGCCGTGGAGGAGGATTTATGGGTGGAAGGTAAATAAATATCATATCAACCTGTTTATAATTTAAGATCTCTTCTATATTTTTGTTAAATGATATGTGAGAATCAGAACCAGTCTTACCGATGTCCTGTTTTGCATGTAAATATATTGCACTTTATAGCAATTAATGTTTCTATCTGTGTTACACTTAAAAATATTCGACACTTGACCAAGGTGTAGTATATATCCGCCACTATGATTCTGTGATGTTTATTTCACACAGCTGAATGTGATTCCATGTTAAAACTGACTTTTCATATTTTCCAGAGGTGGAGATGGCATGGGAGGAGGTGGTGGATTCGGGGGTGGAGGAAGCAATATGGGAGGAAGAGGTGGACTTGGAGGGGGTGGATACGGTGGTGAACAACAACGAAGTGATATGGGTGGTCTAGGAGGTGGACTGGGTGGTAATATGGGAGGTGGTTTTGGCGGAGGTCGTCGAGGAGGAAGAGGAGGTGGAATGGGAGGTGATGGTGGAGATAGAATGAACAGTGGAAGAGGTGGACTGGGAGGAAGCGGTGGAGGAATGGGAGGTGGCTCTGGAATGGGTTCTGGAAGTGGCCTTAATCAGAACTTCACCTCAGACTCAATGGGAAGCTCAGGTGTCATCTTCGGCAACCAGACCACTACAACTCAAGTCAGCATTCCTAAAGATGTATGAACAACTTTTTTTCTCCTAAATCTTGAAAATGAAATAAAATCTGACAATAATCTTGATGAAAGTTTACTTTTTAAAGGGTTGAAAGACTGCAGATTACAAAGTAGTTTTTTGTCATTTAAGATGAATATTTAAAGCTGAAACTCTAAACGCATCTCAATAAATAGATACATCTTATGAATATAGCTTGTGCTGAAATGAACAAAACCTGGAGATAAAAATCATTGATTTGATTTTGTTTGTGTTTTAGCTTGCTGGAGCTATCATTGGCAAAGGTGGTTCAAGGATCCGTGAAATCCGTCATAAATCTGGTGCAGAGATCACCATAGATGAGGCACTGCCTGGTAGCTCTGACAGAATCATCACAATTGCTGGAAATGGTGATCAGATCCAGTTTGCACAGTTCCTCTTACAGGAGAGGTAAGAATCACATTAGGTGCAGTCTTCTCCCCTTGAGTTATCTCAATATCTTAGAACTTTTGATACCAAGTGAATCTTTAATGCATCCAAAAAAGATAACACTATTTTAACACCTTGTTGAGAAAAAACTTGGGGAGATCACTTATGTATGATATTAATATTGAATTTTGCCTTCAGGTTCAGGTTCTGCTGTAGTATACTTCTTCATTAGAATCTAATTGAATACCTTAAATACATATGATAATTTCCATAATAGAGCTGAACAAGTTGACAATAGAAATACTGAATGACTACATGTATTTGAAATAATTTGATCTCATGCAATCACATTTTCAAAATTTTCTAGTGCAAGGAGTACACAACAGAACCGAGCTAGCTAGACCCTAGTAGCTTTCTATATGATATCCATCCTCGTAAGTTGACAACCTTCATGGCTAGCTTGCACATAGACTAGATCATACTTTCCTTCCTTGATACTATCTCTGTATGGCATATTCAAATTCTACAAAATGCAGCAAATATCGAAATAACATACATAAATGCAAAAATTTGTTCTACATTATGAAATTGTTGTCTTTCAACTGTTTTTCAACTTGAATTTTAAACATTTTTATTCTATTAACCCAAACGTATAAAATGAAGCTCACTAATTAGACGTAAAAGTTCTCGATATTGTCTAATCATATCCTTTTTCCATGTACTGAGTGCTGTTAAATTGCCTCCTTTATTTAACACTAATGGAGTCGTGACATTTCCTGAAACTTGACGCCATATCGATCTTGACAGTGCCTATGAGCCTTGACACCATCTTATTTTTGATGTCATATTATGTCACTTTAGTATAATGGTAAACACCATATGGATATTAACACCATAAGAATATTTATCCTAATGAGAACAATTTATTTAATAAGAATAATTGACTCTAGTATTATCATTATGATACATCATATTCCAAACAGATTGTATTTTATGTAGCTTTGCATTTCCCTCTAATTATTACCCTTTAATAACTGTCTATGATTGCATCACTTATAATAAATACCTGCTACTAGTTAACAGCTTAAGAATCTAACAAGTGTACAAACTTAACATGTTGCAATCAAGGAAGTGTATGTTTATATCAGTGAGCACTGTAGCCAATGGCAACCCCTGGAGCTGAGCCTTGGTAGTTTCCAGATTTAGAGTACAATGATTTAGAACACAATGCCTGTTGATAGGGTACAATGCACGATATGGTCTAATGCTAATATTATAGATTAATGTTGGGTTGCTTTCTACTAACATGGCGTGACCACCGTGGAAGACTAGTGATTTTGTTGTTTTTAATATAACATAACAATAAGTCACTGTGTTCCCTAGTGTGTACGTGCTGACATCTTTTGAATGCTAACTCAACTAGTTCCCAAAATAACTCGCTAATGTCCTGTATGATGTTCTAACTAAGGTTTACCAGCAGTGCTTACATACATATGTATCATGAATGTATTTTTGCAATTATGATTTTAATATACATTGAATATATAGATAAGCAAGAATCACTTTTGCTTCTTTGGTAGCAGTCAATAATCAATGCTGTTTTACAAAATTGATTAACATGTACTAATTTATATGATGCTGTTTTTCAGTGTGAAGATGTATTCGGGTCAGTATAATAAAAACTAGGATACTACAACACCTACAATAGGACCTTGATAAATGCATACACTGACAGTGGTTGAATAAGCAACTCATATGTCCGACAAAATCCCCATGTAGATATGCTCTTCAAACTTGAAGTATTTTTCAACGGACATTTTATTAACGTCGATCAAAAGTTGACTGTAGACTAGTTCTGATATCATATTTTTATATTTGTATTTTATCATTTATCATGTATCAGACAGATAGTTCATAAAATGATCTGAAATCTTCTAGTGTTTTTATTATAATTTTAAGCTTTATTTTCAAATATAAAGTCTAAAGATATCAACTATGGGGCAAATTACATATCCCTTTTACTGTCTCGGAACTTGAAAAGTTTGGTCTTCCATGTTCAAATTGTGAATTATTTTTAGTAACAGAGATAATACTTAAGAAAAGTTGATATTGAATTAGATTTTATATGGTACAATTATCCAAGAACTATTGTGACTGTTTTGAAAAAAGGTCATAATATACAGGATGTCCATGAAGTCTATTCACACTTTACACAGACTTTGTATTGTAATTGTAAAGCGACTTTATGGACACATTGTATTTATTATTAGTATATTGTAATACAAATAGTCGAAAATAAAAATCATGAAAACAATGCAAAGGAGTTTTGTTTCAATGTTTCCTCATAGAACTTAATTTCTTAAATGGAGGTTGATTGCTCTCAAATTTGGCACACAAAAACTTCATTCAATGTGGGACCTCTGGCAAACGTTTAATAACCATAGTCTTATATTGAAAGAGTTATGGTCGTTCCAAAATATACTCCAGAATTAGTTCATTTCATTGAAGACAAACTTGAAATCTTCGAGCAAAATGCTTCATCTAAAAATCAATGATTTATGGATAAAGACAACATTCAAATTCATATCCTAATTCAGCCCTGGCGGGAACAAAGGATTTTCTACGAAAGTTTACCTCTACAATAAATGATTTTCTCCTTTTGTACTTTTGTCCATATTCTGAAAAGAAAAGCGCTACATTATCCCATATTGAATGAATATCTGTGAATAATAATCAAGATGTCTTGTATGAAGAAAGTTATTCACGAATTGGAGGGTTACATTTTTGGATCACCCTGTTTATATTATATGGGAAATGCGGACAGCTGTATTTTAAAAATAATCGAACACTACACTTGCCAATTTTAGAGATACTATGATACTTTTTTGATTTGTTTCATATCTCAATACTTAATGAATACAAGGGACGTTGGCTCTAGATTTTATAATAAAAGGAGCTGGATTTACTCGAGTCTCTAGCTTACAGCTAGACGAAACTTCATTGATTTCGTATGTACTGTGCTACACGCACCTACACGCACCTACACGCACCTAGAACTCATTTTTAATAAATTTTATAAAATATTTTAAGAATATTAATCATATTTAGGATGAAGCGTTGCTTGTCTGGATTTAGATATTTCAAAATTTCATTTCGGAGTTTGAAACATGATGAAATTTTCTCGCTGTAGCTAAAAATGGCTTCTGGTTCTGGACGTGAATAACATTTGAAATTATTCTCGCTAAAGAAATCAAATATAACAATAGATTCAGACGGGGATGTGAGCTGATGTTCTTCAAATCTATACATAAAGGTATATTTCATATTATTATGCCATATTTACTGTGCGTGTGACACAATGATTTACAATATTTATAATACTAAGGCAGCTCAATCTTCCTCCTCAAAGCCGGAATATAGAGAAGGCTTTGGACCGAAGTAAAGCTGGATGCTCAGACTTTAACATGAAACAGGATAGTTAGTTTGCTTAAAACTGTACAAGTTTCATATAAATTGGTTTCTTGGAAGTGACACAGAGTCTACATATTTTCAATGACTAAGTTAGGTGGAGCAGCGTTATATATAAAATATGTGCTGAGTTGCGGTTCTGGAAATTTACCGATATCGTTTACCTCTCATAAGCACTCACTGGTGATCAGCTTGATTACGCTGGTTATTTTGAAAGATTTTTTGGCCGGGGGGTCGATGGGTCCCCCCCCCTGGCTACGGGCCTGTTATGTTACACGTTTTAAGAGAACCTGTATGAGAGCGTGTAATATTTCGACTCCCGGGATTACTGTCCCGCTCTCAATTCACTTTTCCAGGGACCTAATTACAATTATTTTCTGTATACCTATAAAATCAATAGGCCAAGTGAACGATACAAAAGGGAGAACCATAATCCACAGATTACCATAATTCTCCACGTTCACGTACAATTTATTCAAAACGTGTACCCAAACCCCACTAGTAACAGTTACGTATGACCTCTAAACTCTAAAGGAGGAGGGAAAGTATCGCAACAGATCTCGGACTGTCATATGTTGGATTTGGGCTATTCTCTGAGAGTTTAAACAGGTGCATATGTTATAGATCAATGCATTACCTCCAGGAAAAGCACTCCTAGAGGTGATAAGATAATTTAGACTTTGAGACAGGGAAGATCCAAACAACCCACTCACATGTGTTTTCTGAAATGTTGTTCTGATTTTCAACCTCTTCCACCCCTGCTTTTTTAATTTTTGTTGCATCAATATGTTGCGTTTTGACGCACAGTTAACCCCTTAAAGGAATAAGTGATTCCTTTGGGTTTTTTAAAGATATCCATTAAAGGTAGCCAAAATTAGCTGAAAGCTATGGATCGCATGAGTTTTCCCTATGGGAAAATAACATGGGAAATATTGTTTTCCCCATTATCTAAAAGGAATCACTTATTCATTTAAAAAAGCAGGGGTGGAAGGGGTTGAAAATCAGGAAAACGTTTCTGAAAAAACATGTGGGTGGGTTATTTGCATGTTCCCTGTCTCAAAATCGATATTATTTCATCATCTCTCAGAGTGCTTTTCCTGGAGGTAATGCATTGGTCTAACATATGCACCTGTTTAAATCCTTAGAAAATAGCCAAAATCCAAAATATGACTGTCCGAAATCTGTTGCGATACTTTCCCTCCTCCTTAACGACTTTTCGAACAAAAAATTAATAAGAAATAAAAAAAACTTCAAAAAACACTTTTTGAAATTAAAACGTTTCATATTTTGATAACATTGGAACTATAATATAAACCAGGGTGATTTAAACCTCATATAGGACCTTTTTATTATTGTATCATAGATAATATATCTATTTTGTATTTGCTCGTGTAATAGAGTTGTTTCAAACTCGCCGACTTCGACAACAGAGTCCCGACACCGACTTGGTTACTGTAAATCGATACTGTAATTATGTATTTTCAAAGTTTAGTTTTGCGGATAAACTGATTACTTACCATGCAATATTTCTAGATAAATTCCAATGCATATTCGACAAATATTCATCATTTAATGGTTTTCAGGTTTATTTCATTTATCATTAGACGATAGACTACCTGACTACACGTTTTACATAAGGCCTAATTTAATTTGCAATTGATTTACAGTAACGGCATTGTTTAAGCCCAGAGCCCATACGTTTCATTCGGTCCTAAAACTACGATTTTTTCAAGTAATGCCTTGGTCACATTTGCTCTGATTTTCACGACGGCGCCCGGCCGATTGAGTATTTTGTTCAAAATTGAATACAATATTGAACAAAACACTCAATCGGCCGGGCGCCGGCCGATGGATCGGAGCCTATGTGACCCAGGCATAACATGAGACAAGTTTGTGCATCGCTGAGTATTTGGCAGTGACACGTGTCTATGCGTATGCGTTCATATATTTACTTGACTTGTGCACTGGTGTGTCACAACCTTCTTACGATAGTACACGAGTAACATGGCTTCGAAAACTGTAAGCAAAGGTAAGTTACTTGACTAATTAGCAAACAAATATGTACGTTCATATACTTACAGGCATCGTACAGCTTTTTCTAAATATGCATTCGATATTTCAAAACAGTACGTGTTTACTGTTTCGTTTGTTTATTCAATGAAATCAGAAACTACATGTATATCCCGCAATATTATAAAAACTACGTACTCTGTGGGGCTTAACATTTTACAGGGTTTGAATGGCACGTTAGCTGTGAAGAATAAACATGACACTGTGCAAATCAAAGCACGCGTTCGCCTTGCAGCAGCCTTATTACTGAATTTATATCTGTTTCAGAACCTACGCTCTTGACAAAAAGAAAACGAAAGGTTTTCTTTTCGAAACCAGAAGTTTTACTTTTACTAAGAAGCTACTTGGTGCATCCATGTTGTTGGACAGAAATTGTCGATACCATCAAAGACAATCTCCATCTTCTAACAGAAGACACGTCGAGTTACTACAAACAAACAAGCTATGATCAGCTACAGACCCGTCTTTCTACAAAGCTTGGGAAGTTGGTTACAGGAAAGGAGGTTGTCAAAGATACAGAAATTCAGTAAGAGATTTCAGGGTTTTTTCATTCTGTTTAGTACTATTATTTACTAGACTTTCAAATTTCAGTTTGATTTTGCTTATTTATAAAAATTTTATCCGACTTGTGTTTCAGATTGGCTATTGATGATGTTAAGAAAATGGAAATGAGGTTTGCGGAAAAACCCTGCCCCCAGCCTACCAAAGCGAAGACTCCCAATCCTGTGGAAGCCCCAACCCCAAAGCCTGTAAAAAACCCGACCCCAAAGTCTACAAAAGCCCAGACCCAAGCTGCAACTGCAAGTACGTCAACTCAAGACAAAAACGTCACCATTTTTAATGAGGATGACGATGGACGATTTCCGGGATAATATCGCACATAATATGTCGAGTGGTCATGATGAGGAACTCGCAGTTCCAACAAAGAAGAAAAAGAAGAAGAAAACAGAGACACTAACTGAACTCCACAGAAGAGTTTTAAAATCCCAAGAAAGATTTCTATTGAAAAAAATGCCCAAAATTATTACAGGACTTGGCATTAGTATTTCCTCCTCAGAATCGTCAGATTAGCTTAACCACACTTGTATGATCATTATTATTATATATTAATAATAAAAACCCAGTGAATACATAACAGAATATATGTCCCTCTGATTATATAGTCAACAAATATCATTTCGTGTTCCATAGTCGGAAGCTTGAAACAATCCAATTGAATTAGGTAGATATTAACCTCAAAAATAAACTTTGAAAATACATAATTACAGGTTTACAGTAACCAAGTCGGTGTCGGGACTCTGTTGTCGAAGTCGGCGAGTTTGAAACAACTCTATTACTTGTCTCTTAAGTATTTTAACAAAATATTATGATATATTGCCACATTTTATTTACTGTAATTAAATTCATTTTCAGTGTCGCCTACATTTTTTCACATCTCGTTCCTAAGTAATCAACTTATCTTGGTTTTTGAATTAATAAATCACTGTAATAATTGATTTACATGGAATGGGAATGTACGGCATAACATATGTGTATCAAACGTTCATTAGATAATACTGATGGCCCGTAAGATATGCTCCATTATGTGTTCAGTGTTTCGAATCAAAAATATAGGTAATTACGATAAATTAAATAATAATTACACATCAAAACTGTCACTCTGAGTAATAATCATCATTTCATTATCATATACGTTTTCTTAACTGTGCCTCCAGAGGAGCGGCAACTAAGGTGTGCGAAAATGGTAAAACTACTTTTGGTAGTTTATTTAATTGTAATTTGGAGTACAGAGGTAAGTGGGGATATTTGTCCAGATGATGTCGATATTACACCCATTGATGAGACCAAGCCATCAGTATTTCAACAGCTATCCGCCTTGGAAATAAACAGAGTAAGGGACTATCTTAAAACCGTTCCTGATCTTAATTACAAAGCAGGCCCCGATGGAAACGTTTCCGATACATTTGCGTATATAATTGAGAAGAAGCCAGTTCCAAAAGATGATGTTTTAGCTTATGTTGATGGCAGTGGACAGGTGCCAAAACGAGAGGCAAGAGTAGCGTTAGCTGCACCAACGGGAATGTTGGAGTATACTGTAGGACCATTGCCTAATCCTACATATCATTTCAAGACAAAATTCCCAAAATGGAGTCGAACTGAATTGAGATTCACTGATCGCCCATCTGCCATAGACTCGATCGCACTTACTATAACCATCCAAAGAGAAGCACGCAAAATGACAAAAATACTACATGAAAGTTTTAATGGTTTTGATTTTGAAGATACCTGCAATGATAAATGCCTAACATATTTTGATATGAAGCTAAATGTATACCAGAACAGAAGGCTATTATGGGTTAATATTTTACGCAAAGTTCCACTCTCAGTAGGCTCTCCACTGATTCATCCGTTAGCACTTCAGTTGCTCGTTGATATGACCAGTTCCGACCCTGACAAGTGGAACGTCGGCCAAGTTTGGTACAATGAACAACGTTTCGATTCGGTAGATGACTTAGTGGAGAAATACAATAATGATGAAGTAAAAAAAATTAGGATGTCATATGATGAAACCGATGTATATTCATCGATGAGACGACGAGGTAATGACAATATGAAAAGTACAAAGAGGGGCCCCGACTGCTTCCCCCAAGATGGTAGAAGATACTCCGTCGATGGACATCGTGTAAAATATATGAATTGGGAATTTGAATTTACTTACAGACAGACCACCGGGCCACAGTTATTCGACATAAGGTTTAACAATACGAGGATTGTGTATGAATTAAGTATGCAAGAAGTAGCATTATCTTACACAGGAAAGAGTCCGTTCTCTCGCCACGGAAATGTTTTCTATGACAACGTAGTTCTCATTGGCAACTTCTTTTCACCTCTAATGCCTGGTGTGGACTGCCCGAAAGGAGCTTCATTTTTCAGCACTTCTCACTACTCGTATAAACTTGCACGAGAAGTTGAAATACCCAACGCGTTTTGCCTTTTTGAGTACACCGAGGGTCCACCACTTAGGCGTCATTATGACAGCGATCATCATGGCGGGTATTATTTCTATGCCGGTATGCCAAACAATGCGCTTGTTCTGAGAAGCATACAGTCTAACTACAATTACGATTATGTATTTGACTTCATCTTTTACCAGAATGGTGTTATAGGTACTAAGATTGGGGCCTCTGGATACGTAATGCCTGAATTTGCGAACAGAAAAGTACCCAAGGAAAACCCATTTGGATTTAAAATTCACGAAAATGTTAGAGGTATGCTTCATCAGCATCTATTTAGTTTCAAAGTTGACTTAGATATTCAAGGAAGGAAAAACAGACACGAAACACTCGCAGTAGTCGCTAGGCCCACAGTTCATAAAGTAGTTGATGGTATAGAGGAGGACGCACATGAACAATATCTTAAGAGGCATCTCAAACATGTAGAAAAAGATGCTGCGTATAGATTCAAATACAAAAAGCCGAAATTCTATCTCTTCTACAACAATCGTGAAAAGAGTAAATGGGGAGCCAAGCGAGCATACTACATAGATAACCAAGGCGTAAGCAAATATCTATATCCCGACGATTCTACGAAAACTGATTCGGTAGCATGGGCGAAGTATCAGCTTGCAGTCACGCGATATCACGTAAGTATAGTATAACTTGATATGTCTAGCTTGAATTTTTAATGTTAATTTTTTTAACCAATTTGTTTCGTAAGTATATGTTTTGAAGGAATCTAAAATATTGACATAATATTAATCTTCTAAAGGAAAGCACGGTGAACAATTTATTCAAAGGCCCCATATAAAGGAGCACGTAGGTTATCGCAAACAATTTCAAACGATTCTAACTTGAATTATTATGAATATTTTCTGATCATGAACATGGGTGTATCTTTTAGATCCATTCATTATCTTCAAGAAAAGTATATAAAATGATAATTTAGTTAATCAGACCTAAGTGATATTGAATATTGAAGGGGCAATGGACCAATCAACATACTTTTTCAAAAATGTTGACCTAATTTTCACCAAAAATGCAATGACATGTTTGATTTCCTAAAAGGAAAAGTTGATTGCTCCAGGGACTCCAGATACTGAATTTGGATGACCAAATGAACTGAAACCAATGGATAGCATGAGATTTTTCAATGGAGAAATAACATGGGGAGCACTTATCTTAAAGCAATTAAGTTTTTCTTTCAAGAACTATTTGATACATCAAAATAAAGAATAGTTATGCATTAAACTTTGAAAAAAATGATTGCATTTTTGTAAAAATGGGGTCAACATCTTTGAAAAAGTGTGTTGATGGGTTGATTGCTAGTTAAATATCTCCGAGTTTGTTTGACTTTATTATAACTGTATATAATGAATTGATCTAAAAGATAAACCTGTCTTTATTGTCAGAAAATAGTCATACCCCAAGATATAACCTTCTGAAATTGTTTGCGATAACCTACGTGCTCCTTTAAACCACTTTGACTTAAAATGCAGTCTTACCCAATGTTATCAAAATCGTGATATTTATTTTTTTGAACTTCAAAACGTTGTTTTTGAAGGAATTTTTGTTCGAAAATTCGTAAATGAATATTTGAAAAATATATAAAAGATGATAACTATTTTTTTACACTTTTTGAAAATCTCTAAAATAACTTCTAAATTCATCAAAAAATTAAATAAAATGATAAAAACATATTTTCTTTGCTGCATGGGGCCTCTAAGAAAGCAATGGATACATTATATTTAAATAACAAATATTTAAATGTTTTTACTTTAGGATGATGAAGACAGAAGCACATCAGCCTATAACACGTTCCACCAGGCGGACCCTGTTTTGAATTTCGATTCATATATTAATGACAATGAAAATATAACAGACGAGGTATGTAGACTTTCAATATTTTGAAAGTAACTTTTTGTAAATTTAAACCCTTTGGAGACAATGATGATTAAGTAATCGATTGCAAAAGATTGACTCGAAGAAATTGTAATGATATTTGAAAAGCTTTACCCCTCAGCCATATCAAACCAGTTCACAAACGCCCTATCCCGTTCCAATAAAACAATCGTAAAACGGGATCTGGTCGGGAATATGTTCTAAAATACGATATTAGTTCGTTCATAAACAGTTCGCGAACTTTTATGAAAGTCAAGAAATCGTGATTTCAGTCTTTCAGCAAATAGCTTTTATTATTAGACTCCTGATTGAAAACACGTTGCTTTCATTTTAAGTTTTTACTTGATTGAATGACTGTGACATATCTTGATATATAAGGGTTATATACTGGGAGGTTTTGGATATGGGGTTTATCCAGAGGGAGATATGCATATCTACCTGAGGGACCGTAGGGACCGAAGGTAGATGTGCATATCTCATGAGGGATGAACCCAATATCCAAACCGACCGTACATAACTGATTTATCCTATACCAAGTAGAGTTTTCTAATTTTCTTTCAATTTTTTTCATTTTTTCAATTTTTTCACATTTTTCTGATTTTTTCAATTTTTTCTAATTCTTTTTCTATTTTTTTCTCTTTATAATTTTTTATTTTTTCACATTTTTTCTTTTTTTCAATTTTTTCTTCTTTTTTCAATTTTTTTTCGAAGCGGGAAGATATGCCATGGAGCGGGAAATATGGCGGGAGATATGGAGGTTCAGGATATGGAAACCTCAAAATCAGGATACGGGATATATCTTACCAACTTATCTCCCTAAAACTCTACCTGGCATAGGATAAAAATTCTTACGTTTGTTTTCTTTCAACATGTCCATGAATATTAATAAAATTAATTGCCTTAAGTTTGCTATTTTCGGTAAATTGAATTTGTACAACGAACACACGCAAATCTTTTTCAGGATCTGGTGGCCTGGGTATCTCTTGGTTTTCAACACGTTCCCAACCATTCATCAGATGTTCCTGTTACAACAACACCCGGGAATATCTTCAGTTTCTACTTGAAACCTTTCAACTATTTTGACGAAGACCCGTCTATATCATCGAACGATAATGTTTATGTCACTCCTGGAAAAGATGGTGGGATTGTTGTTGAAGAGAACGCAAACAATGCAAAGGAAAGTTGCTCGCATCCAAATAAAGATCCACGCTTTGTTGGAGATTATGTTAAGCCAGAGTTTTAATGACAGACTCAATAAATCATGACATTGACTTTAATTAAGGAAAATAATTCTAAGGATAAAATATAAATCAGATTTCTTATTCAAAATTGTACTCGGTCAGTACACTATAGTAGTTCCTGATACTCCTACTTGCTTATACCAGTCTCGTTCCGTTTGTACTCCGTGTAAGAGACTGTTATTTTTGAATCTTTATTTAATTGGAATTGAGAATACTATTTTCAAAGTTGGAAATTTCCAATAGGCCTAACTCCAATTTTTGGATTCTGAAAAAAAATTCTTTTATCAGAGAATAAATGTAAAGATAGCGAACTAACATCGATTAAGGCGAAGTTAAATTAAATAAAAAGTACAAAAATGACTGCCATATTTTTTTTTGATAAAGACACATGTTTTTAAAATCTGTTTACGTATATGAATTGTATATATTGACTAAAGAAACATGTCAAAGTTAACACCACGCATTTTTCAAAACTATGAATTGGAGGTGCGTGGATCCCCAAAGCTAGCATGAATAGTGTGAAGTGAGGCTAATTTTTGAAAGTTTCAAGGAGTAGCCTTGCAACAGTCACACATTTGCAAGAATCCAAAATTTCCACAAATCATCTGACATTTCCCAGGAACAACGAAGGAGCATGAAAATGTGCACTTCAGGTAACTTCTAGTTCCGGGAGATTCCGTAAAGACCCCATGTTATAAAATCAAAAAAGTGAAATATATATTTTGTGAGGTGTGGTCGGTTGAGCAGTCAAACCGTTTTTAAGTCTTCCACGTCACTGGCCAGACTTTTCATGTCCCAAAAGATACAGTCAAAAGGATTATGTATACTAATAATGTTACTGTCTTCAATGTATATTCCTTTAGTGTAACGATAAAACCATAAAATCCAAATAATTTAGAGATAAAATTTCATGACTTGCATCGCACGTTCCCAACCATTCATCAGATGTTCCTGTTACAACAACACCCGGGAATATCTTCAGTTTCTACTTGAAACCTTTCAACTATTTTGACGAAGACCCGTCTATATCATCGAACGATAATGTTTATGTCACTCCTGGAAAAGATGGTGGGATTGTTGTTGAAGAGAACGCAAACAATGCAAAGGAAAGTTGCTCGCATCCAAATAAAGATCCACGCTTTGTTGGAGATTATGTTAAGCCAGAGTTTTAATGACAGACTCAATGTATCATGACATTGACTTTAATTAAGGAAAATAATTCTAAGGATAAAATATAAATCAGATTTCTTATTCAAAATTGTACTCGGTCAGTACACTATAGTAGTTCCTGATACTCCTACTTGCTTATACCAGTCTCGTTCCGTTTGTACTCCGTGTAAGAGACTGTTATTTTTGAATCTTTATTTAATTGGAATTGAGAATACTATTTTCAAAGTTGGAAATTTCCAATAGGCCTAACTCCAATTTTTGGATTCTGAAAAAAAATTCTTTTATCAGAGAATAAATGTAAAGATAGCGAACTAACATCGATTAAGGCGAAGTTAAATTAAATAAAAAGTACAAAAATGACTGCCATATTTTTTTTTGATAAAGACACATGTTTTTAAAATCTGTTTACGTATATGAATTGTATATATTGACTAAAGAAACATGTCAAAGTTAACACCACGCATTTTTCAAAACTATGAATTGGAGGTGCGTGGATCCCCAAAGCTAGCATGAAGAGTGTGAAGTGAGGCTAATTTTTGAAAGTTTCAAGGAGTAGCCTTGCAACAGTCACACATTTGCAAGAATCCAAAATTTCCACAAATCATCTGACATTTCCTAGGAACAACGAAGGAGCATGAAAATGTGCACTTCAGGTAACTTCTAGTTCCGGGAGATTCCGTAAAGACCCCATGTTATAAAATCAAAAAAGTGAAATATATATTTTGTGAGGTGTGGTCGGTTGAGCAGTCAAACCGTTTTTAAGTCTTCCACGTCACTGGCCAGACTTTTCATGTCCCAAAAGATACAGTCAAAAGGATTATGTATACTAATAATGTTACTGTCTTCAATGTATATTCCTTTAGTGTAACGATAAAACCATAAAATCCAAATAATTTAGAGATAAAATTTCATGACTTGCATCGCATGATATTGATTTATGATTTTTATATCACGGGTAAGTAATCAAACTATAATATAGATGTCATGCTAGTATGAAATCATTACAATCGTCGATCAAAATAAACTTCAAATTATAAATATAAATATACATTTTAATTATGGTAATTCTTAATTTACTCAACTCGATGTTCAAATGAAATAACATAATGTAATAGTTGCTAGCTTTCGAGTCAAACCCCATCGCTGACTAAGTAACGGTTTAATCTGCTTATTGAGGCAGCAACTAACACTGGCTAACGATCTTTTCGCTAATTGAACCAAACGACTCTATTCAATCGCTAAGCTGGCATTAAAAGTTGTATGATCTTTGATAGTTGACTGACGGTTTGATCGTTACTTTATCTTCGGTTTAAATTGTGCAGATGTCAAGCCGCCAGCCGCCAGTTGCATTCGCGAATACTACCCGACACTTCAAACAATGTGTATAAGTCGTTACCCACATCAAAACCTGTACATTTGCTTATGAATAACCACAGATTGCAATAGTGCAGAGCAGAGTGACCTATTAGGTTTTAAGTTAACAAATACAAGCGAGGCTTACATACTGTACCTAGAGAAGTGCACTTGAACACAATATCGAAAGCACTATCGAGCTATCTCTTAATTGTCGAGGCCTATCTGACAATGATATCGTGGCAATAATTGCAAGTCATCACCGGCGACAAAGTGATTGGCCTCTGGCTAGTGTGTGGGGATGATAGGATCAGTTGCAGCCATGGATGCATCAACCTCATACTCAAACACAGACTCACAGAACAAGATGAGCCTCATTGGACCGCAAAATCCAAAGGTAATGATTCTGGGCGTTATTTTGATTCAATAGGTCAGACCGGTCATAAAACTCAAAATGTCAAAGGTCAATGTCATCAAACTATAGGTGGTCGTAGACTCTCGCAGTACATCAAATGACGTCATACCAATATATATTATATAAAGTTAAGATTATTCTTTCCATTCAACATTTTTGAAAAAATTCCTATACCTGCACATGTTATTTTCTGGTACAAAATAAAGTAAGAAGGCATCTGTGTATTTCCATGCTTTTTTCAGGAAAGTATCATTGCACTGTCTTCTTTTAGTAAACCTAGTAATAGGTCAAAGGCAACTTCAGGAAATGCTGATATTTCAAGAAAAATCATTCAAAATGGCCGCCTTTTCAAATTTTCAAATTTATTCTCCAAGTTTCTCCATAACACTGGATTTCCAATGACCAATTACTAGGTTTACTGAGAGAAGACAATATAATGATACTTTCCTGAAAAAAGCAAGGAAATACACACATGCCTTCATACTTTATTTTGCACCAGATAATAACATGGGCAAGTATAGGAATTTTTTCAATTTGGGTTGGAAAGAATAACCTTATAATCTATGATATTTCAGAATGCGTTCAAGACCATGCCTTGCAGTAAGCGAATATCCATGTATGATGTCTGTATAGTTGGGGCTGGCATGATAGGATCTGCAACTGCAAAACATCTCTCGGAAATTAGTAGGACCGGAAAAAAGATTTGTCTTATTGGACCCTCAGAACCCAAGGTCAGTGATTTTATAAAACAGGGCTGCTGATTTCCACTATATTGGGCTTAAGATAGAGTCGTTCAAAAAGGATTTTCGAGAAAACCCCTTTTGTGTGTCAGAGAAAGGCCTCTCCAGCTTATGTTTTACAGACAATTCAAAAGTCTTGGCAATTCTACTACCTTTCTTGTGTACTGTTGTAGAACTTTTAAATATTGATCTTACCACTCCATTTTAGAGTGATGCAAATATTTTTTAGAAATGTGACTTTCCACCACTGTTTGTGATTTTTTAATAGATACTTTATTACTTGTCATTGACATTTTAGATGTGGATTGTTTTTGTTGTTTTGTGTGTTTTTTGTTATTGTCTTAAATTTTTAGATGTGTTTTTGTGTTGTTGTTTTTGGTTAATTTTCACTGTTGTGTTAAATGTTTAAACTTTTGTACTCCATGCTAAATGGGAAATAAAGAAATATATATATGAGTTAGTTATTTTCAAAAGGTGGAGTGAAGTAATAGTACCTAGTTTGGTCAATAGAGGGAACATTAATCTGTCCCCGGGAGGATTTTCCCCGGGAATGTAACTATACGCTTTGTACCTTCCAATCCCATCGTGCATGTCCTACTTTGAATATTTATAATTTCTGATTGGTGAATGTATACCTGGGAATACACCTAATTATTTTTTGCCTTTGTACAAATCTATATGAAAGAAAATGTAATCAAGCTGAGTAGTTTGTGCGGCTAGTTAGCTTATAACAATCGAAACAAATATAGACGCCAATACTTGAGTTATGGATGAGTGGTCGGTTTGAAAACACACATTTTGTAAACATTTGTTATGTGAATATATAGGATAAGGATTGACAAACCATAAAACTGTAAAATTTAAAACGCTTGCTTGCTCTGCGTGGATAGTGAACTTTATAAATGAATTCACTGGACAGTCCAGCCGGTGAAATATTGTTCCCTGTCATGCAAATGATGGATTTAACACGAGTTTGAGCTAGTTCATTCTGCCACTGTACGCCCGTCGGATATAACAATTTTACCAATACAGTCAAAAATCTCCTCCGTTTTTATTTGAATTGAGAGATCACATTCAAATTGGATTATTTCAACTTCTATTTGTATTCAATTATCCTATTTCTATTCCATGCTAAATGGGAAATAAAGAGATGTAATAATGATAACTGAATATGATCATGGGCAGCTGGATGCCCATTATATAATGTTGAGTTAACCCAAGGATGAAGAGTTAATCAATTTGAAAATATAATATTTTACATATTGTACATTTTGAATGCATGTTGATATTAAACCATGGTTTCCGTGATGACCTTTCAATCGCGATTCGCGATCACCGTACTGTGTCAACTTGAAGTGTGTATTTTCCCCAGATACGAAGGCAAATGCAGGGTGTCCTTGCGGCAAACGTTCGTTCCAGTTTCTGCGATCTGCTGCCGATGTCACCTGTCGTATGACAAACGACAAATGTGACTTAGGTTTAACATAGGATATTTTACAACTTAATGTGATTGTTTATAAATAGATTATCCTACACTTAGTGTACTAAATGTATAATAACATTAAAAAATAAATTTGATATTTATTGGCAAAATGAATATCCGGAGGATATCGTAACGATATACTCCGGGCGGAGGATATCGTGACGATATACTCCGGAAAACCCAACATGCGGAGGATATTGTGACGATATACTCCGCTTGTTGATTTCCCGCCAAATTGACTCTATTTTGGCATGGAATTCATTTTGCAATGATATTATACATTTAGTACACTCCTTGTAAGTGTAGGATAATAAGAACATCCTATGATTTTTTTCAGAATATCATTTTATATTTTACATTTTACATTTTATATATTGATATATGCACTCGTTCGCTTCGCTCTCTCGTGCAGATATCAATATCACCTCGTAGATAAAAATGATATTCCTCAAAATCATAGGATATCCTATAATTATTCGTAATTTACTAACGTGTCTCAAACATCTACCAGCGTCGTTTTGACTCCAGTTGCAAAAACAATATGTGGTGAATAAGTGATTAAGTTTTATTTTGACATGATACGCTATGAATATGACGGTAATAATGAAATAATAACAATGCATTACGTTAGGATAGATCGGGGGATAGATTTTTGTGGAAATCGTTCCATGATGTTAGAGATATTGAACTGGATATTGCCACGATATACTCCAGAAACCCAATATGCGGAGGATAGTGTGACGATATACTCCGCTTGTTGATTTCCCGCCAAATTGATTCTATTTGGCATGGAATTCATTTTGCAATGGTATTATACATTTTGTACACTCCTTGTGAAGGATAATAAGAACATCCTATGATTTTTTCAGAATATCATTTTAATCTACTCGGTGATATATGCACTCATTCTCTTTGCTCTCTCGTGCAGATACCAATATCACCTCGTAGATAAAAATGATATTCCTCAAAATCATAGGATATCCTATAAACACCCCATGGTTGTGGAAAAATATGATTCATATCAATAACTAGATATAATGGACAGTTTTCAAAACCAAAACACTTTTGAAACCATCGAGTGAACCATCTCTAACTTTTTATGGATGGCATTCGCCTTCGGCTGTCGGTGATTATCGGCGTTCGGCGGTCATGGTGTGTAACAAATGGTAGGTTGTAGCTGACATTTTGCATGTCAATGAATTGGTCATTTTAGATTACTTTGCAAAGGTATAAAGTTTTAGAAATCGCCGCTGCCAAGCGATTTTGGAAAGTCGATTTGATCACTATCCCGGAGACATTAATAAGAGAAACGTAATTGTAGGTTAGAGATGTTGATTTTGTGGTTAGGAAATATATAAATGTCCAAAATTATTTGTCAGACCAACCCTGGTCATTGATACTAAATGCGATACTCGGTATAGGATTATTAGGCGATCAGACAAATAATATTTTTGTAAATGGTGGGTAAATATGGATATTTCAGCCCAATGTAAATGTAATGGTCAGTTCTTGTGCTGTACCAATCTGTATTGTTACTGAGATTGTCCCCGTTGATCATCTCCGTCGCAATACAGAAAATATTGGTGCGAAGGGACAATCTCAGTAGCAATACAGAGGATCACACGATAAAAACGTTATTGAATGATTTGAAGTGGCAAATCCAGATACGGCCACATATGCCGTCTTCCAATTGCAAAGACAATGGATCCTTAATTTAAAAAGGACGAAGACAATGACAAATGGTAATCCCTAATCCGTTGTCAAGTTACAATTTCAATCGGTAATCAAAGTGAGTAATTTTCTCTCGCAGTTTGAACATATATTACCTTTACCTTAGTAGCGAGATACTTAAATGATTGTTGAACGTATTTGACATAGAACGTATTTGACATACTTGTTAAACATGCAAATCACGAACAAAGAACGTTGTTTTATTGCAAAATAAAGAAACATGTATTTAAAATACAAAATAACATTAAGATAAAACAGTCTTATATAAAAAGCGATATAATGCAAAAAAACAATATCGTAAAATGGTACAACATAACGCAATCCTGTGCATTTGACTTGAACAATCAGTAGTACTACATTGCGATACATACCCCCGGGTACATACCTTACATAATTGCGATAATATGCGCTAAAATTAATGCAAACAAATGCCTATCACTAATGACTAGCCCTCAAAGGTTTGGTATGTATTTTCGTTGCATGATTTATATGTTATCGTTACTAATGAAAGATTTTATTTTGTGCTTTTCTAATAAGTGATGCACAATTATCTTCCAAACTAATAGAGGGAATTGTATTTTAACGTAATGCGATGCAAAATTAAAAAACAAAAATCAATATTATTGTACACTCTAGTCAATATGACACAATACATTACAGTTTGGTGAAACGGCACTTCTGCATTTTCGTCATATTTTTGCTCGTATTTTGCACATTTGTACACCATTCAATTTGCTACCAGTCTAGCAGTGTACCGTATTTCATGACCATCAGACTAATAATCATAATAATGTTACAGCACTATGTCGCCCAACCTTTTCAACGACCCGACTTCATTCATCAGCACGCGTGGCCTGATGATATGATCTCCGTTCTGAGGTTATCAATTGTCCTGAGTTCAAGCTTGTATACTCTATTTTTTGTTTAAAGTGCTGTAACATTATGACTATTAGTTTGATGGTCGTGAAATATAATAGGCCGGTAGGAATTTGAATGGTGTACACAAAATATGAGTGAGCAACTTGCTAAGGTGTGAGGAAAACAGTGTCAGGGTTACCGTTTACAACCACCTTTTATAAAACGATGGTACACTCCCCTCCATAAGCAACCTTTGCAAATTTGAAATAGAAAATCTTACGCACTGAACGATATCACTTTTTCGGGAAACATAGCCGGGCGGATAATGTCATTATTGCCCGACTAAAGTCATTAACACCCGACACAATATTGCTCACGTCAATATAGCAATTTAAATGCCTTCTCAACTAGTACTAAAACCCATAGAACAGGCCCTGCAAGGTGGTAATAATGTAGATTATAATTCAACCTATTCCATTTCTTACAAAAGATCAAATTGAATTGACCCGTCAATAATTAAATATAAACTACGGCTGTTTAACCTTTTTGTAAACTCTTCAGCTAAGATCCACCATGTGTTTGGTGTTTTATGGACAGTTAGAAAATGAGAAAGGCCTGGATGTAACATGCACCTTATTCTGAAAATTGTCTCCTGAAGGTGTTTCACACGACTACAGATCAAACGTCCCAAGCAGGGATGCGTTTACCGTTAACCATAAGTTTAACATTTTCAATAAGGGCGCAATAAGGTCGTATTTCAAAGCAATACATCACATTTGTGCAATTGGAGGGGTCATTCGTATACGGTCAACTTAACTGTCATTCTAAAAAGCATCATCCATTTGTATTTATTTGTCACTGGCAGGTTTAAGAGCATCCATATAAACATTAATTTAAAAATGTCAACTCTGTATTCATTCCCCACCAACATAGGGGTTCGTAAGCAACGGGGTACTCTTCAAAAGCAGGGAGCGATTGAAAGATTAAGCTATTTATTAGAAATACTTTTATCTCCATTTTACCAGAACCAAAACAATTTTATCAGCACACCATTAGAAGGCTTATCCATTCTTCTTAAATCTTATTTTAAACAAATGTTTGCTGTATGTGTAGCTATTTAAAATCATGAAAGCGTCTGTAATATTATCTATATATTATGTCAGTCAAATGCATATCACTTCCCAAAAGTCTGATTCAAATCTGTTATGAAGGACGGTATACGTTTTTCAATGATGCGCCGAATTATGTTAAGTTGCTATCTATTTCATATCGTCCAAACTGTATGTTGTTAGTATGAGGAAAATATTTCGCCATTTCCTTTAAACGTTCTATACGTTACAGTTCGTTTTTTAGTTTCCAAATGTTTCATTCAACTATGCCATAAAGGAGATTGAAACTCCGTGTAAATGAATATTTCCTTTGTATTTTCTCTGCATGTTTTGCTGATCTTTTATCTGTTTTTCAGTACTTTAACTAAATGAAAATGTATAGCGAAATTAATTAAATACGCGCTGTGTTTTGAACTTTGTAAAGGATTTACATTTGTAAAATTGTGCTTCCCTGCCTTGGAAAGCCACGCCTTCTCTATCATCGCCTTCGGGACGCTATACAAACGGTATACGTCATTCTCATAAAGTTTAAGGGCGGCAATACTTCAAGTATACGTATAGGACGGGATGCGTCCAAATGAAACACACAATGGAAGTTGTTCATAGCGTACACGTAAATCATTGAATGACGGGTATATCAGTAGTTCTACGATTGTTCACCGTGTTTATACGCCTATTTTTGTAATCATACATGGTCCACTGGCGGATCCAGATCCATCTTGCCCCCCACCAACCTTGTGGGCCAAGAAAAACATCATAGGGCCCAAAAAATGTTTTGGTAAAAAATTACATAGGGCCTCATAAAAACCGAGCCTTTTTGGGAATGATTTGACAACCTAGGCCAAATTTTCGAAGAATGGGGGTTAAATTTTCTTCTGGATCCTCCAGTGTGGTCTAAGTTGTTAATTCGAAAAGGCCAAATAATTGCGATATTGAATGTGCAACTCATCACGGTACACCTCGCCCGACGAGTGACACGTGTTGGTAAAAGCTATCCAATCCTGCACATAGAACTCATGCATAATACAACAAGTTCTGGGATTGAAATTGTATAGTAGCCAATTTACTGACTGAATTACTCAGTTGGAGTAACATTCCCGGGGAAACTTTCCCGGGGACAGATAATAGTTCCCTCTATTGACCAAACTAGGTACTACACTTCACTCCACCTTTTGAAAATAACTAACTCATATATATATATATATAATACAACTAGCACTGGTACTCACCTGAATAATGAATATTGTCACATTGGCGATATTCATGAAGATCGTCAACGTAACAAAAGCGAGGGACTAAATATGTAAATTGCGTCTTCGTTAATATACCAAATATAGAACCGCCTGCATATTCTCAAACTAAACCATCTTCCTTTACTTTGAGCTAAATTATTGTCCACAACTTGACTTAAAAGTGGTGTGGAATCGAGAAATAAAAATCTTTCCGAAAACGAAGCCCGGAAGTTCTTCCATCTTGTTACGCTGACGTGTCGTCAGCGTAACTAGGTGAGTACTAGTGACTAGGCAACAGTTTACACGAGGTGTTAACGCAATTCTCGAAACAAAGGTTGAAGATAATTCTCTTACTTTTAATAGGAAAGTAGGCTGTCCTCGACGTATCAATGGAGAATCATCAATCAATTATTTAGAGAGAAAAGATCTGAAAAAGTATTTGTGCTCTGATCTACACAATCAAGCAAAGGTTGTGATGTAGCTCGAGAAAATGCCCGAATAACGGTCGTTGCTTATCCAACTGGAATTTAATAACTAAAGCCTTTTTAATGCAGAATCGATACAATGCTACAGAGAGGGACATCTTTGGTTCATATTATGATGAAGGTCGTATTGCAAGAGCTACCGACTCCAATCCTGTTTGGGCAAAGTTGGCTAAAAGATCCATTGCAGCCTACAAAAAACTTGAACAGCAATCTGGTAATTGTCTTGTACCTCTAGTACCAACAACGCATGTTAAAATTTTATTCACATTTAATGCAGAAAACTAAGAAAATACTATTCAATGGGCAGGCCCGCCGCTATTACAAGGTGCAGGTATTCATTGAATGCCACGACCCGTAACCAGGATTTGCCAAGTGTGGGGGGGGGGGGGGGGGTCGCTTTTTGGAAGAATACAAGGGGGGGGGGGTCACTTTGACAATTTTGATCCAAGTGCTTAGAATGGTGGAAAACTGCATGATTTTGAAATAATTTTTGGCCTGGCTACGGGCCTGGTACCCATCGGTTCATGTAACCACCGACTTAAAAATTACATTTGGAACATGGTCCATAGAGAGATGAAGTGGTTATAAAAACCGTGTCTCTCTAGGTTAAATAAAATGATTTATAAAAGAATTTTCCAAAGAAGATTAACTTCCCCAGGCTTAAATTCTTTTCACACATTGCATTTTTTTCTATAAAATCATCTAAAAGGAACGAAATTTCTAAAAGAACACATTTTCAATGACATGTTTTGCAAGGGTCAAGTTGGCAAGTCATCAAATCCAAATGTGAAAAATCCATTCATCACCATGACAACTGTTTAACTAGTGACCTTGCATGTGTTATTGATATTTCACACACTGTTCATTATGTGAATACTCTGTCCTGATTGGCTGGAATCGGGCACACCTTGCCTAGCGATGTGTGAATAAGAATAATAACTCACTAAAGAATATCCACCAAATAACCTGCCGACACGACCAATCATCATTTGAAAATGACACGCTACGTCTGTTTTAGGTATTCAATTTTTCTCAGAGGCGGGCTATGTGGTGATAGCAAAGAATGATAGTACTTGTATTAAAGAAACTATTGCTGCATCTAAGTCATGCCATGCAGAATTTGAGGTTTTGGACTCAAAAGGAAGCAAAAAACAATTCCCATTCCTCAATATAACGGACGACGACCAATGCATATTTGAAAAGGAAAGTTCCGGTCACGTCAGTCCGCGAAAATTGGTCCAAGCACTGCGATTGGTTGCCAAACAAAACGGATGTGACATCATTGATGAGGTCGTGGATGACATTCGGGAAATTACCGACAATAATGCAGAAAGGTTTTCAGAGATAACATTGTCATCAGGTCAGAAACTGTTTTCTCATAAAGTACTGCTTGCAACAGGTGCTTTTACAACATTTAGGAATCTTCTACCAAAACACGTTGAGCCCGATGTTAATCTTAAAAGCGCCACTGTGTTAAGAGTTGAGATCGACGATCATGATGCCGCCAGTCTAAGGTAGACCCCATTATTACCATCAAAAGTTCAGTGCCCGTATGACAAGAGATGTTATAGTTTTCCACAATTTTAGTTGAATTTATTCCATCTTGCTAAAACCAAAGGAGTACATGTACAAAACTGGACTGCTGAGTTCATGGTCACATTGAGTTTAAACAGGCACATTATTTTCTGTTTTGTAGGAACATGCCCAGCATATACTTTAATCAAGAAGAGTCGCAATGTCTTCCACACAATGTACTCAGACGAATGTATATTCTTCCACCCATTAGATACCCGGATGGTATGTATATTGTGTACTATCTGAGACTAACATCAGTGCCAGAGTCCGAAAACGCAGACAGTACACAAATATTTCTATGTTGTATTTTAGGGAAGATTTACATCAAAATAGGTTGTAGTGGCAGCGACCTTAAAATAACATTGACCACGGCAAGAGAAATGGCAGACTGGTTCAGAGGCCAAGGTTACCCAGGTGCAAAAGTGCCATTATTGACCACCCTGCAACATGTTGTTAAAGGTAATCATACAATTGCAAGAACACCCTTTCTTCATCTTAGAATAGAACTAAGATGCACCAGGTGCATGTGGCGTCTCCCCATCTAATGCCACCTCCGCTCCGTGTTTTACTCTTCACCCCTTAAATGCATGAAGTTTATGTGAGTTTTCACTTTTATGGTTACAATTAATAGAATCTGAAAATATATTAAATATTGACCCAGTAATGTAGCATCGCATATATCACGTTGTTTACAAAGATGCATCACTCTGCACTATCAAATAACAGCGTTGCACATGGTGTACGAGACAAATGTTTTTTACGTTTCTGCCGTGGAAAGGTGAAACGCCTCATTGTGAATTTGGTATTGATTCCCTCTGTGACAAAGAAATGAATGAATATAATGAAAATATTATTAAGTTGAAATGTATACTATAAATATGTATGTTATATTTTGTGATAAGAATTGGTATACTACTTATATGGTCAACATTCCAACTAACAACACACAACGTTGAAACATGCATTTATGTTCAGGATTCACACCACGCTCAACAACACTTGACACATGTGTGACGACAACAACCCCCACTAGCCGTCTGTACATAGATATGCTTAGCCCGACGCTAGGTGTCGCTTTAGGTGGCAATGGCTGGGCTGCCAAATCGTGCATAGAAATAGGGAAGATTGCTGCACTGATGGTGACGTCAGATAGTGGACACTGGACTTACGACATTCCAAGGGAGAATTTCCTTTTCACCCCAAAGACAATATCCAAATTATAGAATAAATTAAAGACGAGTCCTAATATATAATGTCGCTTCTGGCAATTTATCGTCAAGCATGTTTATTGCATTCATAATCCTTTCTAAGTTTCCTGAATATATACATTTGCCAGACAGTAAATATTTACACTATTGTCAATTTCGAGAACTGTTTCGATCCCTTCTTATCAGTGTTACGTTTTACACAAGCAGATGTATTATACATGCCTAGTATCCTTTCCACGGTAGTTTTCCTACAGTCAGATTCATAAATAAAAGACACCTGAGATTTCTGGCACAGTTTGCTGAATTTGAACATTTAATTTGCCAAACACTCCCACACTGATAAAATATATACTCCTGTAAATTATTATTACCAGAATAAATGTCTCCGAGGCTTTATATTGGCGTATAGTGGACAGTTTGTAAACATGTGAATCCACTTTTCAAATGGCAGCCATTGTTTTTGTAGTCTCAAACAAAAATGAAAACTGTTCAATTTGTATATCTGGTAATGGTTCTGCATCGATGTATCACAAAGATATATAAAACAATAGTATAATAAATATTATAGTGATGTAAGTGGTTATAATTATTTTAAAATGGATTGTTGAAGAATTGTTTTGAGACTATGCACATGGAGATGGAGGACATTTAACATGTGGAACATAGATAGACATAGAGCTAACAAAAAGTTCAAAAAAGCAAGCTCAATGTCCTGTTTAAGAACCCCTATTCTTATTGGATAAATATTCAGAGTAATTATATTTCTGTCTGCATTGATATTTTGGGATATGGGGTACAATTGCTTCTTGAAACTGCAAAATGAATAGGATTTACATGGACAACTTCTCACTCCTTACATATTCCACTCCTCCCCTGAGTCTGCCAAATCATCTATTGATTTATGTAAATACCTGCTCTATTAAACATTTTTACACTATCAAGTATCAACCGGTCAAAAGAGCATTTGGCAACATTAAAGAAGATAATGGTGAATAGAAAATTGGTAATAATTTGAATTTCAAGCTTTAAAGGCCCGATGAAAAGTTCAATCTTTTTGGCATATTATATATATATATAAAAATATGATCATGACATAAAATTATATATATATGTTCTGTATATGTGGAATTAACGCAATGGTTAACTCAATGATTAGGACATATTAGGTCAAGCTGAGACGCTTATCTGATATATTTGAATATTATTGTGTTAACATTCTGATATCAGGTTTTCGAATTTCGTATGAACATACACTCGTACAGTATAAGAATACATTACAGTAGTTGTACATATTGTGACTGGTCTTCAGTACAAAGCCAAATTATCCAAATGATTAATAGACACGCTGGAAGATCCGATGGTGAAATTGGAAGAATTGAATATGATATATGAACTTTATTAAAAATAGCTTGTGTCTGACTAGATTTAACAGTGAGTGAAGATGAAAAACAACGTTTTACCAAAGGTGTGTTCACAATCGATTTAAAACCTTGGTTTACATGTCATGTTTACGCTATTGAATTTTAAATTTTGTGCTATTGAATGCAAATTAAAAGAATAATTCTCGTTCCCGAATCGTGCAGAACATGGGCTTCGTTTATGTACTTTAGAAAGCTGAGACATCGTATCAGGCAATTGTAAATGAAATGTTTGCTTCATTTTAGAGTATGTTAGAGAACGCTCATGGATCTGGAATACCTATGTATGATTTATGTGTAATTGGGGCTGGTATGATAGGTTCTGCAACTGCAAAACATGTTTCGGAAATCAAACGGGAGAACCAGAGAATTTGTCTCATTGGACCCTCTGAACCAAAGGTTAGTGATTGATTATTGTTGTTCTTAGTTCATCGTCCAACTTGTCGTTGCTAGGTCCGACGATGGGTTTGATATATCACCTTATGCTCACACTTTGTCAACAAAAACAGCTCATCCAAGCGTACTTAAACCGCTAATTACGCTGTGGCAACCTTGTCGGCTATCCGCGTGTGTCAACCGCATCGGCTCGTTGCTAGTGCACCACAGTTCCACTGCAATAACCCGTGATGTCTTTCAAAATAATTATGTGAGTATAGGTGCGCTTGGATGAGCTGTTTTTGTTGAAAACGTGTGACCATGTTATTCGCTCCGCAGGGCCCATTGATCATTTTCGTGATACCGGGGGCCGGGGAGATAACTCATGCAAATATAACGCGATTGACTTGCGACGCGGGCATTCAAAAACGCAGCCTTAGAGATGGGTAAGATAAAAGATCTTATTGAGGAAATGGACCCTGTAATCAATCATCAATCTCGAAACAGTACCCTTGTAGTACCCCTCCATACCTTAATTCATATGAAGACATGAAGTGCAACTGTAATAAACATACTTACTCCCTGATTTGCAAATTTTAAAGTTTTGTTAAAATTCTCATTGGAATCAACTGCGGAAAAAGATCATTATATTTGTACTTGTTTTCAATAGCTAGCTAAAGTCCATGGTAATAATAGTAATAACCTCATTTAAGCGGGCAACATAGTGAAATCTTGGTCCTCAATCTTCGGCCAAGATTTCACTATGTGCCCTCTGTAATGAGGTTATTGCTCATAAGCTGAACCTTTTAAGAGGCTGAGTAGGTTTTATTCCAACCAGCTCAATCATTACAAACAACTCGTTGCTGTAAATTCAAATTCTGCAATGCCTCTCTGATTAAATCAACTATGACAATCTTGAATTCCAGGATCGACACAACGATACAGAGAGGGACATCTACGGCGCGCATTACGATGAAGGTCGTATTGCAAGGACAACCGATTCCAACCCGGTTAGGGCAACGTTGGCCGAGCGCTCCATTAAAGTCTACAGAGAACTTGAACGGCAATCTGGTACAAAGTTAAAAATGTACATGTATGCATGGCCATGAAAATGTACATGAAAGCATGAACGATAATTCAATATGTGCATTATTTACGTGCAATACGGACGTGTAGGATTCCTTTTACATCTAAATATTTATAGTTTCATAATCATACTTTCCAATCAATTTTTGTGGACTTCTGCGAATTATTCAAAAGCCTGAAGCACACGAATACATTTAAAAGAAGACGACATTGCAAATTAAAATTCCGAAAACACAATTCAAACTTATGATTTGTTTTAGGTGTTCGTTTCTTCTCCGAAGTCGGATATGTGGCTTTGGCGAAGAAGGACAGTATCTACATAAAGAAAATAATTGCTGCATCCGCCAAATGTCATTTGAACTTTGAGGTTTTGAACTCAAGGAAAGCCAAAGTAGAGTTCCCTTTCCTCAACGTAAACGATAACGATTCCTGTATAATCGAAAAGAAAACTTCTGGTCACATCAATCCAAGAAATTTGATTCAAGCTCTGCAATTGGTTGCCAAACAAAACGGATGTGACATCATTGATGACGTTGTGAATGGCGTACAGAGTATTACTAGAGCCAATTCAGATACATATTCAGAAATCACATTGTCTTCAGGCCAGAAGCTATTTTCTAAGAAAGTACTTCTAGCAACGGGGGCTTTTACAGCCTTCAGAAATCTTCTACCAAGACATCCAGAGCCGAACATTGCGTTGATATCTCAGACTGTGTTAAAAGTTGAAATCGATGAACATGATGCTTACAAGCTAAGGTAAACATTAAGCTTAATTAAGATTACACATAATCAGTCGTTACAGTTCAAGTGGCCGATACTCATGCAGTAAATATACATAATTGTATAATTATTCTGGCGCAATAGAACTTCACGGGTGTTAAAACACGAATATACCATGAGCACATGCTTTGAGGATCCGCGTTGTTTGAACCTACCGCCGAGCACACTTATACATTAAGACCCGTTACACAGTCATGATACCGCCGAGCAAGCTCATAGCATCATCGGGTCTGCTTTACCCCCGTGGAACTTTATCAAATTGTTTTACCTTTTAGTTTACCTATGTCAAAACAAATGTGTTATCACAGTAAGGACAAATTGGGTGATATCGTTACATCTCCTAAGTCTGAAATATCAGTCTCTATTTATATTTTAGAAACATGCCTAGTATATCATATGACCAACAAGAAGAGACGCAATGCCTTCCAAATAATGTACTTAGCCATGCATACATTCTCCCACCCATTAGATACCCGGATGGTAGGTACAGTATGTGGTTTGTTGTTTTGGCCATCGATAGGACAATAAGTTTCCATGACCTTTGATCTCACCGGAGACCTTGACATTGAACATTAATTTGACCATATAACACAAGTACGTGACCTTTTGGCACAGGTCTCGGCACAGGGCATAATGTAGGCGTACCTATGAGGGTTATTTAAAGGGACATTCCTGGCCAGTCCATTTTTTCCTGATATTATAGCTATAATCATATAAAGTAGTCATTCACCAGGAGGGATTTGATTTGTGAAATTGAATTTACCAGGGATGATATCAATATGATGATATCAATATCATATCAATATCATCCCTGATATCATCCGTCTTATCCCTCATCCGAGCCAAAACGTTTTGGAATGCTGCGCGTAGTGTAAATTGGGCTAATATTGATCATTTAAAATGTAGTGTTCATTTCCAGTAAGCTGCCATATTTTAAGATTTCACCCAGGAAGTGATGTCATCTACCCTCAACTTTCATAACCTTGCCTATAACAGTATAGGAAAGTGAAACATTTCTAGGCAAGTGGTCCTTACTTTATGTGCAAAAATATTTCCAGAGCTTGTCAGCTTAGAATAGACTTTTAGATGGATTAAATCATAGACAAAATTGAAAAAGAATATTCAGCTGGTTTAGTAATTCTTAATAGCTCCTTCCCTAATGCTATATGCAAATTTGAGAGTCGATGACATCACTTCCTGAGTGGAATCTTAAGATGGCAGCCTATTGACCATATCAAAACATTTTTCCATGTTTTGCTAAACATGGAAAGTATATCCTGAGGGAAATACAATATACCACCCGAGGGAGCGTAGGGGCCGAGTCCTGATATACTTATCTTCAGACTTTGTATTCAATTTTTATTGTAGGCCTATTCCGCTTGCCTTGAACCATTTCCCGTGTATTGTACTTTGTACGTTGTATTCTCCATAGGGAAGATCTACATCAAAGTTGGTCATGGATCTGACTTTGAAATGACTTTGACCTCCTCAAAAGAGGTCGCAGAATGGTATCAGGGTCATGGTCACCCAGATGCAAAGCAACCCCTATTGGGCACTCTGCAACATGTTGTTAAAGGTAAATTGTAAATGAATTTCGTCCACACTGAGCTCATTTACTATCAATTACATTTTAGGACGATAAGTGATAATTGTTTAGTTTGATAAGTACGAGTATACCGCTGTTTATGTGAAGTGTCCAATGTTCCATAAATATGAGCATTGGTGTATATGAATCCATGGCCTAATTGAATCGCAAATGAAATGATTGTTCCATAGCCACACCCCGGTGTTTAACAAACCATTTATCATGTTTACTGATATGAAACTGGAACAACTAAATGAATAATTAATGAAAATGTTTTTAATTGAAATGTACCAGGAATCGATTACTAGAAAGAAGTGTTACATTGGCTTAAAAAGATACGTCAATCCATCTGAATACGTACGTTTTAGGGATGATTAGGGTGTTACGTTATATGCAAATGAATTAAAGATGTGCACGTTTTTGCTAATTATTATACAGTGTAATCGACTGTACAATTTAGTAATTTAAAATGTAGCAATTTAGTACTTGGAGGAAACAATATAGTTAATGGAATCAAATAATCTAAACCATTAGAAGTATTATAGACCACTTGAGATGTCTATGTTTTATTGTATAATTTTGCAAGAGTCGTTAAATGAATACAACCCTAAAAATACAAATACAAAATGCGCTCATTTCAATGTTTATCATGGTATAAGGGTGAAGTTTTCGGGAATGGATGGCGATATGTATGTCTAAATACTATAAATATTATGAATTTATTCAGTTAAATTAAATATACAGGGTGACCCGAAAATACAACCCTCTTATTTTCGAATAACATTAATCTCGGTTAGAGTGTGTTAATGTGACATTCATTTTATCCTTTTCTAATTTAAGAAACAACAAAAAACGACATATCATTGATGAATAAAAGCAATCCAGAAATGGCTCAAATAATTGCAAAGGCAGAAATTCCACTTTTTCGAAAATTATATTTTTAACATTTTCGAACAATCTAGAAAATAGACGGACAACTTCTTCAAATCACAAAATCGTAGGTGCAATATGAATTATACCATGGTCACTATAGTTATTCCTTTGAACATCTAGCTAGCTAGTCTATAGACTATATACAAAATCAAACACAGGAAGATAGATGTGGTTTGAGGGCAGTACCTTTTTCTTTGTATACGACTCTAATTTATCTATTTTTCCAGATCAATTTCAATATCTGTGGCCATATTTTGCTATTTTGTACCGCTAGTTGATTAAGAAATACCAAAAGTGACTGTTGACGTCGAAATAGATTTTTATCATGATACCTTATTTTTAGCGGCATACGCATCTTGTATACCAAACTTACTGTAATTCCTACAATTGTCAAGTTTTTAGACATACATGTATACATTGCTTTTAATCTCTAGATAGTTGACCTTGATTGCCTTATGAAGACATGAAATATGAACATGGCAAAATCAGCATCAGTGTTTATTGAACTACCCTCGTCGAACTTACTAGACTATCTACGAAAGAAATAAAAATTAAGGAAAAAGTTGACGGACTGTCTTCTTGACATATTAAAAATAAAAAATGATGGTAATGTGTATGATTCGGCGATTTAAATTAAAACTATAATTTTATTCAGGGTTTACACCACTTTCAACAACATGTGACACATGTGTGACTACAAGAACGCCCACTAGTCGTCTGTACATAGATATGCTAAGTCCGACGCTAGGTGTCGCTATAGGTGGCAATGGCTGGGCTGCCAAATCGTGCATAGAAATAGGGAAGATTGCTGCACTGATGGTGACGTCAGATAGTGGACACTGGACCTACGACATTCCAAGGGAGAATTTTAGATTTTGTACAAAGAAGCTATCCAAATTATAGAATGAACCTACATAACTCTACACGTTCTGACATTTCGCATTTTTAGTCGCAATCATGTCAATCGCACTTTTTGTGCATACGGCGTTTCCCAGTTTGATCTTAAATCATGAAAATATCATACCTTGGAAATCCAAGATGCTTTTTGTGTATTGCTGAGAAATTCACAGTTCGAGATGTGAATATGTATGAGTCTCAATCTAGAATGTCATTGGTAATTGGGGAAAAAATCCTAATAGAACTTTGAATTCAACTGCTATAATTAAATTCCTCTGAGTGGCAATAATAATTGTAAACTTCGATTTGATTGCATGCAGTATTTAATCATATCATTAATAGACGTTATAGTCTGACTGCTACAATTTTCGTTCAATCAAAGTGATTATGAAAAATTGCTACAATCTGTATATTCGCTATATAACCTCCATAGGTTTAAATTCCACACTATAATTGAAGTATTAATTTTTTTATTAAGACTAATTAATATTTGCATATTGCGTTAACCACTTAATAGTGCGGGTTGTATTTGCAGAATTGATTTTCGTCGGCAAGGTAACCCGGCGAATTTTACTGGAAACGTGTGGATTTCTCAATTTTAGTTCAAAACTTTTTGAAGATAATATGGATGAAACAGTTTTATCTATAGCACCATTATCGTTGATTAATTATTTATGCTTTCTGTTTTTCTAATAGAATTAGTATTAGTGAAGTGAATCCTTATAAACAATATGGTATGTCGTTATTTTAAGAGAAACAGGAAACAATTTGACCGATGACGTATCTTTCTTTTACCAATGAGATGCGTACATCTACACAAGTAAAATGTGGTACGGTTTAGACATGAAGAAACGACTGATTGGCTTCTCGAAGAAGCAAAAGGAATTTTGGTTACTATGGCTGAAAATATATAATCGATTAGAATTCAAACAATAACAAAAGACGGTAATGGATGATGGTACTGAATAGCTGTACCTGACTTAATGATTCATCTATTGTTCATTATTACTATGGTGTTCCTAAAACAAGCAATCGATTTCATTAACTACTTTCGATAAGTTGCTGGGCATACGTAATTTAAGCATTTGGTGAATTTCTGAGATGTTTAAACCACAATTGAATAGGATAATACCTTTCAGTGGCATTTGTTAGATATTTTATGCGATACACAATGGATATGTGTACAGCAACCGTGCTTTTAGTATTTAAACTAAATTGAGGTCGTATTTAAACAAAATAATTGTTCAAACGAAAAGAACAATTTTATTCTGACTGCTAATGTAAAAAATCATTTTGGATAAGACATGGCTTTAAGAGAGTTGTTAAAAAAGGGCTTAGAAGAAACTACGGCTCATGGACTAGGTCGAACAGTGGGACAACGACATATAGTTATCCGTGTTTGGTGGAGCATTGCTTGCTTGGCAAGCTTTGGCGTGATCATTTGGCAGTGTGAAAAACTTTTCGTAAAATATTATGAATACAATGTTAATGTCAAAATAGATGTAAGTTTTATCTTTTGATTTCTTTTTCACATTTTTAAAAATCCAATGTGATATGTACATTACTTTATTATTAAAGTATATAACTGGGGTTCTGAGACACGTGAAACATTAAAGAGCGAATCAGATCTAGCGAGCAGCCTAACAAAAGATTGTTTCAGTTTTAGAATGTACAAGGCTTATCTCATTCCTTTTCATGTCTATTTTCTAAAAATTCCCAAAGTGCACACTTTTTTCAGAAAAACGTTACCAGAATGGTTAGGCTTACACTCTTAAAAATGAATTACTTGAGTATTTCCCAAGTATTTCCCAAGTATAAAAATTACTTAAAGTTAAATACTTAGTTTTACTTCATTTTACTTAGGTTTAACTTATATTGTCATTTTGAGTTTTTTAATTGCTTAATTATGTAAATGAGTATTACAATTACTACAGTAAGTATTTCAATTTCTCTCCTTGCATTAGTAAATTCACCATAAATGGATTACTTAAAAATTACTTAAAAATTATTCAGTAGTTCAAGATTATTTAAGTAATTTTTGACTTAAAATGAGAAGTACAATTTCTCAATATAAGGAAATCCAAGTAATAATTTTTAAGAGTGTACTATTCTTATTATTTGGGAGAATTTAAACATTTTCACATTTTTTGCACTTTGAATCCATTAAAACTTCACCAATTTTGGGAGATATTGTATTTGAGATTGTAAGGAATAGATTGGTAGGTCAAATGTACACGTTGTTTGCAATTTTGTCACCCCCCATAGATCTGATTCTGCCTTTTTATCAATCTATATTATAGTACTATATCAATTTTCATCGCGAAATATTCCTTAATGATCAGATAATTACACCCAACTATAAGGTAATTACTAATAAATGCGGTCACTTAAGAGCACAATAGAGTAGAAATAATATTGATTTACGTCAAGAATCTGTTGAATCTCAGGCTCTAAAAGTTGAAACCAGAAAGTTTTTCATTTTTGCCACCTTTTGGCATTTTACTACATACCCTTACCACTTTACATGCTCAACGTAGTAAAGTTAGACGGCAGAGATCATTTCTACACATTTTAAAAACAATTTTTGTGTACATTGGATGAAAATTGTTCAAATAAAGGCAATTTTAGTGAAATTTTTTCTCGTCTCGTCACTCCAAGTGAATTATTTGAAAGATTCGAAAGAATCTAGTATTTGAAATTTAGTCAAAGTGATGTCATATTTGAAATAATGCATGTAAAAGTATCTAGAAATGTGGTTTCAAAAATTGTTTATCAACTTTGAATTTTTTTTATTTTTTTGACAAAGTGACTCCTACATTACTGTTAGTTCGGCGATATTCTTTATAGACCCCATATTATAATATCACAAAAAGTGATATAGGCTACTAGATCTTTTCTTTTATTGGACAGATACTATTTTCTTCTACTGGACACATACTAATTAATTTCAATTATACCTGCCATGCCACTGGCGGATCTGGGAGGGGGGGGGGGGGAAGAAGAAGAAGATTTATAAAATGAGTATTTGAATATGACTGTGAATGCGATCTTTTTTTTTCAAGTTCTAGGTTTACATTATAATGTAAGGTACATGGTAATACAGTTAATACAAATATAATTAGGGTCGCTCATTTTTTTTCATAGGAATGTATACTAGTATATGAATGCGACCTTTTATTATTTTGAACGATTTAAATTCAGATGCAGTACAACTCCGAGCTAGATTTTCCAGCAGTTACAATATGTAACTTGAACCAGTTCAGACTGTCGAAACTTCACATTGGAGGCCAAGAATTTGGAAATGAAATTCAATCATTAGCTGATTCGTTTTTGGAACATTTCCCCCCTCCGACACAGAGTTCTAATCAGACTACGAACGGTACGTCTCCCATAGATGGCGCCACTACACAATTACCAAACACTACCACCGCTCCACCCCCAAGCAGGAAAAGGAAAAAGAGAACAACTGGGGATCAGGTAATAGGAAAGTTGATTGATATACATATCTGATATATAACATATATACCTGAAGCATGTTGTTCAAAGTGCTGTTATATTGTGACTATCAGTCTGATGGTCATGAAATATGGAAGAGTGGTAGGAAATTGGATGATGTACATACGAGGGAAGATCCAAAAGTTTCCGGCCTAACATAGTTCTAGTTGATGGATTTTCAAAATGATAGTGTCATTTTTGAATGTAGTCTCCCTGTACTTCGATGCACTTGGCCCATCTTCTTGGCAGCATCTCAAGTCCAGTTTTGAAGAAATCAGGAGCATGACCCTCCAACCACTGGTTAACAGCTATCTTGACCTCATCAAATAGGTAATAGTCACTGGGTGCTTGATCTGGAGAATAGGGTGCGTGCGGTAATAATTCCAGATGGCATTCTTCCGCTGCATCACGAGCAACTTGGCTTGTGTGAACAGGTGCATTGTCCTGTTGATGCAAAACTCCAAGACGGACTTTGTGTGGCCTGGTTTCATCAAGTTTAGCTTTTAAAGTACGCAACAAAGCAGCATAATATTCTCCATTCATTGTAGTACCTCTTGGAATGCAGTCTACTAAGATAGGACCTTCACAGTCCCAGAAAATGGTGGCCATCATCTTTTTGTTGGATGGGGTGGTGCGAAACTTCTTTGGGGGTGGAGACCCCATATGTTTCCATTGCATTGACTCATGCTCAAAATGACGCACCCATGTTTCATCACAAGTGACTATTCTCTCCATAAAACCTTGTGGATCAGTGTTATACATGTCCAAAAGCTCTCTTGCAACAGCAACTCGTTTTGTTTTCATGTCCTCTGTGAGCATACGGGGCACCCATCTCGAGCTTAACTTTTGCATGTGTAAATCTTCATGAATTATTCTACAAACGGTACCATATGATAATCCAGTTTCTTCTACAAGTTCACGTATAGATTTCCGCCTATCTTCCAATATTGTTTGATGTACAAGATCAACATTTCTATCTGAAGTGACATCTTTAGGTCTTCCAGAACGTGGTGCATCATCAATTGATTCCCGTCCAAGTTTAAATTCAGCCACAAAAAATTTTACAGTAGAACAGGAGGGAGCACCTTCCCCATACACATCCTTAAGTCTATCGTAGATTTCCTGCCCTCCATTTTCTTCTTGATATAGAAACTTTATCACCGCTCTATATTCAGTTTTCTCCATTGTGCAGCCACTGTGACCTGACCTCATTATGAATATTCTCAAAATGAGGCTGTGACCCCTAGAGGTTAATCATATGCATAAATTATGTTCATACATAAGCAACATTTGAACTGTGAAGAATGGTTGCTCTCAGACATCGGGAACTATGTTAGGCCGGAAACTTTTGGATCTTCCCTCGTATGTGCGAAACAACTGGGTGTAGTTTTTAAAATGACAAAGAAATTGGGAAAATACTGGTTTGCCGTTTTTGACCACTCTGTAAATGTGAATATGATAAATATTTGATTGACAACATTATTTGAAGCTGAATAATGCATTCTATTATGGGCATAAACATGTGACATTTCAAAAACGGCGTCATGATGTTGGTCTTTATTTTTTCCAAGTTTCTATACATTTTCAGAGAAAGGCTCCAGACTCGGGGTTTACACCATCAGTGGACTATAACAACGCTCCATGGTTGGCTGAGAACTCCGAATCCTTAACTTACTCAACACGCCAAGCTCTAGCAGAGGCCATGTCGTCTCTGAGCCAGCAGCAGCGTATTGATATGGGACACGATGCAAATAACCTCATACAAGAATGTTCTTGGAATGGGAAAACATGTTCTCCTGCGTAAGTAGCCATAAATAATTTGTGGAGACGCGTCAGTGCTCCCAGGGGACAATCCTCCCTTCTGTATAGAGAGAAATGAAAGATAGAGAAGGATGAAATATGTTTTAAACATGCAAAAAGTGTTTAACTAACGACTTTTTACCTGATTTCTTTCCATGGTGCAGTACGTTTACATTTATATGGTTGACCAAAATGTCTTTCAATTTTTGACCGACTATATACAATAGTACAATAACGTCATTTCGAAGGGCAATATAGTGAGTTCGAACATGACTGTATTCACGCCTTCTATAAACGGTGAACAAAGTCAACATTTCACCCGGGGTATATTCGCGAACAATACCCCTGGTAATACGAGTAATGAGTGACGTCATAACGGCAGGCCGTGGTAATGGCAGACCAAAATGAATATTCGAAACATTTTGGTGAGATTTCATGTTCGAATCGTAATATAGACCCCAGAACAGAGGTAATATAGTCGAATACACCCCTTAGGGCTAGGCACAAAAGCTTTTGAACAGATAACGTTTGTCCCTAGCCCTGCGGGGTTTATTCGACGATATTACCCCTGCTCTTCGGTCAATATTTCTTAAATATTAGATTGCCCTTCGAATTGACGTTATTATTAGTATTCATACCACCGTTAATGCCCAGGGCTGAAATAGCAAGAAAATCTTACGCACTGAACGATATCTAATTTCCCGGGGAAAATTGCGGGTCGTTAAAGCATTTATTGACCGGCAATATGGTCGGTATATCGATATATCATAATTAATGTTAAAGAACAATGATTAATTAATAGACCAGATTAAGGCGGTAACACACTTGTTTTATGTTTGGTACGGTTTACGTTTATGGACTAAGTAATAATTTATCACGTAATGAGAATGTTTGATAACTACGAGCAAGATTGAAAGTTTTTTTATATCTATAAATGTTACTGTTTGACACAACCTTAAATTTATTGTTTATTGACGTTTCGAAAACACTTCGTGTTTCTTCCTCAGAATTTAAACTTCTGGCTTTGAACCCGATCTTATCTTGTAACGTCAGAACGATCCTTATCACCATGGCGCTGATCTTTACACAAAATAGGGTCCCAAACATGTGAGAGTTTGAAATTTCCACAGTCCCTGTTCATACTATTACTGTTTTTTCTTATTTTCTTATAAAAATTGATTCCTTAATCCATCTAATATCTCTATTGCTCTCATTGTATAACGTTCTGACAGAATTCCAATTGATCACACAATTGATCTGTGCTGTATGATCAGCTATAGCTGACTTATAAAACTGTATAAGAACACGAAGTGTTTTCGAAACGTCAATAAACAATAAAAAGGTTGCGTCAAACAGTAACAGTAACAGTTATGGATATAAAAATTATTTACCAACCTGAAGAAACATGTTCAGAAATAGATTGAACGGTGTTTAACAAAGTATCATAGAGAAATTAACAGTGCATTGTCAATTAATGGAAATAATAAACACTCATAATTCATAAACACACAAGTAGGCCTAACACTCAATGTGTAAGAGGTATTTAATCCGTGTGGTTAATTTGGCAAACGGTCAAATTTTATCACTTTCCTAATTTTAATGATTTTAACCCTAACGCTAAGACCATAAAACTTGTGTGTAAAAAAATAAATAAATAAATTAATATCATCAAAACAATAAACTTTTGTGTCAAAAAAATAAAAAATGAATTTAATCCTAACCCTAACCTACCAGCCGAGGACACATTAGCGGCGTTGGCGTACCATACCTAAATAATAGTGATCGCCACTCCTTCCAAGTTGACCCTGTATCATAAGGGTCTGGTACGCGATCGCCGCTCCTGCCAAGTGGACTTTGTATCATTAGAGTCTGGTACGCGAACGCCACTCCTTCCAAGTTGACCCTGTATCATAAGGGTCTGGTACGCGATTGCCGCTCCTGCCAAGTGGACTTTGTATCATTAGAGTCTGGTACGCGAACGCCACTCCTTCCAAGTTGACCCTGTATCATTAGGGTCTGAAACGCGATCGCCGCTCCTGCCAAGTGGACCTTGTATCATTAGGGTCTGGTACGCGAACGCCGCTCCTGCCAAGTGAACACTGTATCATTAGGGTCTGGTACGCGAACGCCGCTCCTGCCAAGTGAACACTGTATCATGAGAGTCTGCTGCGCGTCCTGTGTCCTTAGCGAGTATGTCAGGGTTATGTAATCATTTAAAACCCCATTCTGGTTAAATAGGGTTAGGGTTGGTTAGGGTTAAGGTTAGGGTTAAATTCATTTTTTGATTTCTCTTGACACATATATTCATGGTCTTAGGGTTAACGTTAGATTAGGGTTAAATTCATGTTTATTTATGTGTTCTTTGATTTTTTGACACACATATTCATTGTCTTTTTGGAATGTTTTGACACAGTTTCATGGTATCGATGGAGCTCATTTTGTGATTTTTTGATTGTTTTGATATTGCCCAAGTTCTGGATGTACCTCTCATTATGAAGATATTATTTCCATTTAATTTTCGGAACCTGGCAAAAATGAGGCAATAGGAAAATTAAATAATAAGGCAAAATAATCGCTGATACAGTATCTGCGTACATGCCCCATCCAAATGTTTGGCAACGCCAACTCAGCACCTTGTGCCTTGCTCACATAAGCTCCAAATTATCGACCGGTCCCCGGCCGATTGAGTATTTTGTTCAGAATTGCATTCATTTTTAACAAAATATTCAATCGTACGAGCGTACGAATCGGAGCTTATGTGATTGAGACATTATAGTGGGCCATTTCTAAAGCCTGATTATATAGTTGCGAATCGTATTAAATGTAATCCCCTTCCTACCTATAACATATAATAATATATAAAAAATAATGTTTCTTTATTCAAAAATAAAAATCTTCATGGAATGATATTAAAATATGTAGCAAATATGTATATAATGAAATTGGAAAAAATGTAAACAAAGATATTAGGCCTAGAGCTAAATTGCAGCTTATTGAATGGTGTGCTCAGCTTTTGAAACATTTGATTGGGAGCGTATCCGTTCGTGCTTCCAAGAATCTCGAACTACCAGACACAGTGTATATCTTATCCAACCCCAAAAACACTTCCCTTTCAATAAGAACGTCCAAGCAATTTGGAAAATGTTATATCTCCCTTCAACGAATGCTGTGCAATGGACCTGTATCCAATGCCTACAGCTTTATTGGCATTTTCAATCTCCGGACTTATTGTTGCAGGAATTTCTCGGGGTTCAACAATGCCTATTTCGGCAACTGCTTTACCTTTAACCACGACGACTTGCCCACTGTGTTATCAACCAGCAAAACAGGACCTCTATATGGTGGGTACTCCTGTACACATATATGATAATTGTTTAGTACAGCCTATCAGGCCTTTCATCTCACTTTTTCCATTTTCCACATCGATCGACGCTATGTTTGGAAAGGTGTTTCCCATCTACTTGCGAAAAGATGAAAGACTTTGTCAACATAAACGAGATCATGCCTCACATTTTGATCTAAACATCTAAACATTGATGAATAAACAACTATGCAAACTCTGCATGCAAGTTTGTCAGTCGTAACAACACGTTTTAATTGTTGTTAATGAGTTTCTTTTTAGTTAAGTACTTCAGGTACATTGATTTTTTCAGGATTGTCCTTGACACTTTATGTAGAAACAAATGAATATGTACCTGCATTAACATCAGCCGTTGGTATGTAATGTTTTCCTTGTTTTTTTATGCTGGAAATTTTCATGAAATTTAGATTACATGTGTGTTAGTTAAGCACATAACTTAATTTTCAAGTAATTTTTCAAACCTACATACCATAACAGATGATTATATAACAGATCAAATAAATTGATTATGAAAAGGTGGTAGTCAGCTTGGTAATTTTAAATGACACAATAAAAATGGTGTTATTGATAATTCTGAAGATTTTTACCATTATGCCAAACCCCGGCGTCGTACCTGGACCCACTTAATACAATGTTCTCCCATGAGAATATCATCAAGCTTTCACTCTTGTGAAATAATTCGTGTTGTTGTTGAATCAGACGTGTAATTTTAGTCATGAATTCCAAACGAGATGCATGGGTCAATGGATAGCTTAGTGTTAAGTGTTTTCAGTGTTTGTTCTCAGCGTCATCTATCGATTAAATAGTGGTTAAAACATAGAAAACATACTTGTTGTAGGTGTCCGTGTTTTGGTGCATGTGCCCGATAAACAGCCCTTTCCCGAAGATGAGGGTATAGACGTACATCCGGGTACAAAAACTTCGGTCGGATTAAAATATGTGAGTACAAAATGTACGGAAATGGAAAATCAAACGGGAAAAAACAAAGGAGTTATAGAACAACAACAACCAAATAATTGTAGTATTTATTTTAAAGGAAATATTGGCTACTCGTGAAAAAATCAGATAAATAATATACAAACTTATACGAATAAATAAATTGATAAATATATTGATTGATTCAAGATAAAGGTGACCAGAGAAACTTACCCATATCCCAGCGATTGCACAGATGGGAGCGATATCTATTTACTATATGACAAGACATACTCAATACAGGTTAGTTTTTTTTTTATACATGATGGTGCTTGCTATTCAGTATTACATTAAGACCTTACTTGTTTTGGATGGTGGCAATCTTAAATGTACCAGACAGAATACTAGTATAAAAATCCTTTTACCACAATTATCAATTATATAAAACTCCGAAAACATGCCTAATTAGCATTTTTATTTTCGTATAGTTCTGAAAAGTTATAATATTATACAATCTTTAGTCCATGTCCAAATTTGGGGTTGTGGTTGAGCGGTTTATAATACCGAAGTGTTTTTCTTTTTGTAAAATATTTAACCGAAATAAGAATTTAATTGATATATTTTGTATAAACAGGCATGTATCCGAACTTGTAAACAGGAGGCTGTCATTGATGAATGTGGCTGTGCAAATGCACTTGAAGAAGCTCCCGAAAACGAGACTATTTGCAAATCTGATAAACGTAAGTGTGGCTTGCAAATCCATATGACAAAGCATGAGTTCAAAGGTAGAACTGTTGTTGACAATGACAACCAAGATTTTCAGAAAGGCCTCTGTAAGGCTAAAACCTCCTTTTTAAGAGACGTATTCCAATCAATTAGAATTGAGCGTATACAACCGAGTAACATAATTATTCTGATGGAGACTCAATCAACCAGTGCTGTTCTGAGATAATAAGGATATCATGATATCCCATTATAATAACGTGGAGATATGATGATATCCCCATGTTAAGCCAATGGTGCCGAAGAAAAACAACAACAGACAAGAAACAATTAAAATTGATGATAGCCCACAATAGAAGAGGTTTTGTACTTTGATATGCAATATATTTGGTTTATGTGATGAGAATCGCATTATTGAAATATCACTTAAAATACACCCTTGCTGAAATCCTCAATTTTTCAGAACAATAGAAATGTGTTACTGAGTATATCTAAAACCAATCCCAACTGATTAGAATAGCGGTTCTTAAGGAATTTCACTTGGTTTTTAAAGCTTTTGGTTAACTCTGAATAATTCAGCGAATCAATCAAGAACTAGCTAATCATATAGTGTTATTATTAGTATTTTTATACAAATATAATTCTTGTGGTTTCAAGAGTCCTTCTCCGCAACATTGAAATATAGTAGAACATGATTAGATCCTGAAGCTCAGAAATACGATGTAGATGACCCATTCAGCAATATTTATCACTGGGCTAGGTTGAGTTATATAAAAAAATTACATGCTACATTTTTTCAGTTGACTGTGTGAATTCAGTTTTGGAACAATTTGAAAGAAAAGAATTAACATGTACCTGTCCACAGTCTTGTCTGTAAGTACATTTTGAGTTTTGACCCATTTAGAATATATTTATTAACTGATACAAGTAACGAGCATGTTATAATCCAACACTTTTTGTATTCAGGGTTCATGTTTTGAGTGATCGACCACAAGGTTATTGCAGATTTTACTGTATTTCCTTAGGCTGAAATAGTTGCTAAATCTTCTTCATTCAAGTTCTCAGTATATATGTCATATAAGGCTAAATGTCATGGTTCTTTCAGAGACCAGTCGTTTTCAATGACGGTTTCATCGTCTGTCTGGCCAGCAAACTCGTATGGTGTAAGTATACATTTATTGAATTAACTTTACTTATGGTAAATTACATTTTTCATTTCGTCGACGTGTGTTCAGAATCACTCCAGCGATAAATTTTCTATGAAAGGTAATTTATATAACTATACAAAATCACTTTCTTACATGGTACACGAAACGAATTACTTCACAAACGATACGAATCCAGGTCCTTGTATTTTCAGAGCACTCTGTTAGATGCATTTGGTGGCCGTGATGGCATCCCGGACTTTGAAAGTGTGGAGAAATTGCGGGATAATATGATTAAGCTGGACATATACTACCAAGAGCTCAATGAGCAAACGTTCAAAGAGGAACCTGCTTACCTCTCTGAAAATCTCCTCGGAGATCTTGGGGGACAAATGGGCCTATGGATGGGCATATCCGTATTGACTATTGCAGAACTTATCGAGCTTGTTTCAACAATAATTTACACTGTATGCAAAAAGTTAAGACATCCAGAAAAAGTTCATGTTAAAAACGATCTTCCTTTAGTTGAAAAGTATTAACAGCTCATTCTACTTAACCACATGATATTTTTCGATATACATGTAGGTCGATGTGAGTTATTTTTGTTTATGTCCATTACATGTATATAATACAATCTTATTTATGGTTCAGCAAAAAGTTTTTCCTGTAAGTGCAGTGCCAAAAATTAGTGAATGTGGGGAAGGGAACCAGTAAGCCATTCTCTCCTGGATGTTATCATTGTTTTCTCGAAAAAATATTTTTGAGAATTCAGCATTGTCTTTTGATTTTGCATTAAGCATTAGCAAGAGCCAGTAATGATCACTGCGCATGTTCAAAATAATTATAAACCAATCAAATTTGTCAATTAAAATTTGGACAAGCGCCTTGAACGAGTGCAGAAATTCAAATTATCAAACGATTTGCAGCATATCTACATTGCTGTCAAGAGAAAGTCGACGATTGAACAATAAAAAACAATCAAAAGAGGAGTCGAACACAATATTCGACCAATCAGGACACTAGATTTCCAGCATAGATACAGTGCAGCGGGATCTTTTAGATAAGGCAGGCAATTTAATTGTATATATTAACATAAAAGTAAAATTGAGTTTTGAGCGAAAGATTTCAAGTGAGCAGTGAACCTAGATCCACCATACATGTACACGACTGCTTGGTCCAGGCAAAATTACTCAGGTACAAAAACCTACATTATACACTTTTATACTATTCAAATCTTACAACTGTATAATTACTAACTTTATTGTGATGGTAAATGAATTGATGTGTACTGAAATATACTTAGTTTTATGGGTATATGTAAAAATAAATCATTGCAAAATACAAGATTATGCCATATTAATTATTACCAAAGTGTAAAATGTGCAATAAAGAACCAGAGAAAATATCACACATGATCATGGACTGTGAAGGTCGTATCGTTTTAAGGTCAACTATTTTGAAAATTGTTTTAAATACTTTCAATCCTGAACAAAATTATCCAAAAGAAATGATTCTGGGAGCAATTTTTGGTGCAGGAGAGATAATTGATTTGGATGAATATAAGCAAATTGCTTTATTCATCCCCAAAATGTACATAAACAGACCAGATATTGGTCTATAATTTTATGTAAATTGTATTATAGATGTTATTTGTTAAAAATAGAATAATGTAAAAACTTTATTTATTCACACCAAATCTGATGGTTGAAATAATAAATTAAAAAACCATAAGTCTAAACTTGTTTGTTTTTATTTCTCAAATATTCGAATTTTCAGCCATTTTTATCCAACTGACCATTTGCTGCATAAATGGAAAATAGATGGCAGCATGGGTGTTGGTTAGGCCAGAATACATGGAAACATATTATAAAAGTCACTTAAACTCCTGATCTAACAAGAAGCTCCATTTCGATCAACATTGGAATGTAACTATATGAGCCTGTTGACATGTGGATTGTGATTTAACATTGAAATTGTGATTCTTATAAGAGCAAATAAGCTTTTAAAGATTTTTCAACATTGTTTCGATGGGGATTTAGTCTGACCTTTTTCACAGAACTCCAAAAGCTTTAAAATTTGATTAATGTAAATGACTACATGCAAACCAATTTTAAATCTCGAAAAGATGAATAATTAATTTTACTCTGACAACCCATTTCTATTTTGACTTTTCTTATCATGGTTTGCTTTGAATTATATCTTGACTAAAAGGGGTTATATGATAAACATATGTACTTCTATAAGTAGGTCTGTTTAAGAAGGTCTGAAGTACTATACGTAGGGTCATGGTCATAACGATATGTTATTGTACGAAAATGAAATTGCGAAATTTTATGCATCTGTCTATGTGGTGTTGTCAGTTGACCAATATTCAGTTGGTACAACCTAAAGGTTTAGTTACCCCATGAATAATTGCCCCTTGATATGTCACCCCTAAACTGGCCCTGGTTAAGCATAACCCAAAGACAATGGACTAGGGGGTGAAAACACGATTTCAATTCTCATTATTTATTGTAGCGTTAAGCAAGACCAACGCAAGATTGGTATATCAGTTCCTGCAGAAAGGCGCATCTTCATAGGTATCAAGGTAGAATTTGCCTCTACCGGGTGAGTTGGTGGATTTCCAGCCCATAAACTGGCAGGAACTTCCCGGAACACATCGGTCGCAAAAACCCTGAAACGCAAATTTGAGTTAGGCGTAAATTTGGCCATCTAGTTAAGTATTAAACACATTTATAAACGTGCAAGCAAATGATTTAACATGATTCAAACAACACAAAATAGCGAGTCAAAGTAAAGTTTCAAAGTGTGCTTCTTAATGAAAAATAAACGACGCTATTTGCCCTGAAGTTGAAATACACCATTGAAAATTTGAAAGTGTCAGCTTTAAGGATCTGACCTGGATGTTTGCTGGTTTTAAAGTTAAACAAATAATACTTCTTTCTTTGAAATCGAAAGGAAATCACTATCCAGTGTCTCGCACACCTTAAAGTTATCGTTTAACAACATATTGTATGTTAATTTTGCTTTATCATTTAATTTGCCTAAATTATGCCAGGCTCGGAAAATTAAATGTCGGAAATATTATCTTTATTATATTATCCAATGGAAAGGTTCTTGTCATTATGAAAATTCAATAAGGAAAATGATAAAAGGATGGGTATCGATACATGGTGAACGTTTTGAACACACGTTTCTCTCAAACTAGTTATCAAAAAATTCTGATAATCTTACACATCGTTTTCACATTCTCAAGGATTGGTAAAAACGATTCCACCAAAAACAAAAATGTCAACAAAAAAAGTTATACAAGATATATATATATATAAATAATTTTCGCATTAAATTGTTGTAAATCAGTCAAAATTACATAAGAGATCGTGTTTTGTACAAAATGTTTTCAATAATTGATTTAGGAGAAAAACATTGTTGATTTTAGTTCACCATATCGATACCAATTATTTGACCATTCGGCAAATTAACCACTGGGATTAATTACCACTTTTACAGTATAATATCAAATCATATCACATCTTATTATATCATATGACATACATGTACTTGTACTCTGCCATATTAATACTTACGTCCTCTCCATCATCTATATCTTGGCAGGGGTTTGATGTAAACTGACAGCCAGAATTGATGGATTCTGTGAAATACATGTAGGCTCTGGCGTGACTGCAGGCTACCCACGCATCGACGTCTTAAAGTAGGAATTATTTGTGTTATAAGGGAAGAAAATGCAGTCTAGGAACACCGATTTGGGAACTTATTGAAAGGTGTCTGGGTGGAGTCTCGATGTCGCGGATACATTTGCCTCACCTTTTCAAGTTGTTGTTATACTTTTCAGTATAAAGGGTGCCATTCTTTACGATGGTGATCCACCAACACTTCCGAAAGTTCATTTAATCATAATATTGTGGATATAAAGCCAGCACGTGTCTGTTTTCACAGCAAAACTGATTTCATATTCAGAGCAGAAATTTTATCACGTGACACGATTGTCAAATGACACTTCGTCGGGAGTACTTTGTAAATAAAAATAAAACCCAGGGCTCAAAACGAATTATTCACCCTTAGAGCCAATTAATAGTACAATAACGTCATTTCGAAGGGCAACATAATGAAATATTGGACCGATGGCCGAAGGCCCAAGGTTCAATATTTCACTATATTGCCCGCAGAAATGACGTTTTTAGGATTATTACCACCGTTAGTACCAGGACTGAAACAGCAAGCAGATCTTACGAACTGAACCATATCTAATTACCCGGGGAAAATGCCGGTCATTAATTGCATTTGTGACCGGCAATATTGACCGCCACTATGACGTCACATATTGCTCAGGTCCATATAGTCAAATGAATGCCTTCTAAACTAACACTAAACCCCCTAGAACTGGCCCGGAAAGGTGATAATAATGCTTTTTTATAATTTGTTGGAATATTATATTACAGAAACGCATTGTATTTGAGGACTAAGGCTTTTTAACGGGTTTTTGAAATGTAAGGCCAAAAAGTATGGTTATTGGTTTAGCATTGTTAATCATCGATACGGTCTAACATATGTATTTCAATCAAAGTCGTGTATTTGTAATGAATGATTTTGCAGTGCTCTTTCCACTGGAATTATTTTTGTAAAGTTCTATCGATTAAAGAATTATTTTTTGTTATTGAAATGCTTGCGAATATGATACTAAAGTATATTTCTACTTTGGTTTAGCCTTAGACCAAGAAAAGTAAATTTGCCGCCAGAATTATTTAGTCCAATGGCACGTCAAAACTGTCATACGAGTAGTTACATAACTTCAAAAAGTTCGCTAAAATAACATCATTTCAGAGGTTGAAAGTTTCGTTCAAATAAATCGTGATTTGTTGGAAAATATCACTATTTAGCATAACAGAAATAGCCTTTCCCAATGGCCATGATATCATGGCCATTAGGTATTATATTTATAATGACGCAGCAGCAAACTGCGATAAACTATGCACCTACCCTATCTTTGAATGCTCCGAAATCACTCTGCTACGTTTTTAGTGAAGTAATTTGGTATTTCATGAGTAATAAGGAGATTTGTGTCAAAAATTTGGAACTAATTTTGAAAATTAAAATTCTCTTTATGCGCATATGTGGTCCGACCATAAGGATAGTCCACAATTTGGTACAGTCCAGAATATGTTGATAGGGCAGAACTAATCAATGCAAATTGTCGAGAATATTCACCTTGTCTTTTGGCGCGATTATCATGTACGTTGTATGTAAGTCCGCACCCTGGTTGTGCGCCACCTCCGTTGGGATAGAAATCAACGTGGCCACTGGGATCACCAATGCCTGCAAAATTATAAATAGCATATGCCTATGAATGCTCTCATTTTTGGGTTGTTATATGATAATGATTATGTCGTAATTTCCTAAGAACAGGAAGTTTCTGTGCTATATCATTGTAGACCCTACATTTAATAGAGTAAACTGAATGTTTTCATTTTTGGGTTGTAATATGATAATGATTATGTCGTTATTTCCTCATGAGAACGGGAAGTTTCTGTGCTATATCATTGTAGACCCTACATTTAATAGAGTAAACTGAATGTTTTCATCTTTGGGTTGTAATGATAATGATTATGTCGTTATTTCCTAAGAACAGGAAGTTTCTGTGCTATATCATTGTAGACCCTACATTTAATAGAGTAAACTGAATGTTTTCATTTTTGGGTTGTAATATGATAATGATTATGTCGTTATTTCCTCATGAGAACGGGAAGTTTCTGTGCTAAAGCATTGTAGACCCTACATTTAATAGAGTAAACTGAATGTTTTCATTTTTGGGTTGTAATATGATAATGATTATGTCGTTATTTCCTCATGAGAACGGGAAGTTTCTGTGCAATATAATTGTAGACCGTACATTATATCACCCTTTGCATTCGTTTGACTTCACTTCTTAAAAGAGAGCTTCGTCTTTACATGTAGTTTAACTAGACTCTGCGCGCAGGGTAACATTATATAGAGCAAACTGAAATGATTATGTCGTAATTTCCTAAGAACAGGAAGTTTCTGTGCTATATCATTGTAGACCCTACATTTAATAGAGTAAACTGAATGTTTTCATTTTTGGGTTGTAATATGATAATGATTATGTCGTAATTTCCTCATGAAAACGGGAAGTTTCTGTGCTATATCATTGTAGACCCTACAATAAACTGAATGTTTTCATTTTTGGGTTGTACACATGATAATGATTATGTCGTAATTTCCTCATGAGAACTGGAAGTTTCTGTGCTATATCATTGTAGGCCCTACATTTAATAGAATAAACTGAATGTTTTCATTTTTGGGTTGTACACATGATAATGACTTTGTTATAATTTCCTCATTATGGGTACAGTAACGCTTCTGTGCTATAACATTGTAGACCCTACATTAAATAGAATAAACTGAATGTTTTCATTTATGGGTTGTACTGTATGACAATGATCATGTTGTAATTTCCTCATTATGAGTACAATAACGCCTCTGTGTGGACCTTACATGTAATGGCTATGGCATAATTAAATGTTTCATTTGTGAGTTCTAATATGATAATAATCATATGTTGTAATTTCCTGATTCTTAGTACAGGAACAACTATATCATCATAAACATTGTAGACTCTACATTTTTAAAATAGCATAATAAAATGTTTTCATTTGTGATGGTATGATAATGATTACGTTGTAAATTCCTCATTGTGAGTACAAGAACATTTGTTTTTCATAAAATTGTAGACTCTGCGATTCATTTGTGGGTTATCAAAATATATAATAATGATCATGTTGTCATTTCCTCATTATAAGTACAAAAACAACTCTGTCATATATGACATTGTATACGCTACATTCAATAGCCTAATACTAGCAACTGGCATACACTACATCTTTCCCCAAATTCATTGATATTGATGCCATCATTCTCACATTTCATTCTAGAGGACGACTTTTGTCAACAAACCTATAGTAACATTCTTACCAAGTAGAACAATTGCACCTCTGCCGTTGGAATGAATGACATCAACGAAGGCGGCATCCCTTTCTGTGAGTCTTACTGATGGTGGATCGCCGGCAAACCAAGGACCAGCTGGGTCGAGACCTAACGAATAATAACGAAATGGACGACCGTATAACAAAACTGCTAATGGAGATGTTAAACTATATTCTTTAGGAACACTTGTACCTTCCATGGAAAAATCTTCAAAAGACTAGATCTACAATTTCTGAAGAAGATCTGAGAAAAGCATGTCATAGATATTATAAAACGTATCGAGTTGATCATAATCTGTGAATTAATGGTAAATCAAAATTGTGAATATGCTGCATTTTTGGTACTACCTGAAATTCGACCTAACCGCTGATTTCTAGCAGCCAACCATTTGCCCATATATCCACAAGTCTGTGCGCCAAGACTATGTCCGATGCAGTGTACATTGGCGATATTTACTCCAACTGCGGAGTTCATGTAGGTATGCATAAGGTGGGCCGCTGCGGCTCCAACTACGCGTGTGTTTGACGCGGCTTGGGGATAATCCAGCCCTGGAATGTCGGGACTGGCACCGTCGGACCAGTCGAGTTTTATCACATTATAATCACCCTACATCATGTTTAAATATCATCCTCATCATTCATATGGTCACATAATTATTTAAACCACATAATGTCAGTAATTATAAGTAAATATCAGTAATTTTAATTAACTAGTATCTTAAATATTATGTAGGCAGAAAACAATCTACTTACATTTTGCAGGAGCTGGCGTCTCATGTCTGCAATCCATTCAAAGTCGGTAGATGTTAGATAACCATGAATAATAAACATGGTTCGTCTAGAGGCTCGGAAGTTGCGCCTAGTGAGACAGAAATAGTAACATTATAAATATGATGGCATGTGAGCCCATTTGGATAGAAGTTCCATTCTATTGAGAGAGAAATAGTAACCTCATAAAGATGGTTGTCTCGGAAGCTATTTGGAAGTTGCGCCTAGTGAGACAGAAATAGTAACATTATAAATATGATGGTATTGGAGGCCACTTGGAAGTTGCGTCTAGTGAGACAGAAATAGTAACATTATAAATATGATGGTATTGGAGGCCACTTGGAAGTTGCGTCTAGTGAGACAGAAATAGTAACATTATAAATATGATGGCATGTGAGCCCATTTGGATAGAAGTTCCATTCTATTGAGAGAGAAATAGTAACCTCATAAAGATGGTTGTCTCGGAAGCTATTTGGAAGTTGCGCCTAGTGAGACAGAAATAGAAGCATTATAAATATGATGGTATTGGACACTTGAAAGTTGCGCCTAGTGAGAAATAAATAGTAGCATTGTAAATATGATGGTCTTGGAGGCCACTTGGAAGTTGCTTATAGTGAGACAGAAATAATAACATTAATATGATGGTCTTGGAGGCCACTTGGAAGTTGGTTATAGTCGGGCGTCTAGTGAGACAGAAATGGTACCATTATAAATATGATGGTCTAGGAGACTGGGAGGCTGCATGGAAGTTGCGCCTAAAGTAAGACGGAAATGGTAGTATTATAAATATGATGGTCGGTCTGGCAGGCCACTAGGAAGTTCAGAGCTGTCAAGTGTCCCGCGAATGGCGGGATTATCCCGCGAATTCGATCAAAATTAGGCTAATTCGCGTGTCCCGCAATGTCCCGCGAAGTCCCGCAAATGTGGCTTTCGACCTCCGCGAATTTCCGAAATTGTTGCAATCCCCTATATTGTGATTATCTAATCTTATATAAGAAGCTAAGTTTTTGCACTTTTGAGGAGTAAAGTTTACCTAATTTTAAGTACCTAGCATGCTGTTGTTTGGTATCAAAATAAAGAGGAAGGGTTCAACTTTCATTTTAATTACGACAATAGGGATGTAGGTCAAATAGTTCCAACGTTGGCCTTTTTACTATCCGTGTGGCCTTCATCTCAGAACTGAGCAAATGTTAGCAAACGCGAGTTACAATAAATGGACGCTGACATCTAGAAAGGGTTTGTAGAAAAAACCGGGTACCGGGTAGTAAATCCTCCATGCTGGGTTCAAACTTGGTATCCGGTACCCGGTCAAAAAACGGGTAAGCTTACCCAAAAACAAAACGAATATACGAGTATAACATAATTAGATTATCAGAAAACGTGTAAGATTTGTTTTGAATTTACAAAAATGTGTGTAACATCCTTCAAAATTGAGCTAGAAGCTTCAAATAAAAAGCATATTTTAAGGCTCTTTTCTTCCTCTATCGTCATGACCATATTTTCATCGGTTATGGGGGGGGGGGGGGGTGCGATCGCACCATCGCACCCTCTCCTGGCTACGCCTATGACATTGTAAGACATAACAATTTAGTGGACAATTCAGTGGACATTTTGTCGACAGTTGGGATAACTTAAATTATGATTAATAATCAAAATCTTACACATTGCATCATGTAAATTAACACACGTCACCTCTCTGCTAAAGCAACGATAGCAATTTACAGATTTAAATCATAATCAAAACAATTCACGTACCAACATACGAACTATTGAAAATAGAGTAAAATTGATTTGCCTTGTTATTCAAATCGTCTTACAATGTCATTGGCGTAGCCAGGTGAGGGTGTGATGGTGCGATCGCACCCCCCCCCTCCCCCTTCATTACCAATGGAAATATGACCATGATGATAGAGGAAGAAAAGCTTCTTTCTCAATTTTGAAGGAAGTTACATACATTTTTGTAAATTCAAAACAAATATTACACGTTTTCTAATGATCTAATTATGTTGTATATTCGTATATTTCGTTTTTTGGGTACCCGGTTTTTTCGACCGGGTACCAAGTTTGAACCCAGCATTGAGGATTTACTACCCGGTACCCGGTTTTTTCTACAAACCCTATCTAGAAAAGTAACCTCATTCCCTATAATTTGATGTAGATTAATCGAAACCCTATACCATGGGCTTTCAATTGAAATAATATTTCTATGCGTATTTTGTGAAGTTATGTTGACGTTTATTTAAGTTACAATGTAACGGTGCATTATATTTGATTAATCAGTATCTGAAAGTTTGATTTAAGTACTTTTACACGCTTTTACATTAGTCCAAATCACGCAAATCCCTTGAATGTCCCGGGACATCCTGCAAATTTAGGTGGATGTCCCGCGAAATCCCGCAAATTTAGGGCACTTTTTCTAGAAAATCTGTCCCTCTATGAAGTTTTTGCTGGTAAACCTGTTA